AAGCATATGGGAGATGACCGTAACGAGGGAGCCACATCTACTAGTGGGCAAGCCCTGTGCAACGTATGGAATTTACAGTCACCCAATGCCTCCGTTAACGATGGTCATCCTAGCGGCGAGGTAACGCATGCGCCGCATGTGCATACAGACACGGATCATGATTGTGAACTGGCACATGGCAATACAATTTCATTTTGGTTCAAGTTTTGAAAGTAGAAGACCGATACCTCCATGCATAGAACCAACGTAACGGCGCTGGCTAGTGTTGGCCGCGATCCGCGACGGGCCAAGGAGTTCCTTGGCTGGTATCACAACATGTCAGAAGGACAAAGATAACCCTATTCAAAGTTGTACGATGGCCATCGTGGTCACTACAGACAAAGGCACGTGTCCCCCTTCACTAGAATGCTAAATCGAAGGCATCAACTGAAGTTGGTGAGTTTCCCACAGAGGTTTCCCGTGCCTATGGTGTCATTCGCTTAGGACGTAGAGGATGATTAGATGGGCTTTAGGCGCATTCCACTACTTGGCGCACATTTAGTAGCACTGAGTGGAGATTATCTCGAATGCGACATGAAGGAAGATGCTCACACATTCCCCTTACTGCCGATCCCGTATAGCCCAATGAAGCCTAAAGCCTATTGTCAGATTGTCCAAGATCCAGGCGACGTAACCTTGACTGCGCACTTATCCAATCACCGGGATTAGCATCATTGTCAGGAGACTTGGACATATCGCACATCTTGTCTGCGACCTCCACCTTCCGCCCACGCTAGGCTTTCTGATTAAAATTGACACTTGCGATAGATCCACTCTCTGTTGCGATCGAAGAAAGTCGGCTCAGTCCTGTAGCGCGCGAATACCACCCAAGACCACAGTACAACTAGCTGCTACATAGGCTTTGGCTGGGGATTGCAGACGACTGTATCAGTTGACATGAAGGTGACAGCATCTGCCAGTGTCACGCTGTCTGCACGGGCTTGCAGATCCTCATCTGCAGGGGTCACTGGCTCTAGAAATTCCCCTCCAATCATTCTTGTCCGGCCGAGGCAGGAACGCATCCCTTGAATCACGGCCGAGGTTACATCTTGTAATTTAATAGCGCCGCACCTATGCCTGCCTGGGACTACCGCATAACCCGCCGACCGTTTCCTTCCACGGCGATATGATGTGACCTCACCGTTCCGAGTTCAACATACTAGTGGATGGACGTGTAGAGGCGCAGGGGTAACACCGGGTCGGAACGGACGATATCCAGAGCGACGAGAGTGGGAAAGGCTGTTCCTAGAGAGGATATATACGTGAGTAATTCTTGTAGACTAAACCGAAACATGAAGAAGAATTATAATTCGGCATTCTCGCATAGCTAATGACGCCGGTTTTTGCACTGTTCCGATGACTGGCTGGTGGGGCCGATTCGGAGATCCCGAGGATAGGCATAGGAGTTAGGGTCTGGAAAGAGCTGGTGACCAGCTCGCATTTCTCATAGACGGCAGCACGTAGGGGGATCTACTTGCTGGAATCTTTAAACAGCGGGGCAGATCTCTCTCGGGACAACTCACAGTGCCGTATGAAGATGCCTCATGTCTTCAGCCGAAGTTCTCCCGGGACTCCCTCTCGGCATTCCCCAGACAGAATCATAACCCCACAGGCATCCCCGCAAAACAAGTCCAAGGGATTAAAATGATACAAGACAATCCCCATGTATGAGACCCACTTTATGGGCAAGCGTCGGTGGTAATTATACCGACAGGCCTGGTGAAATCCAACTTAAGTGACAATTGTCATCCGCCCCATGTGGGCAGTGTTGCGGACTTTTCGATGAACGCGAATGACTGAACGAAGCTGTATGCGACGATGGTCCTCAAGCAAAGTCTCTTCTGCACAATCAGTGCCGGGTTGTTGGCTAGTCCTGTATTTTGCGAGAATACGTTTACCCCTGTGGGCGTGGCTGTTGGCGATCAGCCTGAGCTGATCACAACCGATTTTGCTGCATTTGTTCTCAATCCGCAGTCTCCTCTGGCAACTGTAGACTATGGCGCAGAGCGCGCGGGATATCCATTTCTCGTTGTTTCGTCTCTCACGCAGCCTGTCCAAGTCGAAGTGAAGTATAGTGAAGAATTCAACGGGCTAGACCACCCTTTCAGTGACGGCCCCTACTCATTCGCCAATCAGCTGGGGAACTCCTTCCGCGTCGAGACGTTCAATATCACCAGGACTGGGAGGGTCACATCTTCCTTAATCCAAGGTGGGCAAAGATGGCAGTCCATTCGCTTGTTGACCGGTGGGACTGTCACACTATCTCAGGTTGGCTTCGACGCGACAATTGACACAGTGGAACCAGAGGATCTCCCTGGACAGTTCACCTGCGATGATGAAGTCTTGAATGAGATTTGGAAGCTAGGAGCGAGGGCTGCTACAGCCGCCTGCGTTGATAAACAGTCTCAGAAAGCAATCTGGGAAGTCGACCCGGTGAACGGCGTATATGCGCGCAGTGTGCGCCCATCCCTGTCAGTCAACGGAACAGCATTTGCCAATTACACCCTGGAATTCGAGACCATGATCCAGAAAGGAGGTAGCTGGTGGTCTGTTGTAAGTGACTATGCGAGGTACCCCGGGATAATGATCGAATGCAACTGATCCGTTTACCTACACAGGCATCACCCATGGCTGGTAGCGCGTACACCATGTTGCTCACCGGCGAGCTTCCGGAAGCCAGTCGACTAGCGAATGTGAACACAACACTAACACCGCCCAACACCATATCGCTTGCCTACGGGGTTGACTTCGTCAATCAGACCACCCTGACAACATGGGTGCTAGATGTGTTCGAGGTGCCGTTCGCAGTGCGCGAAAACACCTGGTACAGAGTATCCGTCGCACTGTCTCCCAGTGGCTATCTTTCGGCCTCGTTGAACAATACGCAAATCTTCAACATCTCACAGGCCGCATATCCGCTGGCAACCGGGGAGTTCTCAGGGTCCTTTGGGTTTGGTGCATACCAAGACCATGCGGCGTACTTCAGAGACGTCAACGTCTATGACACTGGGAATGGGTCTACCTTGTACACAAATTCACTGACGACTAAGGATGTTCTCGCGGAGTATGGCACTCAAGAAAATCAAGAGAGTCTCTGCTTGGACGGCCCAAAGCGCGACCGGCTTGTATGGCTAGGCGACTTCATCCATACAGCGCGAATTCTCGGTGTCAGCACATCAAGAATCGATCACGCTCGAGGGACATTGCAGTACCTGTTAGATTCGCAAATTGAGGATGGCGAGCTGGCTATCTCCCCCAGCATAGGATACAATATGAAAGCCTCGCCGGATGCGTTCGCACCAACTGGCTCCTACTATCTGTCAGACTACCAGCTCTTGGGATTGATTTCCTTTCATGACTTTGTACAGTGGAGTGGTGACCTCTCTTGGGCAAACCACACATGGCCGAAGTGGAAAAAACAGATCGACTGGATAATTGGGAAAGTCAACAATACCACCGGTCTTATCTCTTTCAACGCTGGCGCCTTTATAGGCCCTCAAGATGGTGGATCTGCTGTCGCTTGTGCCAGTGTGCAAGCGCTGACTGGCGCCGCCGAAGTGGCCACTGCGTTGGGAGACACCAAGTCGGCTACTCGCTACCAGCAGGTCGCAGAGTCCATCGCGAATGCCGTCAACAGGCGTCTCTGGAACGGTCAGCTGGGAGCATACAGCTCCTCCCTGGACGATATTGGAAACTTCTCCGTCAGCGGTACAGCATTCTGCATCAGCTCCGGGGTGGCGTCTTCTAACCAGACTGCACGCTCCTTGGCTACCCTATCACGGCTGCGCCTGGGGCCTGGCTACAAAGACTCTTCTGATGTGTCTATCTCAGATCCCACGGTCAATATCTCCCCGAATACTAATGGCTTCCTGCTTCCGGCTCTATTTCAGGCCAATGCTACAAGCATGGGTCTTGAGTTAATCAAGAAGCTCTGGAGCGTGATGCTTCCGCTCGATGAATCACAGAATCGGACTGCAGTGGGAACAAGCTGGGAATATGTCAACTCCCAAACACAGCAACCGGGACTTGGCCTGTTCACCAGTCTCAGCCACCCTTGGGGTGGGGCGCCCACATATGTCTTGACCGAGTGGGCAGCAGGATTGCGCCCTGCCCCGGGGCCCGACGGGTTCGGATACCGCAAGTGGATCGTTGCACCTGAAACAGGCTTCCAGATAGGCTTGAAGAGGGCCCAGGCCAAGGTTGTTACTGCCTTTGACGGGTCACTAAGCGTTGAGTGGCATGTGCGGGATGGTAAGCTTTATGCGAACATCATGGCGCCCACTTCTACTGAGGGACAATTTGTCTTCCGGGGGAAGACTATCCAGCTCTCTGGTAAGGCTTCCTATAATTTCTCTGTGGGTATTCACTAGGTAGTAGTATGCCCACTCGGGTGACCTTGTTCTATCAATGAGAGCATCAGATATGTTTATTTTCCCATCTACCGACCATAGAATCGTCTATGCATGAATCATCGTCGCCAGCCGGACAGACAGAAGCCATACAATGGATGTAAATATTTGCATCTTCTGACTGCGGTCGTGAATCCTCTTGTCTTATTGTTAAAGATTGTCTCCTTTCTTTCCCTCTAGACATAGCTGGGCTTTGCGGCAGCTGTAAGCTGGATTCTAACTGCGCACTCAGGGACTCGGGGGTAGAGCACGACATATAATTGATATGGAGGTCTCAGGATGAGAAATGAGATTTGCATCTGACGGGCTGGAACGTAAAGGAGTTGACTCTTCTTCCTTCTATCAAGCTACTTTGATAAGAACACACTACCTGTATCCAACGAATTATATGCGCTCTATATCTTCGCCATTCCTTGGGTAGACCCTTCATCTTTCTGCCTCTCGTCATGGAATGCCAGTGTTCTTGGTCTAGCAGGAATGTCAAGCATTGTCAACGAGACCCCTGGGAGGAAGGTCGTGTCCCATCGCTGTAGCACTATTCCTGGTAATAACTTAGGGAACTTGTTCAAAATAGTATCTCTTAATTCCGGAGTCTCCATCGCGTCCATCTGTTGCCGACTGTGGGCCATATGCATAATTTGGGACAATCTTGGGGCGCGCATATCTTGGACCTGCTGAAATATGCTGTGAAGTTCCGTAGTCGACGGCGCACCCAAAGACGACGGTTGCGATAAGACCTCCATGAGGTTGTTTGTCAACGCCGCTGCGCTCTCAACTGCTTGGCTTCCTCCCTGCCCGATGCTAGGAAGCATCTGTCACCAAGAGTACTCGTCAGTTACATCACCACTTGCAGTGTCTCTTAAGAGCCATAGCATGCGATCTTACCTTATGTACGGCATCTCCAATGAGCATGACTCTGTTCAGGTGCCAATGTCTGTCCACGCACTCACGCATAGGGGTGTATATTGTCGATATTCTGTTCTTATAGAGATCTGAGAATCGCACATCTGGCGTAATGTGGTCATTCCAGTGTTTTTGCGCGAGGGCATCTTGTTCTTTGTTGCTTAATTGAGGGATATCTTCGCCGTGGAATGTTTGCCCCATGTGCGCCATAAGAAACCAGTACGTCCGGTTATCAGGTCCACTCCCGATGATGTGTGAGGACTGTTCGTTTACTACAAAGTCGAGACAGCCTAAGGGGATTCCAGAAACCCCAGTTGAGACGCCGAAGATGCAGGAATAGGTTGCAGGAGCGTCGTCACCATAATCGTCCTGGTGCCCGAGGGTTTCTGCTAAGCGAACCATTTCTTGTCTGATACAGGAGTGCGTCCCATCGGCTCCAACAAGAATGTCACCGCTGTATCTTGATCCATCTATCGTGGTGACCTCGACGCAGTTCTCATTGTATTGAACCGTTGCGATACGCTTTTGCGTCAACACCTTCGATTTGTCTGAGATACGACTGTAAAGAACCTCGAGCAGTGCCTTGCGGTCCATCCACAGATAGGGATAACCATATCTATCTTGGAATATAAGCGAAAGTCCAGTCCCCGATCGGAGGATACAAGGCATACCTTTCACTTATAGTTGATCCATCCACCGACCCTAGTGCCTTGCCCTCTAGATCTCGCCAGGTTACACTCGTGACGGGATTCCGGGTATGACTGAGTAAATCCTCATAGCAGCCCAGCTGATCAAGGACTCGGAGACCGTTGGGCATCATGCAGATACCAGCCCCAACCTCTGTCACAATATTCGGGTATGCCTCCAGTAATAAATAGTCCACAGCATTCTTTTCCAGCATAAGCGCAAGGGAGAGACCAGCGATCCCACCCCCCACGATTAGGACCTTGCAGGGACGGAGAGGCATTGGAGATACTCTTTTCACGAACAGATGCCAGAGGAGTTTCAACTAAGATAGCCAGAGATTGGACGCCGATGTGCAATACGTTCAGTCGAGGTCTTCGACTGTGCGATCGAGGAATCCATGGCGTTAAATAGTTTGGTGGTTGTTAAATGGTTTGGTGGGTGGCCTAAACAACAGAGCTAAGGCGATACAATATGCCTGGTGACTTGTACTTGTAGCCCCGTTGGTTGACTACGCCTCTAGATGACCCGAGCGGATCCACATCAGATGGATACGATGAAAAGCTACGTGCTCGGTCCACAACATAGCCCCAAAGGGCCGCCTCAGTATGCAATCCCATTGGCAGCTTCGTCTACGATCTTCACTAGTGGCTATCGTATGTGATTACAAGAGTATCAGTCAAGTATCATCGCCCTTACGGGCATATCTCTGGGAAGCTATCAGGGAGCAGGGGCCAGGGATGATGACTCAACAGAACTCAATTTGGTCTAGGAATCTCTCTATGGGAAAACAAAATAGCAAAAGGGAAGCAACTGGATATTTCTTCTTTCTTCTTTATACGCCGTGTCGCCGGAGCCCTCAACGCGCCATAACCTGCTGCAGCGCCTTCTTTCTCTTCTTCCCGACTCTATCCTCCCCGGGCCACGCCTCTCCGTGTGCTCGATAGCTGGTAAGCCTCGACTATGCGCCTTGGGGCTCCAGGACGACTTGCACAGTAACATCGAGGGTGTGAACTACGATTTTAGTGCTGGACTTTGAAACAAGGAGAGCAAGAAAGGAATACAGCTGACTGCTTGCGCGTCAATTGATGCTTAGTGGCCAGGCCGCGCAGCTCTCGTTACGGGTGCTGCCAGTAGGGCTTATACGAACGAGCTCATTCGCAACCTGCTGAACAAGCCGCGATGGTGGAATAGGCTTCCATCTGAGCAGCGAAGGCGTTGAACGCTCGTACACAGGACCAACGGGACATACATTTGACGCTTTCAAGGAGGTCCAGCGGAGACCATTCACCATCAACCATAGATGCATCGCGTGCCCTGTTCGTACTAGACACGCGCATCTTTTGCTGATGGTGCGTCATTATGGCCACAAGTTCCTTGGCTGATAGACGCTGTCCCGCCCGATTGGTGACGATGGGAGTCGTGTCATCGGGGAGCTGGCCCGTCGCCAAACAGGTCTGCAGCTCCAATTTCAATGTTTGAGAGGCCAAAGAAACACACCAGTTGGAATCGAACGGCCCCTCGCGATGTGGCCAGTACCAAAGCAGTTCCATGGCTTGCCACCGCACCGTGTAATCCCGACAAGCGAACGCAGTATGGAAGAGGGGAGGAATGATGCCACATTGAATGCTGATACTCGGTCGCTCGGGATACTTTTGGAGGAATGCTTCGGTGAGGATGACGACCATCCGATAGTCGGGGGTATAACAATCCAGGACGGCGATGTCTCCACCGACGAGGCATGTTTTTAACGCCACCGATAAGCCTGTGATCCATATGTCTACTAGGTCGGCCCCTCTCTGTTCTGCACGACTTAGGCGATTGTACATGTTGCTGTAAAATTGCTTGAACTGCCGTATGAACTGGCTAAAATGGGACCAGGTTTCGAGCTGTTGTCGGTGCAATGCCTCATAGTCGGGACCGATGTGATCCGGTGGGCGATACATACAGGGAGAAATAAACTGAAATACCATGCTGAAGTAGGGTTCAAAGACACGGAGGACATCTTGGAGGCTTTGGAAGGGCATTAGCGAATCGCTATCAATGTGACGATCGCTCAGTTCATTCTCAATACATAGGAGCGGACCTCCGACCCCAAAATGTGTGGACATGGTATCCAAGTGCGCAAATGCCGCGACGAGGCTCTGTTCGACCAGCTCCTCCCGAGGTGTCGGTGCGATCAGTTGGCGGTGAGCCTGGAGGCCTTGCAGGATACGGATACCACTCTGGAGGTGGCTGAATGCGTTATCATAATGTCCGCATAGCAGATCCGATAGCACGAACAGAAGGCAGCAGACCAGGGTGACGTTACAGAAGCGAGGATCCTGGGATGTGCGGCGCTTGGTCAACAGATTAAAAGCGCGGCTCAACTGCTCCAGAGCGAACTGATGCCATGTATTTCGCGGTTGGTCCATGGGCAACAGCATCCCCTTGGCTTCAGAGTCGTAGTGAATCGCACTGAGGGCGACCACCGCATGGTATACGGCTGGCTCAGACTGAGAGATCTGAAAGACCAGCTTTTCCCATAGGGTTGAATCGAAAAGACCGAGCAGGGTGGGGATGGTGTGATTTTGGAAATATGAGAGGCACCGCCGCTCGTCCGAGGTCATCTTCCAGCGAAAGCCATTGAGGATCTCCACCTGGACCTGTGTTGTAGGGCCCTTCACCGTCCTCCCCTTGACGGGTAGCCGATAAAGATCATAGCCATCGCAGCGTCGGCCGCTGGATGTGCAGTTTTGACACGAGCCCGGGGCCTCGTCACATTTGATATGACGCGCTCTGCAGGTACGACATCCCGTTCGTGATCGCTTCCCGCCTGCCCTTTGGCGATCTGTACGCGTTGGTTTCATGGTGAGGGTGGGTGTGGTCGTGGATAGCATAGCGGATCGTAAGGCTGAGATCTCCACGCACCGTACCCTTAGCTGAATATATCTAGGCAACGGCCGATCGGCGGAAAAGGGGGACGACCTCAGCCGCAGCATTCAATGAGGCTGACAGTCGGAATTCCACTCCACAGCCTCAGTCGAAGCTGGCTTGTCATCCAATCAGACTAGTAACGCAGGCGAAGAGGAACGAGCCGTCAGCCGTCAGCCGTGACTAGTTCATTTAGTCTAGCAGGAACGCTGATCTTGCACTTGATGTTCTCTTTCTTTGACTTTCCTTTTACTCTGGCTTGATTTCTTGTGCCTCTCCCCAATCCGTACCTGGTGGCCACACTTGTATCTCCCCGTTCTCCAACGTCCAGGATACCCCCATCACTCCACCTAGAGGGCCTGTGTCCAGCTACAACTTCTGAAACGGCCCCCAGTAACCGAGTGGAGACACGTACGTCGGTGCTCGGACTAGAAGATAGTAAGACACTAACTGGTGCCCCACCGCATTGCAACGTGAGAGCAGCGCCAAGACACACAGCATGGACGTCCGGGTTCGGTACCTTTTTAATGCTGCTCACGGCCCAGACGGAGGCTTAGCATCCGTGGGGCCTTCAGCTGTCACCGAGACCGCTTCGTGAATGGGATTGTTCTCGATTCGCCTTTGCTCCAACCATGTCACCACCCCTGCGAAGCCGACGACGAGGCAGGCCAGGGCAACGAAAAGACCAGTCGTCCAGCTCGGCCGATTCAATCGATTCATCGTCCACATACATAAGGCGAGACAAATCTGGAAGACGGTGTTGAGCATGTTGCCCCAAACCACGACGTCCATCTTCCAGAGCGGAGTTGGTTTGAGATGTGGTACGTCTAGTTTGGTGGAAGAAGATGCACTGGGCAGCATTTCCATCACCTCCCGAGGCCGAAGGAACCAACTAGAATGGATGTCTGCCAGATGAACGAGCCCTCTTTGACGAGTTCGTTCCGATCGACTTAGTCGCCATAGCCCCCAGAAATATAGGTCGCGCATGCGCCAGGGCGCCAGCCCAAATCCCGTCACACAGAAAAGGGCGTTCAGGATTTGAGAGTCGATCTCGATCCAGACTCGGCGCGACGAGTCAAGGCTGTCGCAGTCAGGGTGACACATCGCCGGCGCTGCATTGCACATCAGGAGGAACAGCATGCCTCCCCAGGCAACAATATTCAATGCGTAGATCGTGGTCAAGATACCCATGGGCGTGAGCATCCAACGCACGAGCGGACGAGCGGACGTTGTCCAGAAGCTGTCAGAAGACTGTGTGGCTTCATCAGTCTTATTCTGTATCTATGCTCAACGATCAGCCAATGTACGGCACTTCTACCATGCGACGTACTCGATTGTAAGAATGAACCCAGCTCTTTCTGAGACCCCTATCCCGTTTTACCTCGAAGGCTGCACTACGTTCTTCCTTGGTCTTCAACCCTGACTCCAGTAATTCATCTTGTGTCCTCTGAAGGCTGACAACTTCATAAGCCTGCAGGGAAGGAATTGTTAACCGGATGATGGTCATGATGTATCTGCCTTGTAAGATATGGCAGAAACACAAATAATATGGGACATTCGGATTTCAAAAGGTCCAGAAGATGTCTGCACATTCTGCAGAAGATAAAAGATGGTCCTGTTGCCTGCATGATGGCTCAGATGGACCGATTTGGCAGCGGGTACGAATACGAATCGACAGCATGGACCACCGTTTCTTTTTTTACCCCCAAGTGGGTTCCTTCGACGTGGCCAACACCAACACCACGTCGAAGCCATAAGTGAAGCCTTGGCGGAAATTTGACAGATATTCACTTAAAATTTGTTTGTTCTTGTTTTCTCCGAAGTCTGTTGCATGGGTCGTCCTACACCATGGAAGTTGTGCGATCGTCTGTCTTGTGTCTACCGCACGAACATGATGGTCTCGAAGGATAAGAGTGAGAATCCTCAACCAAATACGTGATGATAAGGCGGCAAAAGTGAGATCATTCTAGCGTGGTATCTAGCACATCTATTGTCTAATCTACTTACTTTACAATTTCCCTTGCGCCGGCTGGGTGCGCTTCCCATTCTTCAAATTTCGCTCGTATCCGACCACCATACAAACCTGGGAGCTGATGGCGACCAACTCTCCATTCTGGTCAAAGATCTCCACGCCAAGGTCAGCCCGTCCGGCGCGAAAGGATTTTGTGACCACACGGCTATGTAACCAGCCAGCTCCGTCGGGAGGGAGGGATTTTTTTAAATCCACGTTGAAAGCCACCGTAGGGAACCAGAAGGGACCCGGTGGACGGCTCTGTTTGTCTTCTGGGTCGTGGGTGCTAGCCCAGGCGGAGGTTGCCATGGCACCCAGTCTATCCAACGCCATCGGAAACAGATCGAGTAAGCACATTACCGCCTCGTCTGTCCATCGGGCAGGAGTCTGGCCACCGGGACGAAACCGCGCCCACTGATCCACGGTGGTATTGATGCGCTCCTGCACAGTGGATGGCGGTAGAGCTCCAAAGAGCTCCAAATGCTGAGAGACTGCCATTGCGGGAATTGCGGGGAATCGTGTCCATGGACCATCTCTACCCTGTTCCGCCAGGGTAGCAAAATCGATCCCGCCGTCCGGTTTTGAACCTGGCGGTGGGATTGGCTGCAGGGTCGAATTCCCGCTCACCACAGGGCCTTCCTGATCTGCCTCCGCCGGACTGACCGTTATGTATCCCACCGCTTTAGTTTGCGGTCCTTTGGACGCTGCATCCTGCGAAAGCGTTACTTGAATAGTACTCGTTCGCGCGCCGAATTTGACGTCTTCAACGGATAACGTGGCCGGTCCGACTTGTGTCGCCCGTACAAAGGTTAATTGAAAGGAGATCGGTAGGACGGGTTTAGATCGGTAGGGCGACGCATCGGATCGAGCGAAATGCGTGGTGGCCAGGCGGTAGAGGATGGCTGCCGTATAACCTCCATGGGGGACTAAATCGAGGTTAATGATGATCATGCACGAACCAAAGGAAACATTTCAAGTTACCATTTCCGATACACCAGTCCTTGTGTAAATGCGCCGAGTATGTATGCGAAGTCAGAGGAGTGACCTTGATCGCTTCCTCGAAGAGTTCGGAATGTGGAGGTGACATTTCTATATAGTATCTGTTGCGCAGTGCAGTCGATGAATAGGCGCAGTTGAGGAACAGGGACCCATCCTGCTTTTCTTTTTCTGTCTTATTTGCATGGCGATAGATTTGCCTGTTTAGCCAACCGAAGTTCGCTTTGAGGAATCAAATGGGAGGATGGATTAGTCGCATATCCACACTTCCGTCCATGCAACCTCGGCAATAAGATAGGCCATCACGTGGGACCACGTGGGACCGTCAAACAAGGGAATCGAAGATCCATCAAGTAGGACATGAAATAAAGGAGGGCGGAAATAGAACAGAAATCGAAGGAGATATCGTGCAATGTGAAAAGCTGGAAGACATCCAGACAGTTGGATATTGTCGTTGCATTGTATATATTTCCGTAGACCTCGGCAATTCGCGACAACTGGCACTAGTCTGTATTGAGCACTAACTACGCTAACCCCATCCGTCGTAGTTCTCTAGCATCGATCCACGGTGGAGTCATTCCGAAACTAAGTTGTAAGGATGTATATCCTCTCGTACTGGAATGAGAAGATGGCTTCGAATTGCAAAGAGTCCAAGATCAGGGCCTTCTGGTGTCCAGATAGTCAACAACACAATATGTCCATTTATCGTATCCGGGTTAAGCATGACTAGCCCCGATCACGAGATCCGGTACGGCATGCATGCGTTGTCGCTGCCGATCGCCAATGCATTTCAGATACAGCCCCTCTAATTCTAGGTCAAACATATACATTCCAAAAACTCATCGCATCACATTGAGGGACCACTATTTATCATTTTCAGTCTATATCGTCTACCAGTCAAGATGAAAACCATAACCCCATTTCCCCTCGAGAATCTGCCATACGGAGTGGTCTCCACGCCGGATGATCCAACCCCGCGGTGTGCAACTGCATGGGAGGACTATGCCATCGACCTTGGCCGCCTCCAGAGGGATGGGGTCTTTAACTCAATCCCAGGCATGATTGACGGTGCCTTCAGCCAGGTATAGCCACCCCGCCAATGTTGCTATGGTAGAGCTTGACCCATCATCTTTCTCAAAGCCTGTGCTGAATGTCTTCGCATCAACTCCTCAATCCACGCAAGCCGAAGTGAGAGCGCGTCTGGTTCGGTTCCTTGAGGGCGCGACTGAAGCCCATAAGGAGAAGTACTTCATTCGCTTGTCGCAAGTGACGAACCATTTGCCAATGGAGACCGCGAACTTCTCCGACTTTTACTGCTCGCTCGAGCATGCAAAAAATGTAAGTGTCCATGTTCCTTGGCCTTGCCTTTCGGGAGAGCGGAGGACTCGCTGGCTGACTATATGCATGCATAGTGCTCAAACATCATGGGCCTCGAGATCAATCCAAACTGGTACTACATTCCGTCAGTCTACAACGGCCGCACCTCTAGTCTTAGAGTATCGGGACAGCCTGTCCGCCGACCGTGGGGTGTTATATCGGAACCAGGTGCATCCTCGCCGGCGACGTGGTCACGAAGTAAGAGGCTCGACTTCGAGCTCGAGATGGGTGTGTTCTTGTCGAAGCCTCTACGGCCTGGTCAGATCCTCGACATACGCAACGCCAAAGAGCATGTCTTTGGTTTTGTCATTTTGAATGACTGGTCGGCGAGGGACATCCAAGGATTTGAAATGGCTCCTCTTGGTCCGTTTCATAGCAAAGGATTTGGAACCACGATCTCACCATGGATCGTCACGCTCGATGCACTGTCGCCCGTAGAGTGCCCCGTATCTATTCCGCAGAGCCCACCACCCTTATCCCATTTGGCCTGGAAAGGGGACCACTCACATGCGACGTGGGATATTGAGCTGTCCGCGAGGATATTGAGTTGGTGTCCCCATTAGGCCTGCACCGTGAGAGTCACGCTAATTGCTTGAGCAGGAAAAGGGAAGACATATCACATTACTTCCACGAACCTAAAAGATCTATATTGGACGCCGTATCAGCAACTCGCCCATCTTGCGAGCGCGGGAGAAGGCCTCTCCACGGGAGATATATTTGGCACAGGTACTATCTCAAACGATGTACGTCCTATCTTCTGCTCTTATGGTCGCTGCCCTCCATAGGATCAACTACTAGTACGTTAGCTAATGCTACGTGCAGCGACTCAATGGAGTCGGCGAAAAGTCCGGCCTGGCTTGTCTTCTAGAAAGGGCCCTGCCCGAGAATAAATTAGCATGTATGGAGATAGACAGCCTTGAGTATCTAGAAGATGGGGATGAGGTCATCATGGAAGGGTGGTGCTTACATCCAGAGACCGGTAGGTATTTTGGATTCGGCGAATGTCGAGCTGTGGTAGTGCCCGCGTTGGACCAGCGGGATATGTGATATAGGGCTATATCGCGTGTGGCAATGGCGACAGGGGGCTCTCTTATAGTATTTTCCTGGTTTAATGCCATGTTGGACCAGGCTAGCCGATACGAATGGACGACCAGCAACTGCAATACCCTTCAGGATCCGCTTAGATGAACTACACCTTCCACTGTTGGAATCTCCCTACCGCTTCCTACGACTACTAACTACTACTTATTGTTGTTTTTATTGTTACTGCTCACGTGCAGGGGCTCCGTGGCCTCGGTGGACCCGATTCGATGGATGCATGCAGCAAACGCAAGGGGTGAATACTAGTACCATCCAGACTCAACCTCAACTTTCTCCCTAAAATCACCCTTCTTCGCAGTATATATAAGGTACCCACCCAAAAACATGACAGAATTGTAGATGGTACCTAAATCAGTGTATTTGTTCATCACTGGGGTCGAAAATGATGGATTTGAAAGATCAAGAGGCAGGTGGGGACGCGCAACAGGAGACTATCGAGGACACGAAGGTCGTGTTAGGTGCGACAGACGAGCGCATTCTATGGGATGAAAAGGAATCCCAGACTGTCGTGCGCAAGTTCGACATGCGACTGCTAGCTCTTTTCACTGTCATCAATCTGTTCAGTTTCATAGATCGCGTTAATATCGGCAACGCGCGTTTACTGGGACTAGAAAAGGACCTGGGGTTATTCGGACTACGCTTCAACATTGCGCTGATGTGTCTTTTCGTGTCGTATTGCATTGTGGAGTTACCTTCAAACATTCTGTGCAAAATCGTTGGGGGACATATCTATATCCCTACCCTTGTGCTTTGCTTTGGCATCATTACGATGCTCACCTCGCTGGTGGAGCAGAAAGGCGGCCTGTACACATGTCGCTTCCTCTTGGGGGTCTTTGAAGGTGGTATTTCCCCCGGATTGGTCTTCATGTTGGCTTTATTGTAAGTCCCCTGGCCCTTTTCGTCTCTTGCTAGCGGATCCCGACAATGCAGTTACCGCCGGCATGAATTAGGTGTCCGAACAAGCATTTATATCTCTGCGTCTTCAGCGAGCGGTGCTTTCGGTGGTCTCTTAGCGATCGGACTGTCTAAGATTCCACCCTGGGGTCTCATTCATACATGGAGAAACATTTTTTTCTTCGAGGTGGGTAGCTCTCTTCCTTCACGGGAATATCTAACAGTACCCCAGGGCTTGGTGTCCATCATTCTCGCGGTCATCGCGTTCATCTGCATCCCAAGTGGCCCAGAAAGCGCGCGGTTCTTAACAGAATCCCAAAAACGCGTCGCCGTGGATAGGATGCGCATCGACTCTGCTGGAACAACTGAACATTCGCAGACTAAGTTCCGCCATGTTGTCCAGGGGTTGACTACGCCGCCGGTTATATTCTGCGCCTTCGGGTTCTTCTTTGGAAAGTAAGTCATCTACCGCGATCAAACCGGTGGACTCTTTGCTCAAGCAGCCTGACAGCACTTGCGCTCAATCCTTCTCCCTGTTTTCACCATCTATAATCAGCGCCATGGGTTATACCAAGGAGCTAGCTCAGCTGTTATCAGTTGGACCTTACGTATGTCTCATGGTTCCATTACAATCTCACGCAGACCGCGGTGACTGATCAAGTAGAGTGTTAGGCTGCCGCCTGTGCGATATCCATCGTGGTCGGCTACATCTCTGACCGTTATGAAAACCGGGGCTGGGTGATCTTTGTTACCATTCCGTTCGGAATCGCTGGCATGGGCCTGCTCGAGTTCCTCCCGGCTTCTATGCCGGGTGCCAAGTACGGAGCCTTATACCTTGCGGCGCCAGGCATCTACAGCTTTCTGCCTCTCTGGCTGGCCTGGGCCGTTAATAATGCCGCGACACCGACCGTCAAAGCGGCATCGTCGGGTCTAGTCTTCGCCGTCGGGTCGCTGGGCGGGATTCTCGCACCGTGGGTCTATTTACCAGGGGATGCGCCGAGCTACCGCACGGGTCATACCATCATGTTTTCTTTTTTATTTGGAAGTTGGGCGATTTGCATTGGCTTGATGGTATATATCAAATGGGAGAACCGCGTCAGAGAGATGGGAAAGCGAGATCGTGTGCTGGAAGGATTGGGGCCTGAGGAGCAACTAGAGCTGAGTAGTCGACATCCAGCATTTCGCTATGCTGTGTGATATTCAAAGCAAGGTATGTGGAGGATCATGCAACGGAAATGCAACCCCCACTAGCCGGCTCGCGACCATTGGGAGCACTGTAGGGTGCTACCTTTCGGTAGACTTTCGGAGAGAAAAAGCCTTGGAGCGCTTCCGTCCGATCCGAAGGCCAGTTCGGCCTAGCCCAATGCCTTTCTAGCAGTTATCGAGCTTTGTCCGTGGATCTTTCCTTGCTGTTGATTCCCAATAGCGTAGGGTTGCTTACGCAGGATAGTGGAGGTTGCCGAGGTCCAAATCTCCCGGATGCATTGATCAGCTCATCTGATTGCTAATGTCATTTAAATCGATGGACGGACACCTGCAAAGGGGAAAGTAGCAGACGATATCAGAGAGCGTTAAGGTGCCACCATCACCGCACGTGCGTCCGATCTTCGTCCGTTTAGGGCTCTCGATGGGGATCCACTTCGTTGAGTAGTGTCGGCTCTAAACACCAAAGGGGAAAAGGATATGCATGAAGGTCGTACTGCCAGGCTATGGACATGCGATAGAACGTGAAGAGACCAGGACAGAATATTTCACTGCACGTGCATGGTCTGATTGTTTGCCCTTATAAGCCCTGGGTTTGTTCCTGAGATATGGTGGAATAGGTCTGTGGCCCATATCCCTCGCCTCATCATTCTTTCGGTCTTCCCTGTATTTTACGGTGAATAGCTTTTTGGTTACTGAGATTTATCATTGATTATGTTCAACTTGCAGTCATTCGGCCAAGTGCTGCCACTGCTAATGGGCACTGCCCTGGCAGCGGTTAGTTATCCACCAATTCCAGAGGACTTGACGACCCCGTATCAACAACGTCTTGCGATCTATGGTCCAAATGGTGAGCTAATTTGTTTTCTCTCTAAAGCGCAATCACGATTAACCTCCGGGTATAGCCGTCTCGGTAGGTTGGAACACCTATGAGAAACTAAACCAAAGCTGTGTCCAATATGGTACTTCCGAGGCCAAGCTCGACGCGCAGGCTTGCTCTTCGACCTCGTCGACATACGCAACCTCTCGAACTTATTCCAATGCGGTTGTCCTCACAGGGTTGACTCCAGCAACAACATACTACTATAAAATTGTTTCCACGAATTCCAGTGTGGATCACTTCCTCAGTCCTCGCAGTCCTGGCGATACCACGCCTTTCAACCTCGATGTAGTCATCGATCTTGGGGTCTTTGGAAAGGACGGCTATACTATAACCTCCAACAACGCTAAGAAGAGCAGTATTCCATCGATTGACCCAGCGCTGAACCATACCACCATTGGCCGCTTAGCTGACACCGTCGATGACTATGAATTCATCATTCATCCCGGCGATTTTGCCTACGCCGATGATTGGTACCTCAAGCCGAAAAATCTATTGGATGGCAAAGATGCCTACCAGGCCATCCTGGAGCAGTTCTATGACCAGCTGGCCCCGATTAGTGGACGCAAGCCGTATTTGGTTTCGCCAGGAAACCATGAGGCAGCCTGTGGCGAGATCCCCTTTACAACTGGTCTCTGCCCTCTGGGACAGCGTAATTTCACTGCGTACATGCATCGGTATGACGAGACCATGCCTAGTGCCTTTACTTCCTCGTCCTCGAACAGCACGGCCCAAAAGCTGGCCTTAAAAGCTCGGAGTCTCGCTCAGCCACCATTCTGGTACTCATTCGAGTACGGAATGGTTCATGTTGTCATGATCAATACCGAGACGGACTTCCCCTCGGCCCCCGATGGACAGGATGGATCGGCCAAACTCAATAGTGGCCCGTTTGGCCAAGATGGCCAACAACTGGCATTTCTCGAGGCAGACCTTGCCAGTGTCGACCGGTCTGTGACGCCCTGGGTGATTGTTGCCGGGCACAGGCCGTGGTACTCGACCGGCCTCAGCTCCAACATCTGCAAGCCGTGCCAAGAAGCCTTCGAAGAACTATTTTATAGGTACGGTGTTGATCTCGGAGTGTTTGGCCACGTGCACAACTCTCAACGTTTTTTGCCGGTCTACAAAAACACGGCAGATCCCAACGGTATGAATGATCCAGCGGCTCCTATGTATATTGTCGCTGGTGGTGCTGGCAACATCGAAGGTCTGAGCTCGGTTGGCTCCAAGCCGTCATACACCGAGTTCGTTTACGCCGATGACTATAGTTACAGCACTCTCCGCATCCTTGACGCAAACAATCTCCAGGTGGATTTTATCCGCTCTTCCACCGGAGAGGTTCTCGACTCGAGCAAGCTGTATAAGAGTCACAAGGAGCAGTTTGTTGTCCAGTGAGATAGGGCTCACCAGTGTTCTCGTTGGTGTGTGAAACTTAGTGTGACACAGTCAGACCATGGTCTCTTTGGAGGATATGTTTTGGCCCCAATTGTATATCATGCATAATTTCAAACGTCTTCTTCTTGCGTCCTGTTCAGTACTTACATCTCTAATGCCTGCATACTACACCTGTCATACTGATGCGATTTCATTATTTCATTGTACATATTTCTCCATATGTAAGGAATGAAAGCTTGAGATGAGCAGAGTTATACACATTAAGATCTATATCTACTGATTTTGGCTCAGGTTTTACTCCAACATGGTCACACTAGCAACATTAGTAACCGAACAAAAGACTCCAGACCTCACAAAACACTCAAGATAAACAGATCCAAACTATCACAGCGCCGGAACCGCCACATCGTTCTTACTATCTTGGCCAGTTTTCTTAACACTCTTCCATTCCAAAAAGCAACTAGCTACCAAGGCCACCAGGGCCAGTGCCAGACTGACACGGTATGCGTCGCGAAGCCCACTCATATACGCCCTAATCACAGCATCAAGCTGATCCAGTTGCCCCAAGGCTGCCAGGACATGTCGCATTTCCGTCGCTCCGGCACCGACAATGGCACGCGGGTCCACGGTAGGCGCGTACTCGCGAATCCCGTCGATCAACCCGTTTTGAAAGACCGATTGCCCGACAGCAATAAAGAGCGCGCCTCCCAGGGTTTGGAAGAACATCACGGCAGCGGTGCCGACGGGGATATCTTCGGGTGGGAGAACAGTCTGAACCGCCGTCATGGGGATCTGGAAACCAGCACCGACTCCCGCGCCGACGAGAATCTGATAGCCAATCCATTTACCGGTCGCGATGTCCACAGAGTACGTAGTGACAAGACCTATACCAATGGCTGCAATAGCGGTACTACCGATCAAAAACGGGGTATAGTAGCCTGCAGCCGTTACGAATCCACCGACGAGGACGGATGAGACGACGGTTGCCAGCATCATGGGAAGAAGCTGAATCCCCGATTTCATGGCGGACGATCCTTTCACGCTTTGGAAGAAGATCGGAACATAGTAGACGAGAAGGAAGAATCCACCGCCGAAGAACAAGGCGAACATAGTCGCAGATAACACTGACCGCTGCTTCAGGATCCCCGGGGGAAGTGTAGCGCGGTCGCCTAACTTGATCTGCGAGAAGGCGAAAATGATGATCATAAGTCCAAAGCCGACAAAGAGCCCGATCACACGCGAGCTGTTCCACGGGTATTTATTTCCTCCCCATTGTAGCGCTAGCAGGAGGCACACAATGGCCGGAATGAGAAGACTGGCGCCGATAAGATCTAGCTGTTTGATCCGGTCGAGGACCGGCGTACCTGAGAACTCGCTCTTGCTGGGAACTCGTAGGATGAAGATGATAACGGCAATGGAAAGACCGCCAATGGGAAGACTGCAGCTCGTTAGAGAAACTAGCCTGAGGCCCGTTTGAAACTTGTGTAGGGCTCACTTGATATAGAAGCACCATCTCCATGACACACCGTCGGTGAATGCACCTCCGAGTAATGGCCCAGCAATTGAAGCAACTCCCCATACCATGCCGAACATGCCAAATACAAGGGGTCTCTTGGGCAGTGGAACTGTGCAGATGAGCTACTGCAGTATGAGGAAGTAGACATCGGGTAGCGTACCTGTCATTGATATAATTACCAGGGCCCCAGAGAAGATACCAGCAACACCGATGCCTGCCACAGCTCTTCCAACAATCAACACGGTGCTACTGGGTGCAACGGCGCAGATGAGTGACCCAATCTCAAAGATGAGAACAGCGATCAGAAAGCCCCATTTGACCTGAGCGATTGGATGTCAGCCCCGGGTCATAGATTAGTGAACTATAGCAACGGGGTCCTAACACTGAATATCTTATAGATCCTGCCGTAGGATGGCTGCAATGCAGTTGATGTCAAGAAATAGGCACTACCATACCAGGCAATGTCTTCGATGCTCTTGAACTGATCGGTGATCTTCGGAATTGCTACACCAATGATTGTCTGGTCGAGGGCAACCAAGAAAATAGCCAGGTAGAGGGCAAGGATGATCACTATAACCTTTGTGATGCCCGGATACTCAGTCTCTCTTACTTCTGTGTCAGGCTTCTCCGTCGAGCCTTCAAGGTCCGACTTTTCCACTACTGTCATCGTGCAATGTCTGCTGGCTTTCAAGTTCGATACATATATGGGATTGTCCTGGACGGAAGAATAGGTCGCTCAGTTGAAATTACTCGAACGAACAATTATTCAGCAGTGAATCGTTATTGTGCATTATAGGGGATTTATAGGCTCAACCTGCTCAGGTACAAGAACAGCAAGACGGGAACGTCCCAGACGAGTGGTGATCAGTCGGACATTCGGGCCTCAATGCGACCGACAAAAACTCTATGAAGATTGCATCTGGAGATAGCCATTTGGGCTGCAAGTTCCGAATACGAGGTCGAAAGGATGGATGAACCAATCATGCGGGAGGCTTGTTCGAATAGCTTCAAGTTTATTGTGAGTGCGTCCCGTTCTGCAGGATGAAAAAGAAAGCCATGTCTCCAGTGAGTCAGAATTGTCCGAGAGGCTCGTCGATTCTGTCTCAGCTTCAACTATCCGCCATGTGTGCCACGCTCGCTTTGGGAGTTACGTCCAGCCAAAGGGCGTATTAATGGGCCTATAGACAGTACAAATACACAGCCACAACAGGGACTGTGATGCTATTATGCGATCCGATGAGACGCGGGCACATATGCCAAGTGCGGGAAATCTGGGAATGGCGACATAGGCTTAATTAAAGTGGATTTGTAAGGCTTACCGGAGGAAGGAAAGCAAAAGAAGCTCGTTTAAGCATGAGCCTCCTATCGCAATTGAGTCACCGTGTTACCGTCACTTTACCGGTGCATTCCGTGTCAAAGCGAGCTAAGGATTGCATAATACGAAGCACCTTGACGCCCTAATATCACGCTCTTCCACACGAGGGGACACGCCTCAGCGCTTCGCGATCTGAAGAACGCCCCATGCCTTGTGTGGATCTTCTGTTGGACTGGTCAGTGACAAATCGTGCAAGAGGCACTGCTCCCCTTTTGTGATGGCGACATAATAGACTCAGTCAAGCATACCACAAATGCGATGTACTTGTGCTTCCGACTCTGGGTGAACAAGGCTGAACCATACATAGAACAAGATCAACCTTAAGGTCAATCGTGGGCGATGCTAATATATAGAGATTGAGGCTGGCGACACATTGTCAATATATTCCAGAGTGTAGAATCTCTTAACGCAAGGTCGGTCTACCACTCTCAATACTTCATCGGTAGGAAGCATTCTGCCATTCTCTGCTGCTCACAGCTTCCGTCTCGCAGCCTACGTGTGAATCTAAGGAAGGCCTGGTTATGAGACTGAGTGAATGGTTCGTGGTAGCGGTCAGCACTATCTGCTGAGCAGCTACAATTGGCCTCTGGGAGGAATACTCCGAATTCACGCACACGACGGTGTTCCGGGATGTAGCCTTCACACGTGGATGAGTCGGATGGGTTGTTTTCTATTTCGCCCAAAGGCTCCCCGTCGTCCTGTAATGCAGCGACTTGGGTTAAAGCAATTTGATGTTCACAAAGTGCGTTGGGTAAATTGTACGAGACCGATCTGGGGCTATTCGATGCCGGAACCTTGTCGTCTAACGTGCTAGCAGATGGAATCCAGAAGCGCGATTCTGGAACAAGATCTTCTTCGATACTGATAACTGTTTAGGCCAGCGCAGCCCACGCTGCGTACTTGAAGAATGCTTGAACCGGCGGCGCTCGTCCAAGGAGATCTAATGCATGTGGAGACCATTATAGATGGAACTACGTGCTAAGTCAGCTTGACACAGCCCCAACGTTTGGAGAATTGGAGGGCTGTTCCATCTCTCGGTGTTTGAGGTGAGAAAATGCTCTCTCCCAGCTTTCCAGCCTGAGCGTAAGAGCACACTGTTGTTCTTTCAATGAGGATGCGATATAGCACCAGGGTTACCATTGGCCCCTTTGGAACATGGCATCATCCGAGGTGTCGACTAACCTAAAATAGCCACATTAGGGCTGCGAAGCCAAAGAAAAGCATCGCCATATTAACATGGGTAATGAGGAGTGACCCAAGAGATACGGAATAGAAAATGGCTAGAAGGGGTGTGTGGTCCAGGATGACTTTTCCCTGACACCAATTGTCATTGCAATTGAACGTCATTCGGACAACTCGAACCGTCAATCCAGTAAGTGCAAGGCCTTCCATGTACAGACAGACGAAGAGAGCATTCGTCCAAGCCGAATAGCCATAGCAGCGAGGTACCACGTCGATTGTCTTTGCACATCTTTCACGCATATTAGCATCTGACCGCTATACCCATATGTGTTGGTATTCACGAATAAATGGCAACGAGACATCGTTGAGTCAAGCCCGTCAGTGGGATCCATAAATTTTGTTCGTTCGTCAATCAAGCTACGGGTGGCCGTGGCAACTAGTAAATCCTTGTAAAGGTCCTGAGCTATGCAGAGTTAGGATTACTTTGTCACGCAAACCTATAGAGTGTTGCCGATAAGCTGCAGATTCATCCGCATCAATGGTCATTGAAGACATCCTCCAAGTGCGTGTAAAACGCGATGGCCAAGGACAACAGGGAACAGGAGTCTTATTGTCGACATGATCATCCTAGGATCCGCAGTATGCGTAATGATTTATTGTGGTATTCGACAAAATGCCAGAGGATCTCCCACAGTACGTGATTCGGGGCAGGACCCCCGAGCAAATCGCGTACATGCGCGAGGTGCGCCAACAGAATCTTCTTCATGCTTGGTGCAATTCTCGATCCAAAGCTGTCGCCACAGACCCCGAGTCATAAGAGGGCGAGCCCGGGAGATACGGTAGCATACGGCCGCTGTTACGGGAAGGATTCGCTATTATACGCATAGTGACTCTCACTGGTGCTCTACATTATATATATCGAGGGGGAAAGTTCTGATTCATTAAGTCATCCATATGTGAAAGGGGTTATCATGTTGAAGATTTCGGTTTCTTGGCAGGCGTAGAGCTTCGATGTGCACGACAACACAATAAGAATCCTATACCATGATATGAAGCGTATCATAGTGCTCTCCGGTTTGCATTCTCTTTTCAATTGATAGTCATCTTACCTGTGCCTACCAACAGCTTGACATTGCCCATTTCTAGTGGCCCAACGTAGAGGCGTTTCACCAGTAAATTATGATACGCGCAACAGCCGCGCTGGGCAACACTAACCTGCAAATGGTCACATGACCACTTTGTAGCACCTAACACCGCGATGTCCCAACTCAGAGGCACTTTGAATCCACTTTAACCTCCCTTTTGAGGGGGTGGAGACGGGGATGTGGGCGATCACCAACGCTAGGAGTGTAAGGCCCCTCATCCATCTCCGCGCCGAGGGTCCAGCAGACAGTTCCTACCGCCGTGCCAGCCTTTCCAGCAATCGTATATCTCAGACGGTGTTGGCCATGGGTACTCATTAAGAGAAAGAGACTGTTGAATGCCAGCAGTTCCCTGTCATGCATATGCACAACTTGTTCGACTTGCAGGATTATAGACATAATGTTCCTCAACAAGTGTAGATCAGCTCTCCCAAGACCTTACCACTCAGCCAATCTACCCTATCTCCGCTCTGAAGACTCCGACTATCATTCAAAACAGGTCAGCCTTGGACATCAATAGGCGCCACCGCTGGCATTCTTTCCACAAGCTCTCCATGTATGTCGCATCCGGTGGAGGATTACCGCCTCGTCGATCTGTGTGGGTTTCGAAGCACCGCGTGCCAAGACAGTAAGGGTACATTAATTAAAAAGCCGGTTAAAAAGAAGAATGAGACCTGGGGCCCTCACATAGCAACAGCAGCGGATGGTCGAACTTTTGTGCTTAAGCTCTCTCCATTGGCCAGGCATCGTCGAACTTTGGAAACATCGTCCCATCCTATCAGGCTTCAGGATTCCTAGCTTCGGCGATCGGTTGAACCATGCAGCGACGACTAAGTTAAACGAGAGCTCCAGAACCAAGGTCCGAATACCGGTGGACTTTGCTTCAAATTTCATACAGTCTTCATTACACCCCTGGCGCCCACAGTCCTCATTTCGGAAGAGCATCACCAGCAGCGTGTCGCCGCTCCACAACTGGTTGATGCACGAGTCCAGCGGGAAGATCAGATTCTGTACGAATCGAAGAGCTTTAACGACGATCATTCTCAGAGGTGGTTAGTGGTGTTTAGCCTTCAATAGTGGCGCCTCTCCCTCGAGTTGGATTCTTCCCTTCTTTTATCCGATGCGATTCCCAAAGGTGTATTTGGTTTTTCGGGATTCCCAAAATCTCCTGCTGCGCCGATCGTGAACTCCCGGTCCTCTAAATGACACGTCACAAGTTCTACACCGTGCATGGTAAGCACACGACAGCACAGTATAACTCAGCGCAACGTTGAGGTTGTTTCCTGGGAGTCCTCCCCCATGGTAATCAACAGAAAGGTAGATTCAAATGCGAAGCCGAAACACGGAACTGAGCTTGTAAGAAGTGAGAGTAAGGATATGAAGGAGATCTAGATATTTGATTTGAATTTATTGTCACATGTGGCCCAAACCCAATAGCATGTCCTTCGAGGTGTCGTGAAAAAGCAAAGATGCTGAAAAAGCCAATCTATGTTTATCTATCTCATGGCTCATCGCCGAGCAAGCCCGGAATTTGGTCCCTGCTGGTATTATTGGAGGGACCTCCTTGCGTGGTGATGTGCTACACTAATTAGGGTTACATCTAGCAAGGAAAGCCGAAGTCTATGCGTCAACAGCGGAGGCAACCGCTCGCCACCCGTGTGCTTAAACATATTTTATCCCTTGGCTCCCTGAGAATGCCGTGCCTCTCGCACTTTGAAAGGAAGGCAACATGAATTTTTCATGCAAACACAGCGCTTGGGGTTTCCACCAGGAATCCCCGACAGTGACGGTGGAGGGTTCATACCCGCTGTGATGGACAACTCTCAGCCATGGCTACAAACAGCGAATCGCGTACTCATTGGAGTTGGTTTGGCTATTAACACACCTCTTCTGGTAATGCGAATTTACACCAAAATTCGACTGATGAGAAGATTCTGGTGGGATGACGGTAAGTCGATATTTCGAGCCAACGAAGCCTTGGGCGCATTATTAACGAATGGCGGCCAGTATTCTTGATTCTTGCTTGGGTATATGCCGTTAGAATGCTCTTGTTAGCTATCAGCCTGTACTGACCTGCAGCTAGATCTGTTCCGTCGCGACGCAGGCGGTCATTTTATGTAAGAACCCGTTGAAGGAAGATGTTGTGCAGTCACTAAGAGTCCGTTAGATGGGTTCGAACATGCAGGATATGGCATCCACGTTTCGCAGCTGCCATTATCCGTGCTCAGTACCTATCGCAAGGTATCTATATTCCAGATGCGACGTGAACTAAACGTCTCGCTAATCGCCGGGCTTTGGTGTAGTGCATGCTGGCGGCATCGGTCATATACGTCCCCGCTCTCGCCTTTGCGAAGCTCGCCTTGCTTATGCTCTACTATCGACTCCTACAAGCGACGCATCCGCTATATGTGTACACCATTTACGCGGTCGGCTTCGTCATTGCAGGTTATAGTATTGCACTTCCGCTGGCATTGATCTTCGGCTGCAGCCCTATTCAAAAAAGCTGGGACATCACTATTGCGGGCTCCTGCATCAACACAAGCGGAGTCTATCTCGCGACTGCCATCACTAACACGATTAGTGATGTCACATTGATACTGCTTCCGATCCCCATTGTATGGGGTCTCCGTCTATCTGTCATTCAAAAGGTCGGAGTGCTCTGTATGTTTGGTGTTGGATTCTTGTACGTGAACTTCTGCCCCCGGTGCTAAACAGCGGCCTCATTAAACCAGTCTGTTGTTATGATTCTTACCTAGTTCCTTTAGAACCACCAGTATAAGTATCGTTCGCTTAGCAACGCTGATGCCTCTGGTCACGTCGCAAGATCAGACACACGATATCGCACTCGCCGCGGTCTTCATGTGAGTCCGGCACGCCATCTAGTCGCTTGCTTTGTTATTTTTACTTGGTATTAGGACAAGACTAATTGATATGGGTCGTGTAGCAATATCGAAGCCAACACCATTATCATATGCGGCTCTTTCCCCTATTTACGCCAATTCCTGCGATACCATGCTCCGCGGTGGATCGATTATAGTCTGAGCTCGCGACGGAAACAATCCTCTTCTACAGAGTCGCCATCGGCTCCAATGCGCAAGCCAGGTCTCACTCAGCTCCAGGATGATATCGAAAGGGCGATCAACCACACGGATGGGACCACGAGCGTAGAAGAGAGTATGAGACCGGGGCCCAGAGAAGTGATATAGTATTCGCTCGTGTGTATAAAAGTATACGACCTGGCGGGGTTCAAAAGTGCTTGCTGCCCGGGGGGATTTTTCATAGCAGAGGGGGCGTTAATACTTAGAAAAATAGATTTTGGGCATCTATCCTAATACTTGAATATTTCAAAAATCCCTCAGTGTCGCTGGCCTGTTCTGGTACTCTCGAGATGGTTGGCGAAGGTCTTAAGGAACGTCACGAAACGCGCCCAATGTCGCTCGATGCCAAGGAGCCGTCCTGCAAGAGCCCGTGGCATAATGTCTCGTAATTGTGCTAGATGACACAGTCCCTTCCAGCCAAGACGCCAAGTCTACAGCCATATCCCGAAAACAATCAAGTTCGCATGTAACCTGCAGGCTGCAGACAGGCCGGGATGTGCCAAGGTGAGGGTGACACACCTGTGGGAGTAAGCTCAGCAGCAAAGCTATAGAACCTGTTGCCTTGGTTGCACCATCACCGTATTGACTGGACTCAACCCCATTCTGCTGCCTCCGTTCGAAAAGGTAACTGCGCCTCTGCATGCGATAGAAATATCCCATTCAGGTGCTTTCACTTGTAATCCTGCAATTGTAGAGCCGGACCAGCCGTCATATTGCCACCTACACTGTCACATCCTCAAACACGCGGTTGGGAATTATGCAACAATCTCGGCCACACATTCGCATTCGTCCAGTTGAGTTGGGTACCGCCATGTGGGAGACATCCAATATTCCACCAGGTTATCTGGACTCGATCGGAGTAATACCCTGGGGTCCGTGGATGGCTGTAAAGTTAACTCGAGCGATGGGTACTAATTGCTGGCAAGGATGGGCAGTGAAACGGAATGTTGGGAGTAGGTTCGTTATTCGCCGAGAGGGCCAGCTCCGCCTGAGTGTGGGAAGGGACGATTGGAAAAGAAAGTCTCGACTCGCCCTTGACAGGAGTCTTCGAGGTGGATCACTTTGCTGTATTAGTGTATCTATTTGGATGTTTACCTAGAAAATGAGCGCGAAGATAGGTCTAGATGGGCATTGGATTCGCAAAGCTGAACAATTAGTGGGTTCTGAACCCCGGTAGGTATATATGTTTGATAAGGCGCCCTGGTAAAGAAATCCTCCATTCGGCTTGAGAGCAAATGGATAGCTGCTACTGAGCTTCCCCATGAGAAGGTGAGGAAGAGTCCAATTGATATGCAGTTGAGTCCGATGGATGTTGATGTCACCTGATGTCACGCGGTGGTTCCTTTCCTAAAGTGGACTAGTGGAAGGCATTCCATCCGCGTCGTTGAGCATCATCACAACCTCCAAGAGCGAACCTTCGCTTGACCGCTACCAAGGGCGAATTCATACGATATACATACATGAACGATGGTGCTAACTGTCCAAATCTCAATTGTCCGTCAGCAATTCCAGCAGTTCTTCCCTATCATCGCTCTTAACATACTCTCTCACCGACAACCGTTGGATATCAGCACGACGATCTAGCCAACCTGCTCCAATTGTGTGGAGAAACTAACCCACATAATCTGCATATCTTTCCACTGATACTCCGTACACCTCTTATCCTCTTTCTGGGCCCTACCGTCAATGCCGTTTCCCGGGAAAGCCGACAAGCAAACTACGGAAGTGATATCTCCTCAGCCATATCTCGGGCCTTTTATGATGTATAACTGTCCCTTCAGCTGCTGGGGTCGCAAAACCCCTCGTATACGTCATTCTACCCACCCGTCGATCAACAACCCGTTACAAATTGCTGTGTCATCAATTTTAAATGGGAGGTTTGCCTTAACTTCCAGTTACGATACCTGAACCGAAAGGTACATTACGTAGGAGTGTGATGGAATGTTCGACTACGTAGGAGATCAAAAGTTAATCACATTCAAGCTTTAGGTGTCAGGGATGTTACCATCACCAAGCCACTCATTTCAAGATACTTTCCATACGGAGAATGAGGCATGTTAGGGTTTACATAGCACTGGGTGCCCACATGACGGCAGTGAACGTAATGTTGCTTCTTACTTCATACCAAGGCTTCCTTTTCCTTATTGGATTTGATGCTCGTACTTGAGTCTCAGAACTGAAACTGGGTCCTACTGGCTTTCAACTTCCTCAGAATCGTTGGTGGTTGTTCTCCGTCTCAACCAGGGCTAACACCCTCATCCTCTAACAACCTTCGACCCCAGACTCCGTCATGCGATCATTTGTTCTTGGTCCCCTATTGTTCTGATTGGGTCTGGTCGGATATGTCCAGCCTGTAACAACCCATTCCATTTAACTGGCTTATCTGGCCCATCGACCCATGGAACGGTGATCTGCCTTTCGGTCATAGGCATCCCCACAGTCTATCTCTCGCAAAAGTATACCACGCACTTCTCCCCCTTCTCATAACACCAGTAAAGTCTTGAAATGCGCCTTTGACGAGATTCACTTTATATAAGCCACATGGTGTCCTCTCACGAAAGAGCCATGTCGCAGTCATTGATTGAATAGTGAAAACCAACTCTCGTCGGATTTCACCAGATGCCATGAGACCGCAATCGAAAACCCTGTACCACCTGCGCCCGAAGCTTGACGAGATCCTGAACGATACAGCCCCCGTCCCGTATACACTCGGCACCTTCATTGCCTTCCTCGCTCAAAACCACTGTCTCGAGGTTCTCGAGTTCATCCTTGAGGCCAAACGCTACCGGAAGACATACGACTGGCTTGAACATCACGGCAAGAAATGCGGCGAAGATGAAGTGCACAAGGAGCGCCTCCGACGAGTATGGGATCGCATCATAGAAACATACATCGAATCCGGTGCACCGCGCGAGATCAACGTGCCAAATGAAACCCGAGAGGAGCTGTTGGTGTACACCAAAACCCACGGCTCCACTCCTCCGCCGAGTCTCCTCGATAGTGCTGTTCAGCACATGCATGAATTACTACGAGACTCGATCCTGATCCCCTTTCTCCGGAGCTGCTCGGGCACCTCCCATGTGCAGCCGCTATCAGTGCCCTGCCTCAGTGGCACCGAGCGACTGTCCCCGAGTCCCAGGGCCTCGGATGATACTGCACGCCGGAGGTCGAAGTTCAATGTCCTCATTCCATCTTCCCCTGCCGATATGTGTTCCTCCGATGGATCACAACCGCCGACGAGATGCGTATCACGAGCCACCAGCTCCCAAGAACCACTTCGCTCGTCATCTTCTGACATCGGGCGTGAGATCACCGGTGGTCAAGATTGGGACGTTTTGCCAAATGGTGAAGGCACGGGGATGTGGCACGCCAATACCACCCCGGAGAAAAAGGCACGGCTCCCAGAATCGCCTAAGAAAAGATGGCGCCGCTTACAGGGATTTGCAAAGCATTTTCGGCGTTCTTCTGATTGATGTTCACTATACTAATCTACCCGCCATGTATATCAGCTGAGCGGAATTGCATCGCTGTTTGTGTTGAAGTTTTAGTTCGTCCCAACCAGATGCCCGATGTGCCTATAGCTGGTTGTCACCTCATGGACTTGAAAACTAAACTATCAACCTTTGAGAAATTACCTCCCGTGAAGAGCGTACGCATAGAAGACCTGCATTTGTTTGGGGTCTCATAGAGTCAACGTATGGACTAAAACTCAATGATCTCATGCCAAGGCAGTAACGACGTATTTGCCCAGAGCTGAACCAATAGATAGGCATCTCAGCTGTAGATAAGTTTGGTAACCATGGATCCTCTGGCGAAAGCCATCACATCCTCATGAGGTATCCATGACTTCACCCTTTCCCTTCGATAAGGCTCCTTGAACCACGGTTCATCCTCCACTCAACGCCGATAAAACCTTAACGGATACGATGCATTAGTCATCGAGCAACTCCCGAAAGACTAAAAGCTCCAAAAGTAGGAAGTTCTGAAGGCATACGCCCCTGTTCATCACCCGTTTAATTCTCTTGAGTCTTGGGCCTTTCTGTTCCGGTGGTTCTTCTGGGATGGTGATCCACATAAAACGTTGACCGACCACCTGCAGAACGATCGGGTATCAGTATAGCCAGATACATCTACCGTAGAAAGGTAACTGAAAAGAAAATAAGGGTAGGATCATATGTCATTGAGGTTTCTTTGTCAATTGTAGGGTTCGTGCTTCATGTGAGGTCACCAGTCCAAAGTTGACCAACCAGAAGGAAGCTGGTGCTCTCCACGTGATACATTGCATTAAATGTACTTTCCTAGAGGGAAGAATTACTTAAGTTACAATACACAGAATCCAGGTAGGTATTTTATATAATAAAGAGAAGCTGTCAATGTTTCCCAATGATCTAGTGGCTGGCACAGGGAGATCCGCTATTGAGGCTAAAGAGCTGCCAAATGGTATGATCGGCTACTATCGCAAGCGCCCAGAACTGATCATTTCAGTTAGATATTCCAGCACTTACCTAGAGACTACGAGGTTGTCTGAGGTGCCACCAACAGTCGGCCTCTCTGGTCCCTTTGCTGGCCAATTATTGAGTCAGGACTCGGCTCATGTTCGACCCCAAAGCTCTTGTTTCCTTCAGGTCGGCCAGTATCCTGCTTGTGCGAAGAGACTTTGCGCCACGCTACTATGCACTACACCCTCAAGCCGCTACGTCGGGAGAATATCTGACGACATGAGGCGCAGTTAGATCTGCTCTTCGGCCGACGTATCGGAAGGCCTAGTGACTGTGAGCCATGATTGAGTCAAGTCCACCTCCTCCTAGTTGAGGAGACCTTCAGCCTATTATCTATACTACTCTCGCTTCTCGAACGCGATCAAGAAGCCACCAATGCATGTATCGTCTCGGTGAAACGCAATCTGGTATGAATAGGTACCAATCATTGTCTTCGTAAGGCGCCATGCAGTTTGTGCACCTAATAGCTTCATAGTACTCTGGATAGAAACCACTGTATTCCCAATCAATAAGTCCAGTGATGATCCATTCATTGTTTTCAAACTTCACGATAATGTTTTCCGAGCGAAGATCACCATGCGTGAAAACTATTGCAGGCGAACGTGATTTGGTAGAAGGGGAAAGCTGACGTAGCAATTTAACAAAGACTTCCCCACCAGTCCGATTACTTGTGAAGAGAAAATCTTCAAATTCATCGACAGTCAGGATAGGCTTGGCACTCCGGTGAAGATGTCTTCGAATGTCTTTGCAGCCTTCGCCCAAAACTCCTCCGAAAGCTATACCTATATCACACGGCAAAGACCTCAAGTCATTCAAGATCAAGGTAAGCTGTTCCCTGATCAAGACCTTCTGGGCTGTACTTAGGGATGGCCATACCTCAGCCAAGGTACTCGAATGCAAGTGGGTCATGAACATGAGCGAGATATCGTTCATTCGAATGAAACCAAGAGGTTTTGGTGCGGGTATGTTTGGCTTGTGCTGGTGAAGGTATTCGAGTGTTGTGTATTCAGTTGTATCATCCAGGTCTCGCACAGCTTTCAAAATTATATCATGACCATATGTCAAGACCATTTTCTGGCCGGCAAAGGGGCCCTTCCAGACAACCTCGCTTGAGTCTATGACATCGATCAGTCGCTGCGCAAGGCCATCCGATTGTGCTGCAGCTAAGCTAGATATTCCAAGCAAATTCCGAACTGTATCGGATAGAGGAAAAACGATCTCAGCCAAGTCCGACGAGCGAATTGAAGCGCGAATGTCGTCTTCTCCGCGGTCTTCAGGTACGGTCGCAGTGTCTAAATTTCGAAAGGATATTAGAAAGTGGATTGCTCCGATGGAAAGCTACTCACCAGTTTGGGTCTTCTGGCGCATATCATTCAGACGATCAGAATACCTCCAGGGCAATTTCACTGTCAGATCAATCTCCGGATCCTTTTCGATGGCAGCTTGAAGCTTCGTTAAGGTGTGTACATTGAACCTCGCAGCTTTGGATTTGCTGACACGAGCCATAATCAAAATATCTTTCTATATAAGTGATGTCATGTGTGCAAATAATTACATAGGAAGGTCAGAATGCAACGGTGAAAGATATTAAAGGACACTGTAGATTGAAGCTGCGGCACGATAAGAAAGGGAGCTTCAACCATGTGACACCCCTAGCATCATGTTTTAGTACGAGCAAGAAGACTAAAAAATAGTTAGTCGACCAATATATCTCAGCAATCTCAAACCCTCTTTTGTAAAGAAAAGTACCGTGCGGGCTCCTTGTCTAAAAGTAGTTTACTAGGTAGTTATTTCAAAATTGTATAATTAGTAATTATATCCAATGTTGCAAAAGGTCTTGGACTATGCTAGTATATGCATGACATTCGGCTAGTAAATACTTGACTACAAAAATGAGTAAAAAGGACATCTAATACTAAAAATATATGTATTTTAATCAAAAAAAAATCAAGCTATTCAAGTACCTCAAAAAGCACTCACCAATCTCGACTCTCGAGTCTGAAATGTAGAACGTAATCGATCCCTCGATATATATTTCCAATCCCGACTTGGTACTACTAAAAATATATTATACTCACCCTCCCCCACCCCCCTTCTAATACCGTTAGTTTGATCGATTTAATATACCAAGGCAGTTGTTTGATCCAGTATTCTATAGCTTCTTAAGCTAACTTATTCTAAATTTATATTAGTCTCTTCCATTCTTCGCGGAAACGATAATCATCCGCGTACAGCCCGGCGCTGACTCCACTACAAGGATCGGCGCAATGCATGCTCACCTGCAGCTACGTTGATAGTAGACGGTAAACATAGTAGTACAGTACATACAACAGCCTCGTATAAACTGAAATAACTAAGATACTATAAATTTCCTTTGTTTGCGCGGGTATACATGGAAACCGAGTTCTTTGTCAGGGTGATCCTTCAGCCTTGACGTTCACCCGGACGAAAATGTTTAGGGATCCGCTCTATACTAGCAGGACTATATATCTGCGCCGTTGCCTCCAACTAAAGCACCGCAACACCAAGCCCCAAATAATATCAAACCACGACACGCTTACCGATTTCCGTGGAAAAGCATAAAGAAACAAAGATGGCTCCTCATGCAATCGTGTTCGATCTTCTCACAGCCCTCCTAGACAGTTGGTCCTTATGGGCCGAAGCGGCAAACAACGACCGCAGCGCATCATACCGATGGCGCACAAGATACCTGGAGTTGACCTTTGGATGCGGCGCATACCGTCCATATGAAGATCTCGTCTACGAATCAGCCAAGGATGCCGGCCTCCCGGACAGTGCACCCAAAGCGCTGATCGAGTCTTGGGATCGGATGCGCCCCTGGCCCGAGACCAGAGAAATCCTATTGCAGCTGAAGGAAGAGGGATATCGCTTGGGAGTGGTCTCCAACTGCTCTGCAGAACTCGGCCGGCGAGCCGTTGCGTTGTGTGGTGTGGAATTCGATGCGTTCGTGACGGCGGAAGAGGCCGGCTTCTACAAGCCTCATCCGAAAGCATACGGGTCGATCCTATCGGCCTTGGGGGTCGACTCCAAAGATGCCCTGTTTGTCGCGGGCAGCAATGGTGATGTCGTCGGCGCAGCAGCGGCCGGTATGGATGTTGTGTGGCATAACCAGATTGGCCTCCCAAGACTCCCCGGCTCTAAGCCGCGCCTGGAAGGCCGCTCGTTACAGGTCGTTCTAGATCACCTCCGCCAGGTGGAGTCGACGTCGAGTTCGAATACATCCAGCCGGTCATCATCGCGACTGTAGACTTGGGCTGAGAAGCCAGGCATGCTGCACAACAATACTCGCTTATTGGAAGCTTGGGCAGGACTGCGGACGGAACAATATCAACGTCGTTTGAGGGATGAAATATAATGAATTTATGAAGGGCTTGTGACGGTATATCCTCCTCTCATCGCTGCAGGGCCTTGGAAGTGTATGTACATATTTGGTATATTATAGTGTCTAAATACTTTCCTTTCCGCTCAGACATATATCCTCAATATTAGGTACACACCGTAGAGATCAATACGGGACTGAGAACCACATCGGAGCTGGTTAGAGAAACAGTTCCAGCTTTCAAACAGAACTTAACAATAGTTGCATATTGGTATCACGGTATCAGGAGATAAATAACTGAAAATCACAGGGGCTTCACAGCTGGTCGCTTGTTGATGGTTATCCACATATCCCGCCAAAAGCCGATCCCACCTTTGACTTCGAACCTCGCAGAGGGCTTGTCAGTCGCAATAGACGGGGTGTATCGACGGAAGAACTAAAGTATTATGAGATGAGCAAGCGCGAAGCCAAGGAGGGAGGCCAGATTAACGTACCTGCAGTGGGCCCTTGAACAATTCTTCCATCGCGATGTCCCTACCCAGACAGACTCTGGTGCCATATCCGAAAGTGAAAATATACTTGTTGTACAGCTTTGCTTTCTCCGGGTCGAGCCAGCGCTCCGGACGGAACTCCTCTGCGTCTTCTCCAAAAAGCGCGGTATCCCGGTGCATGATCCATGGGTTGCCGGTCACCTCTGTACCGGCTGGAGCAAACTTACCGAAAAGCTCAATGCCTGGTTCCGACACATAACGTGGGAAGATATTTGGCGCCGGCGGGTTCATTCGCAACGTTTCCCGGACACATGCGACATAGTATGGAAGATGCTCCTGGATAGCGTCGTACTGGGGGATGGTGTCGGGGATGAGTCCCTTACGGCTGGCCGTGTCGATCTCCTCCATCATCCGTTCGTAGACTTGCTGGTTGACGAGCAGGTGGTTGACGAGGGACTGGAACACCGTGCCAGTGGTATCGGCGCCCGCCAGCAGAACCAGCAGGACTTCGGCCTTCAGATAATCCATCTCGAGGGGCTTACCGTCCTCCGTGCGTGCATCGATAAACGTTTGTAGGAGATCCACACGACCAACATCTTTGCCTTCAGCGATCTCGTTTAAGCGTTGCTCAATCAGTCGATCCCGGAAGCGCATCAGCACACCAATGCCGGTGTTATCCTCAGGCTTGGCGACCAGATATTTTTTCAAGAACGTTGTCTTCACCCAGCTGGTAAATGGGTGGAGACGCGCGAGGAGACCAAACGCAGGAAGGCCGTCGTGGAAGCCCTGGATGAGACCTCCAACATCTTTACCCTGTTCGATAAAGCCGAACGGCGCCCCGAAGCCAATTTCACTGATGACATCGTACGCGACGTATCTGTTCATATCCACATGTTCCAGTTAGTTCGATGATGCGCGGATCATGTTGGGCGGCTGTTGGCTCTTACACTGCCCACCATGAGAAATCGAACTTGGCACCGGTGCTGGCGAATGTCTCTCCCAATTTGTTCAACCAGTCGTCGATCCGCGCGTCAATCAATGGCTCCATCCGCTTTACGTTTGAGAAACTATACTATTTGGGTTGTCAGCTCGGGCCTTGCTGGGCCAGATTGACATGCATGAATGTACATACCGGACCCGCAATGTGCTTGCGAAACGCCGCATGAGTCTTGTGTGACCGAATGTTGAACAATGATTCGGTCTCACCGAACGACCCGGTGATATAGTGACCTGTCTTGTCTGCATTCCGGTGGTAGATGTCGGGCAGTTTCGTGGGGTCGCTGACGAGGAGGAGTGTCGGGGTGATTCGTACGACGGGTCCTGCAAGCCACACACACGTTAGCCCGATGAGCCCTACAGCTGAAACTCGAGGGATCATACCGTATCTCTTGGTCAGTGCATAGACCGTAGGTACTTCGGTCTCACGCAGGTTGTGCCATGCGATCCAAAGTCTGGTTACGCTACCCCAAAAAGGTCCCGGGAATACGGCCAAGGGATGAAAAAATCGATAGTACACAATCTGATAAGCAAATCGGAGGGCCACATATGCCCCTAAGGCGAGGATGACGTGGGTTGCCGTGAACATTGAGACCAGGTCCGTCCCTGTAAGGACCATTATCGTGACCCTGATCCACGAACAAAAAGGAGACAGGCACAGGAATAAGCAAAAAAAGCCAAAAGAGAAAAACGACTAAAATTTGACAGGGATGCCTTGCCTCCCCAGCACGGTTTATGGGAGAAATACCCGGCGATTGCTGTGGACACTATGCATCATTTCTCTCATGAGCAGCTATGTGGTACTTTTGGCGGTCCGCCTCAAAATGATGGAGGGAGAGCGAATAGCCATGCACCTGGAGATAATCTCACCACCGCTTCCTTGCGATGATCATCCTTAGGGGGGTGGTTGCCAACGTATTTGATTAGAAATGGCTAACAACGCCAACACGACTATTTTGAGGGGCTGCTCTGGGAAACATTTCCACCCTTTACTCGCCAATCATGGTTGCTCTATACCAAAAGCTCCCCAGAAGGCTGGGGATTATTGGCTCAAGTTCTGGCATGAAGTGCCGGGGGAATCGACTGAACGAGAGACACTCGCCCACCTCATCAGAGTCATCACTACAGCTCACGCGCCGCCGTCGTTCTAGTGCGGGAGGCCGAGCGTTTTAGGGTGCATTGGGCTTCAGTGTGTGGAGGCTACTAGGCCACAAGAGGCTGAAGCCGTTTCAGACTCTGCCGAGAGTTGATTTTTATGCATCATACTACCAGGATGTTGTCCCCTGTCTACGCCGTGTATTCCATGGGGATGCTACTGCTTTTCGACGAACACAAGCCTCGTTGCCAATCTATTGGAATCTGCCTTGGAAATGTCTTGATAACGTCCTGTTTCTGTGACTGACAGGGCATGCCCATCGGGATCCACAGTGGTCCACCCTCGGGAACTGCGACAGCATCGGCTCTGCGTGATCTCGTTGGGTGGGGATGCGCTATGAAGCCCAACATTGGTGGACGAGGAAAGTACGAAGTACTCCACAGAAGTTAGCCGCGGAGGGCTTCCGCGGCCCTATCCTATTTGATCTCGACAAGGCTCGGCTGCATCGGTGGCCACCAAGTGCCACTTTTGATACTCCGGAACGAACAAGCGGGAGATGTTAAAGGATTCTCTGGTTCTCACGCGTGTGATAGATCCACATCGTCCGTAATTTACTCTGTACAGCCAACATTAATCTAGAATGTAACATGCTTGCTGATCATTTGGTTCACCAAATCCCGACCCCTGATGACAGAACACTGCAATTGCTTGATCATATTGCTGGATGTATCTGCGACGCAAGTAAGGCGTAACTTGCTTATAAAGGACGACAAAAAAAAAAAAAAAAAAAAAAAAAAAAAAAAAAAAAAAAAAAAAAAAAAAAAAAAAAGGAAAAGAAAAAAAAAAAAAAAAAAAAAAAAAAAAAAAAAAAAGAAAAAAAAAATTAATAGAAGGATGAAACGACGACAGCTTAGCGGAAGGGAAAAGTGGGGGAGTTTAGGAACTTTCCGCCTAAGCGAAAGGAGAGAAGAGAGAAAAGTGAAAATTAGAATAAAATAAAATAAAATAAGGTAGTACCCCAATAGGGAAGGAAATAGAGAAAAATAAGGAGAAAGTAGAAGCATTCCAAAACGCTTCGAGAAGCGAGGATAGTCCAAGGAGCATCGTGAGAGCACTTTAGCCTCAACCTCCCAACTTCGAACACCTCTGTCTCATGCCCCATTTGGGAATAACAAGGCGTTACTGACCTTTTCAAAGATCTACCCACGAATAGCCCCGCGTCAGATTCTGTTTGAGTACCTTGCTACTACCCACAGCACAGATTCGCAGTCCCACTGGGATCAAGGGGCGATACCGACTTACTAGGGACGTGAATCATTAGTTCTGTACACCGTCTACTATATACCAAGAGCTGCGCTGCTTAGCGTCGTCTCGTTTCTGGACCAAAATAGTAACCAGCATCATCTTTCGAAAGCGGAGGACGGAGTTAAACCGGTTTCATACTCCATCTTCGCCACTGAAAGGAGTGGGGATTGACAGATCGAACAGTCTTGCATCCTCCTTTCGGACAACTTGCCGACGGACTCACTCGGACATATAGTCGTCAACACGGTTTCTATTACCTTAATTTCCTCTCCCGGGAAAAGGGGGAAACCCCGTGGGACGAGTACCCCATCGTCCATGAACGGAGGAACTGGGGAATGATGGCCCGGCTAATATGTAAGGGAAGGATTGAAACCGATGGTTTCATTCTCAACGACTCCTATTCGGGAAATGCTGTCGCTCATCATGGCTACGATGGACTTGGCATGCAGGATTTCACGAGGAAGACCAGTCACAATGATATATAGAATACTATCTTTTATAGGTCATGCCCGCCATGTGGCGATCAATCTGTTAGCTTCTCGCTTTGATCGTCCGCGATGATTTAGGTTTGCCGATGCAGTGAAGGCACCTTAGTGTTTGCTAGTGGAGTCGAAGGTCGTAGAGAGGAAAGAAGGCAAAGAAAAACGGACAGACCTCATAAAGACGGTCTCCGGGAGTACCAGAGATTTCAAGTGACTGACTGCTAGTCGTTCGTTCACCACCAGCATCGGGTTCGCAGTCACAGCAATGGCCGGCGATTCAAAGGGTCCAACAGTGATCGCAGTCGCGGTCACTTTTGCAGTCTGGACTTTCATCATCATGTGTCTTCGGCTCTTCTCTCGTGTCTTTGTTCTACAGAAGATGGGACTCGACGACTGTGAGTACAGCTTGACTGACGAGAAATGGAAGACCATAACTAAACACCCCTAGGTCTGATTGTTTGTGCTTGTGTAAGGAGATCGAGCCCGAGATATTGATTGCTGTCGCTCACATAACCAGCTGACTTCATGGGCCTTTTCTGCCGTCACGGTCGTGTGTGAGTATACGCCAGTTTCGAGACATCGACGACGCTAACCGGATTATGTAGCGGTGAAGTATGGGTTGGGTTCGCATATCGAGGACGTCGATCCGAACAAAATGGAGACTTACGCCATGGTATATTTTGCAACCGCTGGGGTGATTTTGATTATGTCCTCTGACTGTTTGCCAGGTGGTTTGGATCAGCTCGATGTGTTACTTGGCCACATTGGGCTTCGTCAAGTCGTCCGTTTGTCTGTTCTATACTCGTCTCGGCGATCGGCTTCTGACCCGGCTCTCGATGTGTATGTTAGGCGTGATAGTCGCACAGGCTTCGTCGTTTGTGTTGGTGGCAGCATTTCAGTGCCGACCTATTGAGAAGGCGTGGAAAAGCACGCTCCCGGGGACGTGCGTGAACATCAACGTATTCTACCTTGCGAACGCGGCCCTGAATATTTTGACAGACGTCATGACGTATACCCTGCCCCTGCCAGTGATATTCAAGCTCCAGGTTCCGGTCAAGCAGAAGGTTGCATTGGGGTTCATCCTCTGCATTGGGTTATTGTAAGTCCCGGAATCGTGATACAACACATAGTGGATAGGCCCTGACATTATGACTCTTCAATTTTCAGTGCCTGCGTCTCGTCAATCATTCGCATTACGTATATTCCTGCCATGCTGTCCGATCCAGATGCTACATGGGTGATTGCCGAGGCAATGTATTGGTCCGTGATCGAGATCAATGTCGGTATCTTCGCCTCCTCCATCCCTTCGTTCAAGGCGATTGCCTCCCGCTTCATCCCGAGACTTATTGGAGAGTATTCTCGCGATAAAGGGTACAGTGGTTGGTCCAGCAGCAACGATGGGAAGAAGTTCTCCGGCTTTTCCAAAGTCCCAGAGCAGAACATTGGCCTGGACTCCATGGATCCTCGACACCCGGACGGGGATAACGCGATTGGCACGCAGATCGGGTACGGAGGGACACAGAGTCAGGAACGAATCATCCCTCATGGCAAGATCTATGCACATACAGAGATCGAGACGAATGTGGAGGTCAGTCGAGACCTGTCATGTCGTACGCTCTCCCATTCCCCTTGAAGGGATTCACAACATTACCCACTTCCAGCGGTTTTATTTTCCATGGTGATGTCCTTCGACCCTTTCATATCATTCTAATTTCTGCAAATCGCTCCTTTGATTCCCTAAGGCTTGTGTATTAAATTCTAGACTCTCTTTCACTTTCATTTTCCTTTTATTCAATTCCTTTTTATTCCTGGCTTTTACATGGGGGGCATAGCGATCGAATTTAGATTAACGATGAATGAAAATATCGAGTAATTTTCGCATGACTACTTTAATCGCACCAAAAAAAAAAAAAAAAAAAAAAAAAAAAAAAAAAAAAACAAAAAAAAAAAAAAAAAAAAAAAAAACCTATTGAAAAAAAGTGAGGTCTATGACAGATCAGGTGCCGACAGAGAAGAAATCGATCGGGATTTCCGACGTCGGGACTCCCGAGAAGCAACAACAGCATCAGTCTTTCTCACTGCCGGGATTTCGGCAAACATCCCCCCAACCAGGTTGTATATTGGGATGCTCATATTTCTTGCGATTTTGATGCCTTAGGGTAAACAACTAAACGGCCCATTGAACAGTTTGACTGGCCTCCAGGTTTGAACTAGTCTTGGTACGCTCTGTCCAGGATACACTAAAGACGCGGAGGACAGCAGTGCCCATTCTCGTTTACCAGGAGAGGATCACACTGGATCAGAGATATAACTAATCGCTGCCCCTTTCTCCTCGGGGTGACTGAACGCAATGGGCCCGGCTATACTCTTTCCCATCTCAACGCCCCCCAGCCTCCCCTTGATTTACCCCATGGGCAAAGTCTCCACAAATCTCCACAAGAAAACCAGCACCCCATCGGACGCCGTGCCCTAAAAGTACGATTATGAAATCAATTATGCGAATCCCAAACAGTACTATCTCTCAGGCTACTAGAGTGAAGGCGTGATTTGACACCCGTGGGCCTATCTGCAACTCATTATTGGAGAAAAGGTTGATTAATCCCCACAGCCTAATGCTTAGCAGCTGGGGTAGAGGAAGCTGTGTATGTCACCATGGTGGATGAAGATCACAGTCGCGGGGTTTGGACTGAGTGCGATGGTGCGCAGTTTAAAACGCAGCCCCTACACACATAATGCAAACGGGCTTGTCACTCCTACTTGTCTTTCTCTGGAACGAAAATGAGACCGACACTTAACATCCTCGCGGGAGCAGCCACTCTCATAGTGGTACAGGCAACTAGCCTCCGGGATGTGTGTACAAACAGCCATGCCAAGTCAGTTTTGCCCTCTACTGATCTCATCAACGGCCTCGTAATCGATCGATCTTCTATTACCACCAATGCTGTCTATAATGCTTCCACCCCCGGCGGTGACTACTTCCCAGCAGCAGCCGCATATGATTTCTGCAATGTGACCCTCACGTACGCCCATCCTGGACGCAACGATAAGGTTCATCTTAAGCTATGGATGCCAGCTCCGGACCAGTTCGAAAACCGGTGGCTGTCGACTGGTGGAGGTGGTTTTGCGATCAACCACGATGAACAGCAGCTCCCGGGAGGTGTCCAATATGGCGCCGCGGCTGGTATCACTGACGGCGGCTTCGGCAGCTTTTCGACCCAGTTTGACCAAGTATTTCTTCTGGCCAATGGTACGATCAACTATGAAGCACTGTATATGTTCGGGTACCAGGCGCACCACGAGCTGAGCGTCATCGGAAAGGCCCTGACAAAGAACTTTTACGGCACGGGTGACGCAAAGCTGTATGCCTATTGGCAGGGATGTTCCGAGGGTGGTCGCGAGGGATTCAGCCAGGTGCAGCGATTTCAGGAGTTCGACGGCGCTGTGATCGGCGCCCCGGCCCTTCGCTATGGTCAACAACAGACTAACCATCTCTACGCAAATGTGGTTGAGCATACCCTCAAATACTACCCTCCCCCTTGTGTATTAGAGAAGATTGTAAATCTGACTATTGCGGCATGCGATCGACTGGACGGAAAGGCTGACGGCGTGGTGTCGCGGACCGACCTGTGCAAGGCGCATTTTGATACCAATTCCACGATTGGCGCACCTTACTCCTGTCCAGCCTCAACAACAACCACTGGCACAACCCCCGCGCAGAATGGAACCGTGTCTGTGCTCGGTGCCGCAGCAGCTAAGAAGATGTTGGATGGTCTTCGTACGCTTGACGGCCGTCGGGCCTATATCTTTTACCAGCCTTCCTCCACCTTCGACGATGCGCAAACGAAATACAACCCCGAAACAAAGGAGTTTGAACTCGACGTCACTGCCTACGGCGCTGAATGGGTCCCCCGCTTTCTGCAGCTACAGAATTACACTTTATCCTCTTTGGAAAATGTGACATATGACACGTTAAAAGACTGGATGGAACTTGGATGGCAGCGTTACGAAGACGTCCTGCAGACCACATGGCCTGATCTAACCCCTTTCCAGTCCGCGGGTGGGAAGGTGCTTCACTACCATGGCGAGTCGGACCCAAGTATTCCGGCTGGATCCTCGGTGCACTACCATGAGTCTGTCCGTAAGACAATGTACCCCAACATGTCTTTCAACGCGAGTAACCAGGCGCTGAATGAGTGGAACCGCTTATTCTTGGTCCCCGGCGCCGCGCACTGCACCTCCAGTACTGATCAACCCAATGGCCCATTCCCCCAGGCAACTCTCAAGACACTCATTGAATGGGTCGAAAATAATATCGTTCCGGAAACTTTGAATGGTACGGTGCAGTCCGGTGATCACAAGGGTGAGCAGCAACAGATCTGCGCTTGGCCCTTGCGTCCCTTTTGGAAAGACAATGGCACCGTTATGGATTGTGTATACGACCAGGCTTCCTTGGACACCTGGGACTATGATTTTGATGCCTATCGCATCCCTCTCTACTAAGTGGATGGGCCTGCTCTAAATAGTAACTAGGATAATACAGAAACGCACTCTCTTCTTGGGACATGAATGCCAATCGTATAGAACCTTCATCCGGTGCAAGTGCACCTATAACGCTTCCACTCCAAGGTCTGCCGAATAAGCATGTCCAGTGACTTTCTCATCCTCCGCCATGAAAGCACCAAGGACGCTGGTTATTTGTCTCGAATTTATGTGCACAAGTAGAATAGCTGACTAATGGGTATAAGTCTTCCGAATCGAGTTAGGTACAGACCGCTCGAATACCCTCGGTTACTCTGGTTATCCATTGCACATCTCAGCACCGAATGCTCTCTAGTTTTATAGAAATCGAATGTCCACACCCCTTTAGCGTAAGCTTTCTATCTAGGGGTTTTGCTGCTCTGAATGCCTACTCGTGGTCCAAAGACGACGGGCGATCTTATAATTGTCCATCAGCAAGACCGGAAGAGTCGGACACGAGCTCGAGCGCACTTAGCGCATAACGGGATCAGGAAGAGGATTCAAAAGCAGCGTGGAAGTGACGATGACAGTCCACCATCCCCCGGCTCCAAGGCCGTAGCCACGCCTTCTATTTCAACTCCTGTCGCATTGTCCGGTTTCTCGATGGTGGAGTATCTGATCTCTACCAATATCTTCCTGGATCTTAGCAGCACTTGGGGAGTGAGTCCGGCTGTTTGTCCCGGTCCAGCAAACTTATCGCATACCCTCTCGCGGGCTTCTGATGCACTGGAATGTATTTTCCGTGCGAACTTGGCTTTCCACTTGTTGGATCTCAAGTTGGGGACGACCCCCGAGGAGAAGAGGAACATGAAGGTTGCCGCTTTGACGTATCGAGGGCAAGCACTAGCGTTGGCGCAGAAGGAGTTGCTTCGCTGCTGTGGATCAGGCTCCACGAATTCCGACACTATCCTACAACCGGTCCACCCGGCAAATCGGGAGATCTCCTTCGGTATCGTGCTCCGAATGCTTCAACTCGACTACCGATTTGCGCGATGTGACGTCGAGGCCCATTTTGTGGCATGCCGACAGCTGCTCAGGGGCAGCTCAGATGTTGGCCGCCTCATGGTGGATCACCATTTAATTGGAGCCCTGGCATCTACCATTCGGAATCCTCATCTCCATCACCTCATGATCACTTTTGAATGTGTCAATCGCACATCCAACAGCGTGATCTGGGACGATGCGGACCTGGGCTTTCTTACGAATCATCTGTGTCAATTTGTCAACCGCCTCAAGGCGTGTGACGTAGTATCTACGGAGAATCGAACTTTGGGTGAATCTATCCCACTGACACAGGCAAGGGTTCCTCCGTGCAGTATCTTATGGCGATGCCTCACCAAGCGACCCACGTCAATTCCGTCGAATATCTACCGCGATGTTTGCGAGTCTAGTGCCCAGATTGGGGCATTACTGCTCATATGCTCGGTCTTCTTTGACTATGAAGATGGTCTGGGGGGCACTGATACTTCGATTCCCTACCAGTGCGTTGAGGAACTAGAAAATGCGCTTTCTGCTCTTGGGGAGGAAAATGCTGTGTCTAGTGCGCTCAATACGGCTTGGCTGTTGGCCGGTGGAGTTGGACTACCACTACTACAACGGCGCGCCCGTTTGTGGACCGTATCCGGAATGATATATGCTCTCAAACGATCTTCTAGCCTTGATCTGACCGTTACAACATCGGGCGATGTGGTGAATGCCGAGTATGTCAAGCAAGTTTGCTTGGGATTCTTGAGTAGCCCTTGGAGACAGTCCTGAAGTAGGGGAAATGCACACCGGTTTTCAAGATCCAGACCGCAATTCACGCTTGTTCTCGCGATCATAGCAATTCTTCGTCTCGTCTCAACGCATCGCATTTGCCAAGGTGCTAACCCGAATAGGAAATTTCCTAAAGGGGAAAGGGATGATACAATGCTCAGTCAACCTTTTCTCAACAAAATCGTTGGCTGGATCGCAGACTGCCTGCTAAATATCACATGTGGTCGAGTAATAAAGGCCAGGCGCTACACTATCCTTGTTCTTTGCAGTTTCTTTCCCTGCATTCACTCCACGTCGTGTCACTCAGGACCCAGCCGGACAGCCTCTGTGCCAGTAGTGTCCAGAGCAATCGTTGACAATGGTCAGCTCTTCGTCGCTACCTCCAGAGCTGCGGAAGCTCTCGGATGACGTCTATGTGTATGACCCTAGCATGAACTCTCCTGGCGACAGCCGCAGCAGTGCAAGCGATCCCACAGTTGTTGTACTATACACATGGGCCGATGCACATGTACGCCTGATCCAGAAATACTTCCAAGGGTACAGAGATATCTACCCGTCAACTAAAATTATTATTGTCATGGCCAAGACGATGAAGACATTTTTCGGCAGTCAAGAAACAAATCAAGCTGTGGTGAGGGAAATGGTGGTTAAGGAATTGTGGCCGCTTAATAGCGGCAAACCAAGTCCGTCTTCTGAACTTCCAGACTCTGTGAAATATCGGGGAACGCCACATCCCCGCATCCTCATGCATGCCTTCTCGAACAGTGGCGCCGTCAACCTGGAGGCGACTGCGTTGGTTTGGCATTCATTACAACGAAGCGTGAGCCAATGCATCGGTCCACTGCCCATCAAAGGCCTCATTCTCGACTCGACGCCAGGTGGATCCTCCTTTTCCCTTGAATTCCATCGCTGGACAGCCGGGGTAGCCTTGGGGTTCGCGTTTCTCCCCAGGATCGTGGCGAAACTGGTGGCGGCCATCATCGTGCTGCTATATTTTGGGCTACCGGGTCTGCTCGGAAAGGAAGTGCTTCCTGTCCGTGGGCGGAGAGTCGTCAATTCGCCCGACTACATACCAACAACCAGCGCACGATTGTATATATACTCAGACTCGGACCCTTTGATTGGCGACAAGGATGTAGAGTCACATGGGCATGAAGCTAAGGCGAAGGGATATCGGCACATTGAGTTGGAAAAGTTCCAAGGTTCGGGCCATGTGGCACACATGCGACAGGATCCGAAGAAGTACTGGGCAGCGATTGCAAGGTTTTGGGATAAGAGCTGTGTGTGATGTTCGTATCGTTTTGTCTTACGACTTGGGTGATTGAAAGAAGTACGTAGTGGGTCAGGGTCTTGTAATATATGTTTTGAATCCTATGCCTTTTTCATTCATTTGCGGAGTGACGGAGTATGAGATGTGTGTGCAAGACTGCCGGAAAGCGACGGATCCTGCGATAGCCGACGGTGGATCTTATCTGATCATCTGATAATCGCCGAGGATTGTGTGGCCAATCGGTAAAGGTACCAAATTCCCAGGCACTTGGTTCTTTTTCCCCACAATGGACTCAACTTTTCCTGCTCCGGGGAAGTTGTGCCCCTGCGTTGTCACTCTTACCTACCAGAGCTGTTCCTCCCCCTACCCTGCTCGTGCGGCTCTTCCGCTCGTATCTTCAGCTCCGTGCTTCTGCATATATCTGGCTCGCGTTGATCAGTAGCGCACTGCTTCATGTCCCCAATGTCATGCAGAAATTCTTACGGACCGTTTCTTATGACTCAGGGTCCACGCCGATCATGAAAGACCCACGCGACGAAGAGTATGAGCCAATCTTCGACTCGTCGGAAACTGTCGCAGAGGCCAGGGAGGGAAGGGCACATGGAGTCGCAGAGATCGAGGCTTTGGCAACAGTGTGGTCGACCCAGGCTCTCCATGTCGGATATGCTTTGTATGAAATCCCTATCTCGTATCACTGCTCGAGCACAGCTGACGTGGGTGATTAGAGTATTTGTCATATTTTTCATCAACTCTTTCCAACAGGAAACGACTGGTAGTCTCTCACCGTACGTGTACTCGACGTTCGCCAATCATTCTTTGGTGTCAAGGACGAATGTCTTGACCAATGTTGTCGGCGGGGTGGCTAAACTGCCCTGTGCCATGTTGATCGACGTCTGGGGCCGTCCGAAGGGGTTTGGGATTATGACTGGCCTATGCACCTTAGGTAAGACAGACCCACGGAGGCAGGCAAGACTTCCGCTAACATTAACAGGGCTCTTCCTGATGGCTATCTGTGCAAACGTGGAAACCTACGTCACCGCTCAGGTAAGCCCCATGCTCATGTGCTGGTGTGAGGACTTGCCCACCTTCTAATGACTTCAACAGGTTATATACTGGGTTGGATACAACGGAATGGACTACGTCCTCCATATCTTTCTCTCCGATACCACGGACTTGGTCAACCGATCGTTCGTGTATGGCATGGCATCAACTCCGTATGTTGTCACTACGTTTGCCGGCCCTGCAGCGGCGCAATCGCTTTATGAAAAAGGGGGTTTGTGGTGGGGCTTTGGAATATTCGTCTTCCTCACTCCACTTGTAACGGCGCCTTTCATGTGGTTACTCTGGACTTCACTTCGCAAGGCGTACGCAGCGGGGCTGATCCGGAAAAACCATAGTCGCAGAACGTGGGCACGATCCGTCAAGCATTATTTCATTGAGTTCGATAGTAGGTATCCCGCGACGATGCGACATGGGTATAGACTGACATAAGCAGCTATTGGACTCTCGTTAGTAACAGTGGCATTTGTTTTGATGCTCCTTCCATTGACGCCAGCCTCACAGGCCCGCAATGGTAATATGTCCTTGTTTGATAGATGGAGATCGCTGGATACTACAGCGTCGGTTTTTCTTGGCGTGCTTGTCTTTATGGCGTTTGTGCTCTGGGAGCGCTTTTGCGCCCCAGTCTGTTTCCTACCATTCAGTAGGCTCAAGGATCGAACGTTGTTAGGAGCTTGCTTTCTTGCTGCGTCCCTTTTTGCCAGCTTTTAGTATGCTGTCCTGTTGCGCATTCCTTATACGGAGCCCTTGCTGACGTGTCATAGTTGCTGGGACCTTTACCTTGCTTCCTACCTCCAGGTTACCTTCAACACCAGCATCCGGGAGACGGGCTACATTTACAACATCTATACCATTGGGACATGCCTTTGGTCGGTGCCACTGGGACTGTAAGTACAACCCCTTTCGAGTTGCTCTTCCTCTCTAACATCGCATAGGATCATCCGCAAGGTCGATCGCCTTAAATGGATCGCTCTAGCCGCCATGCCGTTGATCTTTCTCGGGACAGGACTGATGATCCATTTCCGATCACCTCAAAGTCACATCGAATACGTCGTCCTTTGTGAAGTCTTCAAGGCCCTGGGCGGGGGCACCCTGGTAATCTGCCAGCAGATGGCAGCGATGGCCACAGGTGGCCATGAGAGTGTCGCTGTCTCCTTCGCGTTGGTCGGGTTGTTCACCAAACTGGGAGGAGGCATCGGCTCTGCGATCTCCGGTGCCATCTGGACAAGCACTGTTCCCGTCTATTTGGAGAGATACCTGCCTCCAGAGAAGAAACACAAGGCGGCGGAACTCTACGGGTCGATTGAGGACGTCCTATCGTACCCGATCGGGACCCCAGAACGGGATGCTACCATCCTGGCGTACGGAGTAGCCCAACGACGGATGTTGATTGCTGGTCTTTCCATCCTACCGCTCGCTGTTGCTTCTATTCTGATGTGGAGGGACATTCGCTTAAAGAAACTCAATCAGGTCAGGGGCACCGTCTTCTGAACCTATATGAGACGGCTCGGTGGGCACTGTGAATAGACGTATACTGGACAGACTTTGTACATAGAACCTTGTCAATTACCAATGAAGTACATGATCCCAAGTGACTCAGGCTGACGCCTCCATGGTCTTCAGCTTCTCCTGCAAGGCAGCAAAATTTCTCTGCATGGCCTGCGCATTGAACTGCTCCCCGGTCAGCATGGGATATTTCTTCTTCGGACCCTGGATGAGCGCATCCTTGCACGGCTGATTAAAATATGCAATGCTGTACCGATCGCCATAGTAATCCCCCGGCTCGGACGGAGCTTTCACACGATGAAACGTCGATTTGAAGCGATCATCCGACCACGACATGAGCAGGTCCCCAATATTGCAGACGATCTCACCCGTGCGCGCGTCCACAGGAGTCCATTCGTCGCCGATCCCAAACTCCGTCACAGCCTCACGACCGGGACATATCTCCAGTCCGCTTTGCCCGTCCTTCTGAAACAGCAACGTCAGGAAATCCCAGTCGGCATGGGCACCCGCCCGATGGTAAGTGTGCCCGTCAGGCTTTTCCGGCAGAGCAAAGTAATGCAGCAGTCGCATGGTCGTCTGTTCATTGGGACGAGACACATCATGGCACTGGATGAAGTACTCTTCCTCAAAGCCGAGCCCGCGTGCAAAGCACCGCATCAATTGTTCCGACACAGCCTGCACGCGATGCATGAAGGTCAAGGAGGTTGTTCGAAACCCGGCGAGATGGACATCGTCCAACCACATGTTGGCCATGTTCTCTCCAAACTGCAACTGGTATGATTCCTTGGTGTCCGGTTGGCCTGTGGATGGCCTGACCTGAGACTTCTTTTCCCACCCGACATTGTTGGGATTCCACGGCACGGTGGCCTTGACGTCGTCGGGGAGGTTGAAGAAGCGCTCGGCGGTCGCGAACATGGTCTCGATCTCATCGGCAGAGATACCATGATCGACGATCGTGAAGAAGCCGACATTCTCGGCGGCGTGGACGAGGACCGCGGTGATCTCGTCGATGCGCTGGTCGAAATCGGCCAGGGAGATTCGGGGGATCGAACGATCAATGTACTTTGTTGCCATTGTGTAGGCCTAACGTGCTCCCAGGGGGGCGTTTCAACCCCGAAGATGCTCGTAGCTGGGCTTTTAAGCCTTCAGAAGTTATCAAATGCTTGTGGATGTGGGGCATGAACGATACAAGTCGATCTGCTTATCAGAAAACTTCCCCGCATGACGGAGTCCGCCGATGACTATCAGCTGTAGTTATCTCTTGTCGACGCTTACGTCTTCCTGTGATTGATCCTTTTCACTTGCTATCACTCACGTCTTGCCTGTTGATTCATATCTTTACCGTGTTTGCCGTTTCCTACAGCAACCGAAGGTGATGCTGAAACGTATGTTATCAGGCAGTGTAGGCTGGCGCTGATCAGCGAACTTACAATCTACTTATGAGTTTGTCTTGGGACTATCTATAAATGGACTGCCTGAGATTCATCAGAGAACATACATAGGTTTTGTGTTGGGATAGCGAATTGCCTTCACGCTCAACAGCCTTTTATACATACATCAAGCCTTCAACCGCCGAGCCCCTGGATCCCGACCGATGTGAATGCATCCAGACCGATATAGCTTACTACTATACAGGTATCAAGCCAGACAGCCATAATACTAATTCCACATGGCGATCGGGCAACCAAAAAGCCCCCTGTTAGTGTGCTCACAGGTCCGTCAACATCGCAGCACCCACGAACGCCAACCAGGCAGGTATGTCCGCCACCAACATGCGAATCCGATGTATCCCCAGCCAGATATCCATTTCCTTACTCGTTTCGGCTTCGGGGTCAGTATTGTCCAGGATGCGTTGAATCGGTGGCGCGACGAACGGCACAAAGGCCAGATGCCCAATAGCGCCCATGAGGCCAGCCCAGTAGAACGTTGTACGGGACACAGGCAGCGGCCGGGAGCAAGGATTCTTCAGAAAGATATTGCATAATGATGTGCCAATTGTCGTGACGTTGAGAGCCAGCACAAGGCTCACTCCCCTAGGGAATACATAACGCCAGTATTGTGCGAGAATCGAGTCGGACTTCTTACGAGTCGGCGGCTGCACCAGCCCTGAGTAATATATGAGCTCGCTGGTAGCGAGAACGAGACTTCCGGTGCTTGTTGCAAGTGGTGCTGCCCGAAGGAGGGCATATGGGTCGATAACAACTCCTGAGGCCATGGTAGACGGGAAAACGCGAGACCCGGTCAAAATGAACAGAACAACTGGGCTTGTGACGGGCCTTTTCCTGCAGTATGGCTTTTATAGATCATTCTGGCCGGAGGTCCTCCGGGGAGAGCCTGATGGGCTACCATCGTGGGCTAATGGACAGGAAGTGGACTGATGCGTGCACTAGTGCCCGCCATTCTCACACTTATTCGTCGATATCCGAAATTTCAACGGTTTTATCCTTGGCCCAACGTATAACTCACGCCCGTGATTGGCGTGCTCGTAAACGCCCCGCTCAAGCCTTATGTTCCGACAGAGTATACTGCAGTCACAGCATCATCGGACAGCTAGATGATGTAACCATAAGAGATGATATCTCAAGCACATCAGGAAAGCGTTTCCTTTGAGACTACACGTTCAGACAAATCAGAGTGACCGCAGTCTCGCCATGTGTATACTGTTAGTGGTGGCAGGTTCTCAAAGCGCTGAGCTTTAAAATCACCCTGTATGTTCGAATCAATACCTTTCGTCTGTGAGAGGGCTATTGACGAGCTGTACACAGCCCGGCACCCGGCTCACTACAAGTCAGCGTTGGAGACATGCTACAAGAATTCGCTTGTTTAGTATCGTGGTAGCACCTGCGGAACCCGAACAGCCCTATGAAGCACGTGTTACGAAACTGCCAATATCAATTGCTATTGTCTGCATTGAAATATAATTCTTATCGTTCGCAGAACTATTTGAAAGGAACCCAGAGGAGCAATGCCCATATATCTGAAAATTGCAAGTGTTGGCTGCAAGTGAACTGATCATTATCGCCTACACGCCTCGGCGCAGCCAGCTCCTCGTACTTCCAGCTATTACCGCGCATGGAATTATGTCTTCCTATTGAGGGCGAATCGACCGATTATAACCGGAATCGCAGTGGATGAGCCGGCTGAACATTCCATTGATGGTATAACTCCAGTTACTCGTATAATTGTACGCATAATCTAACTATCTTGCAGTATAACAGGGTCTATGTATGTGAAACCGGACAAAAGGCACGTCCTCTTATCAAAAAATATTAGAGGCCCTTTCACCCTGGTTATATCCTATGATATCTCGTATTGACCGACTTGGCGTCGTGCGGATTGGATGTGTCCTCCATCAAGTCCCATAAATCTCGGGGACTTAGGGTCGATCTTTACGATATAGAGAAGAGATCGTCCGGCGTGCCACAACAACCCTCGGCTTTTCCCATTTTTTCCACGGTCAAGCTGAAGATGCTGCAGCTTTAGAGCGCTCTCCAACTTAGTCATGATAACTTATGCTTGCCCGCCCTGGCAGAAGGACTACCAGTGGTTCGTGTCGTGGTTAAAAATAACAACAAGGGAGCCACCAGTGCATCTAAGACTTCGTATCCAGAGAATGCCCCACAACGTCACATATCACGAAAGCCCGAAGGCCAATAATAGTTGCCCCTTTTCCCATCTCTTACAAGGATCATCTGACAACATTCAACCGACGTTACAATCTAATCTACACATTGAGTTCTGCAGTGCTCACCTAGATTGTGATGTGCATCATGATTGCCCGACATGGTGATTTCCATGTATCCTGAATGATGGTCCGACACCTTGCGCCAATTTCATCCACTCTGGAGCACCCTTATATATAGGGTCGAACACCCACCAGAAGATCCCATCTATCCCACGGTCAGCACTCGCCAGACACAGACAACCAGCGACCACAATGAAGCTCTCCACGCTTGCCTTGACCGCTGCCGCCGGCCTGTCCTTGGAGGCTACTGCTGAGACAGTCCAGGGTTTTGATATCTCCAACCATCAAGCCACCGTCGACTTCAAGGCTGCCTATAATGATGGCGCCCGCTTCGTCATGATTAAGGTGTGACATCGTTCATCTCAACCTTATGATCGCGTTATTAACAGTCGCAGGCAACCGAGGGCATGACCTTCAAGGACCCGCTCTTTAGCTCACATTACCAAGGTGCTACTGAGGCCGGTCTGATTCGCGGAGGCTACCATTTCGCGACTCCCGACTCCTCCTCTGGCGCAGAGCAAGCGCAAGAATTCCTCAAAAACGGCGGTGGCTGGTCCAAGGACGGCATCACCTTGCCTGGTATGCTCGATATCGAATACAACCCATACGAGGGTGGCACCTGCTACGGTCTGAGCGCCGCGAATATGGTCGCCTGGATCAAGGACTTCGTCGATACGTATCAGAAGGCCACTGGGGTCTACCCCATGATCTACAGCACCGCCGACTGGTGGAAGACCTGCACCGGAAATGCCGGCGGGTTTGGCCAGACCTGCCCTCTCGTGCTTGCCGCGTATAGCAGCTCGGCGCCGTCGACGATCCCTGGCGACTGGCCGACCTACACCATCTGGCAAAACTCTGACAGCTATAAGCACGGTGGTGACTCCGATATCTTTAACGGATCGTATGAGCAGCTGCAGAAAATCGCTAACGCTGCGTGACTCTGGATTGACGACGTGTTTTGCAATATGAAATTCTTTCGTTTGTTTCTCGTGAATGTATCTTTCAACTGTCCAGGCGACGGTCGCTAGTTAATCAATTGACATGCCGTTGGCTCTATCGTCTATTCAACATAAGTGGTAGATCAACCGGAGACATGAAAATCATTGTCTTGCTTTATCTTTTGCAACTGTCTGGACCATGGTCATGTTTACGGTCTTAACACCCAACTAGGAGTAACCGCTGTTATTGATCTGTCTTACCAAGGTAGCAGGAAGCCTTTGGGATTTGACACAGGCTGACGTCGTGCTTACCACAGTGGCCCCTTCCGCCGAGAAAAATTCCAAAAGGAATAGCGAGAGCGCCGTAGAATAGATACCATCACATCAAACCCAGGTGTAGGGCATGGTTGAGGTAGAGCACCGTGGTGGTGAGGACAGCTCAGCAAGGAGACCAAGCAAGGGGGCATGGGCAATTATAGGGATTCAAAAATCTGCCAAGTGATGTAAATGTGTTTCAGACTCCATTAAGTGTCCTCATAAAAGCAATAAATATGGAGACAATGAAGCAGAAGTCCATTTATTATTAACATGTCGCATAAACACGTCAACCTAGGTCCTAGCATGATCCCAGCCCAATAAGCCAGACTATGTCGATTTTAAAAGAAAGAAGCGCCCTTATGCTCGATCGCTATTCCTTTCAAAACCAGCTGATCCACAAAATAAAGTCCGAATGTCACATAAATGACCATCCACACACTTTCCCAGTATGGAAAACTTAGGCAAATCCCCCTTGCATCTCAGCCAGCCTGAGTCAATACCCACACGTTGAAAGAGTCCGGTGGCACACAGATTGTCGGGCTTCCGTGCAGAAACGGACGAAGCATCATTCATGATCCAGATTCTGCTATGCGGTGGGTCCTCCATGGTCTCCCTGCATTGTGCTGACTTCGAATGACCGTTTATGTAGCTTCTCTAGAACATTGATCCAGGGTAAAATGTTCCCGGTGCTTCGGAATACTCGTAGAATATTTAGAATTACACCAGAAGGTAACCAGAAGGTGTCCAGAATCTCTGGAATATTTTTAGATGTGACATATCTTAGCCTAGCCTGTTATCATTCCATCGGGTAGTAGGCCAAATCACTTGTTACTAGTCAACTAACGCTCCACTACTTATGTAGGTAATTGTGTAGACGTTTTACAGTATTTTATGGTAGAAAAGGATCTACATTACATGTAGAGGTTTTTTGCAAATACTATAGTCTGCGCAGTGCACAGTAGAGGCTTTTTCCCTGTCTGTTTTAGTCCACCTTGGTCTCAGTCATGGACGGTCATAGTGGGACGAGGATGGCGAGCGAGTGGCGGTACACACACACACACACACACACACATACATCTACCAAGCATGTCTGCCAAGAAGACAACGTCCAAGTGGAAGGGAGAGGTCTGTGTTTGACTGCCAAGAGTCATACGTGAAAGGAAACCAAGACTCGAAAGGAAACTAAAAATACATCAAAGAATTAAGCCGACAGAAGAGATTCCGGTGTAACATAGCTTAATGTTGGCAGTGACCAGATTCTATCCATGCCTAAAGTCATAACCGAAAGCTGTTGTTCTATTCTTTCATACCTGCTTTGCTCGTGATATTGGACGTGGGAATAACCGAGATGCGGGGCTATGTTGAACATCAATCTTACATCAGTACAAAAAGCCTTTGAGACTCTGCGGAATTAATCCACCGCCACAATATGTGCCTCATCGCGCCCTATATTAATCCGGGCAGAGACCAAGGCTTATAGTCACATTCCACGGTGTATAGTCTACCAATAACCGATTGACATGACAAACTTGCTGTTCTTGTCTGCATTAGTTCCTTTCGCTCGCAGGTCATTAGGGCTATGATTGGCCTATACCATGGAAACGGGATCAATGATGTCACTTTCTTCGCGCTAGACTTGACAACAGCTTCTTGAGTTCGATCTACTAGTACAGTAGGATTTAGTTGGGATCTCATGATCCAGTATATCCGAAGTAATCCGGCCCAATCTCCATCTGTCGCATTGTTGGGTGGCCTAATTTCATTTGGGTTGGGGCAAACAGTATCCATCGCTCGGGGCACTGGCAGATTGAAACAACAAAGACCACTGTAGGATAGAATTAAAGTCCAAGCAGGTATGGTGGCATTGTGTATGGACCTGAGTGGCGTTGTTACTCAGGGGCTCATAGCCAATGATCGCCAATGATTCGTGCTTTGTCCATGTGGTCAACGGACTCAAAAGTTGGAACGGGGAAGGGGTGGCTTGTCCTCGGCATTCACTAAGGTTCAATATCTCCCCACCGGGGCCAGAGACCCATCTCGAATCCATGGATCATATCACATTGTTTTCATTTTCCCCCTATGCTATGCTATCACACCGCTCAGGGGACACGGGCGAAAGCTGAGCGCTGAAAGCAGCCAGCCTGATGCCAAGAATAGGTCTCGGCGGGTCAGGGGATCAATTTCCCAAACGGGAAGTGCGATATCAACCCTCACCCTCCATCATATCTCTGTTCTTTCCCCTCGACAGACGGAAAATAGCGTAGAAGAATCCATGATATGTCAAGATTGATGCATCCGACGCCAGATTAGAATGGTGCCTCCGACCCATCATGCAAAGATGGCCTTGTTGATCGAGCGATCGCGTTTCAAGGGATAACCCTGCGGATCCTCTACTCCACCAACTAATGTGCCAAGAGGGCCCAGTCGACTGCCAATTATCCGGGCTCGGCTTGTGCCTACCGGCAAAACCCTACTCTAACAATTGCGGGGTTACCTTGTTGGGCGCATGATGCCGTCCCTGCAAGGGTAGAGCGAAGAGTCATGGCCGTGTGCGGGGGATGTATTCACTGGGCTATCTGATGGATCCTGTCGGACTATTGTGCCCGCAATCAATTGGCTGTTCTGGGACTTGGGCTCCAGCGAGGCTGCTGTCAAGATGGCCGGTGCTCCGAGTATAAATACCATGGGCAAATTGCCCGTCCACGGTTGCTGCATGGGTTGATTCCTGCAGTATACAGACAGGAGTTGATACCTTCTAACCAGCGGTAGACATGTATTTGCCTGGTGCCTCCCTTCTGTTTCTATGGGCAAATCATGCCCTAGCTGCAGGCAACGCAGCACTCCATCACAACCAGGCTCGCCAAGCGACGCCGTATGCCGTCAAAGAACCCCCATTGACCACACCATGGACGGACAAAGCTGGCACCAATCCTTGGCCAGAGTATCCCCGTCCGCAGCTCGAACGATCGGAGTGGAAGAATCTCAATGGAATCTGGCAGTATCAGGACGCACAAAGCCTGGCTGCTCTTGACAGTCCCCCATTTGGACAACCTCTCGCACACGAGGTTCTGGTGCCTTCCTGTCTGGAGAGTGGCCTATCTGGTAAGCCTTCCCTGCTGGACTGGGTTAGAGTACATACTAACCATCGCATCTCCAGGCATCCAAGGCAAAGATACCTTGTATTCATGGTTTACCACGCAGTTCACAATTCCTCCGTCTTTCAAAGACCAGAATGTTCTCGTGAACTTTGCTGCGGTAGACTATGAGGCAACCGTCTTCGTCAATGGCAAAAAGGCTGGGTTCCACCGCGGAGGCTACTTCCATTTCGCATTTGATATCACAGAGTTCGTGAATCGTGATGGCGAAAACGAACTGTACGTGCCGCTCCCCGCTGGGAATCGGATCGCAGCTGACATATGATAGCCTCGTCTTTGTGCATGACCCCACAGATAGCGGCGACGATGTCATTCCTATCGGCAAGCAAAGACTAGTCCCCGCACATATCTTCTATACGCCCTGCAGCGGCATTTGGCAGAGTGTCTGGATCGAAGCTGCTCCCGCGAACCATATCACCCGGCTGGATCTTGACGCCGACATGCACGGCAAAGGTGCGTAGTGTCTTTCGATATGCATCTTCTTGATACTAATCCAATGAGCTAGTTACTGTCACTGTGAATACTGCGACAGAAAGCGCGTCGCCAGTCGAGGTCACGGTCTATGACGGTGATGAAGAGGTGGGATCCGGCGAGGGAACATCAGACGAGACCTTCAACTTCCTTGTTGACGGTGTAAAGCTATGGTCGCCAGACTCCCCGAAGTTGTACAACGTGACTGTCACGATGGGTGCAGAGGAAGTCCACAGCTATGTCGGTTTCCGCACGATTGCGAAAGGCAAGGTCGACGGTGTCGTACGTCCATTGTTGAACGGTGAATTCATCTTCATGTTCGGGACGCTTGACCAGGGCTACTGGCCTGATGGACTCTATACACCACCCACACGAGAGGCTATGGTATACGACCTCAAATTCTTGAAGGACCTTGGGTTTAACATGGTTCGGAAACATGTAAGTGAGATGGTGCCAGGAGCTCATGGAAGGTATACTCACATATAAACAGATCAAGGTCGAGCCAGCACTTTTCTATCGGGCCTGCGACGAACTAGGCTTGCTAGTCATCCAGGACATGCCGTCGCCACGTCCGCTATCAAGACCTGATGCTTGTGCCACCAGCGACATTATACCGAATGAGTCGCAACAGGACGAGTTCGCCAGACAGTTGGAGGTCCTGGTGAACCAGTTCAAGAGCTACCCCAGTATCATTGCCTGGGTAAGTAGCTTCGTCGAGTTCGTGTCTCTGCCACTCTAACCCTTCTTTGCAGGTCATCTATAACGAGGGCTGGGGCCAGATCACCTCGTACTACCCTGAGTTCGAATTAACAGACCGAGTGAAGGAGCTGGATCCTAGCAGACTGGTCGATTCGACATCCGGCTGGATAGACCATGGCGCAGGTGACTTCAGCGTAAGTGAAGGTGACCACGCTAGATCGCGAAATGATAGCTGACGGTCACAGGATAATCATCACTATGCCAATCCCCAGTGTGGAACTCCATTTTACTCCCTGTCGTCCAGCCCCCATGATCCCAGCCGCATTGGTTTCCAAGGAGAATTTGGAGGCATCGGTCACAACGTCTCCATTGAAAAGTGAGTTCACTGAGCCCCACGTGTGGTCATGACATCTACTAACTGGCCCAGTCTCTGGAACGTCCAAGAGGCCATCAATCATATCAACGAGACGTATGAGATCGATGAGACACTCGAGGCATGGAACTACCGCGGTCACATCCTGTTAACGGAATTCGAGGACCAGATCCGCCGGTTCGAATGTAGCGGTGGTGTCTGGACACAGACTACTGACGTTGAAGGCGAGGTAAATGGTCTGATGACATACGATCGCCGCGTGAAGCGTGTGGATGAGGAGCAATGGAAGAACGATATTCAGGCACTTTATGATGCGGCTGCTCAACGGGGTGCTCCATCCAAGATGAGGCTGTAGGGAGAACGAGTTAACGACCACCTTGTTTCTTTCATTGTCAGGTTTGAATGACCCCGTCTTTTCCTTGCCTATCTTTCAGATGAGTTACATATTTGTGCCCTTGGGCTTAATTCACTTGTACATGGTCTTAATTTCACTATGAGATGATGATTTGCATAAACATCCTGAATGTCAGTGAATACTGTTCGAAGGTAGAGAATAGAGTATTTCTTAAACTACAGAAGCAATTCACTGGGCCAAATTGCAAGGCCACGATACATAAATGGGAGCAATGTAGGTCGGCACTACGGCTGACGCAGCATCCACGCAATCCACCGATGATCACAGTACAGGACACCATCAAGCTGGTTTCCACTCATGGATCGACTATGCATGGAAGCTCAAAGTTAGCTGCGAGGCTGCAGCGGTAACCATGTTACAAGGTGCACCTAGCCACGCTGTTGGTGGTACTTGTGGAAATAGGGTTTTGTATAGAGTTATAGACGAGACTTTTGGTTTATACGATAGAACTTGCGTTTCGGGGTTTGATTGGGTATAGATTCATTGCAATACACAAGTTGTTTGCATACTGTCATCACCAATATCATAATATTATTTGTCTGAGCTCCCGACCAGAAAATGTAAAAGTGGTGGCTGGACGACGGACAACATATGCTAGCTGAGCAGACCTTGTCTGACCTACACATAGACTTGGATTTGTCGTTCGACTATTGTATAGTTTGGCATGTCCAGTTTCAAGGGATTAATTAGAGTTATTACCTTACTAAAGGCATGCGCCTAGGCCTGAGCTGACCCATAATGACTCAAAAAAATGTAGGTAAAGGAGCAAGCTATTAATTAAAACTTCAAAAATGTGGATTCGAATCTTCAGACCTTCCCCTTGTATACTCGCGCTTTCTGACACAATTATGCGAGAGTTTCCATCACAATGCAACCTACGACGCAGTTTGCTGCTCCGCCTGAGCCACTTCGACCTCCCGAGCCGCCGGTTCTTGCTGCGCCTTCGACTCGAGACCCTCGATATTACCTCTCTCCAATTGCTGAATCCGCCCTGTTGTCACCCGTGTCTTCCATGCGGGTGTACCGATATATTTGATGCCGTTGGGATCCTCAAACATAGCCTCGGTCTCCTCCAGCGTCTTACCAGCCGTCTCCGGGAAGAAGAAGTACACATGGATGAGCATGGCGGTGTTGAACACCCCAAAGATGATATATGTCTGCCAGCGAATGTTGGCAAATGCAGGGGGAGTGAAAAGACCCAGCGCGGTATTGAACGCCCAATTTCCGGACGTTGACAAGGCAACACCTTTACCTCTGAGACGCATGGGGTACAGCTCTGGCGGGTAGGTCCAGCTGACGGGGCCCCAGGTTGGCGCATAGGACGCCACGAAGAGGTAGGTACAGGCGATCAACCCTTTAGCTGCCGAACCGTGTAATCTCATTGACTGCTGGGCGACTCCGTCAATACCTCCCGGCACGACCTCCCCGTGGACGGCCATGATGGCACCATTGGCGTACATGAAGGTGGCCATCAATACTGCACCAACAAGCAAGGTCGGCCGTCGACCCCAGCGATCCAACCAGACCAGAGCTGGAAGGGTCATAAGGACGTTGATGATGTATTGAATGGAAGAGGCTAGTAGATTTGAATCTCCGGAATACCCGGCCATCGAGAAGACATATGTAATATAGTACACTGTGTGATGATGTGTTAGTCTAGGTATTCTTTCCAGGGGCCAAGGGGGCCACTTACTCATAACGTTCATGCCCGTCAATTGGGACCAGATCTGCATGAAAAGTCCGATGATGGTGCGGTTCAACATTCTCGGCTTGAAGAGGTCGAAGTACGTGACATTCTTGAATTGGCGTTCAAAGTCACACATCTCCCGGATGTCCTGCATTTCGAGCGCTACAAATGGGTGGTTCATGTCTCCTTTGCAGTGTACCTTTGCCAGGATGGTTTGACATTCTTCCCAGCGATCCTTTCGGGCCAGCCATCGCGGTGATTCCGGGAGAATCATCATGCCCAAGCAGAGGAAAACGGCGGGAATCATCTGCAGACCCCAAGGGACTCTCCATGCTGCCGTGCTGTATCCAAAGGCGTTCCGTTCGCCGATATAGGAACATCCATACGAAATACTAGAGGTACCGGTTAGTCCATGGTGATGCGCGATATTTCTTTGGCGGACCAGAGCTTACTAGAACATGATAAGAATACCCCATGTGATGGCCCATTGTTGAACACCAACAAACCGACCTCGTTTCGACGGCGGTGAAATTTCACTGATGTACACGGGGACCTGGGCAGATTCGATACCCACACAGAGACCGTTGAAGATACGGCCCACAATGAGCATGCCAATGTTCTGGGAGGCGCACATGATCGTGGAGCCGATGATCCTTTACCCTCAGAATGTCAGTAACATTAATCCATCTTCTTCGTGTGCCTTGCTTCTTTGTTCTTCCTCTCTCTCAAGCAGGGGTATGGACTCACCAAAGAGAGCAAGCGGCCATGATTGAAGTCTTTCGGCCAATGCGATCAGACAACGGGCCGGAGATCAAGGCGCCTAGCCAAGAGCCAGCGGACATAGATGCGGTGATACCGCCTTGAACTAATGACTTGGGGCCGGAGCAATCTGGATCGTCGGTGAATGGAGGGCCCTGAGGGCCTTGGTTAAAGTAACATTTGTAGGAGTTTTCATTCAGCTGAGCAGACATGGAAGAGATATCAAAGCCAAAGAGGGCACCGCCAACGACGGCGATGCCCGCAATGACATAGATGTTGCCAACCAACATGATGGTTAACCCAAGGTAGATGTACTCTTACAGCACGCACATGGGAACATCAGGAGAAAGAAACGATCTACACGGCCAAGAGAGCCCTTTAAATAGGAGCAGTGGTATGCGGAGCAGTGACAGGCCATGCTCCCCAGAAGAAAGCTGACCCCGCACAGAGCTCGCTGGAAAATAACTCCCACGTCGGTAACGAGCCGACGTCGTTTGAGTGGGGGTTATTTGTATGTATCTCCTGACGTGTCGCGTTGGTGCGTATACGCTACGATTGGATCGCTCGTGCCAATGAGGGCAGGAAACCTACCGGGCAAGTCAAGGAGACATTGAATGATTGGTCCCACGGATCCGGATCCTGGCTCTGGTCATCTTTTTGAGCGCATCACATTGTACCGAAGCCGTTGTGTTAGGGTTACATGAGGTCTCCCTCGCCGGGACATCATCCATGATCCATGTTTCATGCACACGAGCAGAGCACCCTGGGCTGTTGTTTTGCGTAGCTTTCTCTGTAGATATTTGTAAGTCAACTGGGCCATGCAATTGCCAACAAGATTCTCTAATTCAGAAGAATATGTATGCACAGTTCCCCAGACTTCTTCCCCACCTCCACCTCCACATTCTACCTTCATATGTACCATGCCGGAACTCCACAGCCCCTAATAGCAACCACATGTCTCGCTCTCCACCTTCGATTAAAGATTAAAAATAGTGAGAATGAAGAGCAGCTGTTAGCTCCGTTATGAGGTCATTAGCGAGCATCCCACGAATCCCATAGGGCCATGGTCGGGACATTCAAGCCGATGTATATAACAAAGTTATATCGACGCCTGAAGGAGCAGAGGGGCATTTTTGATTCGCTCTGGGCTGCCGCATGGGCCTCCTCTCCTTTTCCCCGCAGTTATCGCCCATACCACTCTGATCCTAGGGTTTATAGGGAGGCATGGATGGCACGATCCTTGGGGTATCAGGTCACTCCGAGTCATTGGTGGAACTACCGTTCTGCTCCTACGGGATGGATTCCAAGCTCAGAGATATACCTGCCAAGAAGGGTGGCTGCCGTTGTGTATACGATGGGAATTCGGGTTATTGGCGCCTCTTTGCTTATTTAAACGAGATCGCGTGGAAGGTGATTGTTTAAATCAACTTCCATCGTTGCGGGATTTGAAACCCTAAGCGTGTTGCATTGCAAGAGGGACAGGGTGAGATATGCTGGCTCGCTTCATGAGCACGACTCTTGGCGATCATCTGACAGGTCTGTTAGGCACGCACTGATTCGGGGAGATCCTGAGCCAGTGAAGGAGGACATGGAAATTGACCAAGACCATCTGTTCCCTTGGCGCTCAGACCATCCTCATTCATTCAGTTCATGGCGCTTCCTTTCTTCTGCCGATTTGCCGATGGTTCCTCTCGATTCACGTGACCTGGCACGTGATAGTGTGTGCTGATGTAATCGGGGAAAGTAAAGAAAAAGAAAATATGTTTGTTTCGTTTTCAAATTTCAACACGCGACGAATCCAACCCTAGAAAGTCGACCGCCATGGCCCTTATCAAATACGACAAGTCTGACATGTCCCGCCAAGAAAAATACGAGGAACTGCCTGTTCGGTCTGCAGAGCAATCAAGGACGGAGTGAAAAGCCGGCCGAATAAAGGTCCGTCCAGATCATGGAATGATGACATGGTGGGACCGAAGACGCTTAGCTGCAGACGAACCCTGAAACACCGCCACCCAGCCATGGTTGAGACTCTTGAGTGGGCAGCAAAACCCTCTGGACCATGGGTCAGGGATCGAGACTGCACTCAATCGCCATGGCCCTCCGCTGTGCAACCAATCATTGCTCTCCTTTCAGTGTAGTGGAATCCCCCTGGCGGGCATCCTTTGGTTTCCAGCACACAAATGCGCGGCCACACTGAGGCTGCGTGGCTCGTCGCCAATTTCCAAGCTCCACACTGGGTCCCAGAATGCTGAAAAGGGCAAACCAAACAAGCAATCCTCTTCCGCCAATACCGGGTCGGTCTAGTCCCGAGCCAGCTTGGTAATACTATTCAAGGACAGGCTTTCCTGGTTGGGGAGGTGAGGGTCGCCGCTCTAACTTGCCAGTTCGATGAGATGATCCTTCATGCCTAGACTTCTTGGCTGCATTCTCCATTCTATTGCTGCTTTTAAGGGTCATCTTTCTATGTCTGTCCTTGTATCTAAAGAAACACGACTTTTCCACGGAATATATTTGGCGATTGATTGATACCTTTGTATGGTTCCTACTACTCGTCACATAAGGTCATGGTAAGTGTATACAGCATTCGTGAGGCCAGAGACCACCCATGCCGCAACAATAGCACTACTACTGCAAGGACCTTGCTTCGCACATATTAGGGAGAAACAAGAGAGCTAAAAATACCCAAGGTCAACGAATAACGATTGGCTTTCGTGCACCGAGGACACCAGCTGTTCGAGTCCGCATAGAAAATGAAATCCAGACAGATCTCGAGGGGGGAAAGTGTACATCACACCACTACGGTACAAAAATGCGCCTGAAGTAACGCCACTATAAGTCGCCTTGGGTAGAGAACTATTGGAAACGTGGGTATTGGCTGTACACCATCAGTACCAGTTTGGTATGTTTCGGAAGTGATCATGGTTGCAGCTCGAACAGTGTTGTGTAAGGAAATGGCTACTACTTGAAAGCTACTAACGCGGACGAAAGAGAAAAGCAAAACGCAAGAAGTATTACACGATCAACAGTACTAGGAATATCGTCTAAGCTTAACTTGAATAAATTAGCGATGCAACTTCAAGTAGTACCATGGTAGTAGTGCCGTCTTTCGCTTATCATTCTCCATGTGAATATACTAACATATATTTACGGATAGGTGACTGCAAGAAGAGGATTACGCTGTGGTTGAAAACACAAAATTGTCACTGATGTATCATCTGGTATATAGTTTAATACCATCAGATTCAAAATATCTGACTATATAGCAATCATAGCTGCTTTACAGAATAGAATATTATCGAATAGTAGTACGGAGTATGGTACTGTGTACTCAACTAGGTATACTCGATGGCCGGATTAAAGCGGCACGGGAGGGAGCTCAGCCACAAAGCAATGCCTCCAATCAGGTGGCCCCGTCGATCTTCATCCATCGGTCGTCGTCAACATCGTCTTGTCTTGTCATCCTGTTGCTCTCTTTCCAGTCGTCCCGTCCCACCAGATTCTCTTTCCCTTGCCCCCTTCCCCTTCCTTCTTCCCCCCCCCTTCTTGTCCACTTACAGTCTCTTTTACTTGCGCTTCTCCCATTCCAGTCTTTATCATTCGGTCTCGCTGGTTCTTCCCCCATTTTGCATGGTCTAATCACAGTCCCCCGTCATGCCGGATTTCTTCCCCGATATCAGAAACCACCCCTCGAGGACAATCCTACTCTGTACCGCCCATATTCAATTTCGTTAACTTCCGTGGACGATGCCAACGCTTCTGCTCTATACTCTGACTCTGCCATATTTCCCATGGGACGTGCTGGTCAAGCATGTCCTGGGAATTGAAGAAGAGAAAGCTGCAAGCGCTGTGGTCGCACATTAACATAAGGAGTAAGAAATAATCGGATAAATCATAAGCGCCCTGCTCTCGCTGACCGCGTGTGTATTATGAACAGGATCCCAATTCTTCACTGCTCGTCATGAATCGTATCCGCAACCGAAAGGGTGGCGGCCCTTCACGCTGCGCCCAATCTACCTCACCTTCCTCGCCTCTTTGATGTTTTTGATGTTGCTGATCTTGGAGGGTTTGCGACGCTATACGACGTGGTACGGAGGACTGGTCTTTTTGGAAGCGACCGAGGAAGTGTCCAGTCTCCAGTCTTTTGCCTACAACTATATCCCCATTATCGTCGCCCTCATCCTTGTTACCCTATGGTCTCTCGTCGACTTCGATGTTTTGCGTCTCGAGCCGTATTTCCAGCTGGCCCGACCGGAGGGCGTTCCGGCCTCCGTGCTCTTTATCAACTACAACTTCGGTCAAACCTTCGTAACCCCGTTTCTTTCAGCCAAACGGGGTCACTGGGTGGCCCTATTGGTGTCGATTGTAACCGTCCTCATTCGTATGTTTCTCCCTGCCCTGCAGAGTACACTACTGGAACTGCGCGAGGTCACCGTGATCTCCAATGAGCAGATGAAGACCTGGCCGGATCTGGTGGACTTGGGCACTCAGGCCAATTGGATCGCCGCTCAGGCACGGAGCAGTTTTGATTCTGTGAATTCGGCCGTTGCGTCGACCGCCGCCAATAGTCCGCAGAAGTCACGGTCCCCCGACTTTGCCGTACCGCCCGTGCAGATTCCTACAAATGACCGACGGGAAAGCACCGTGTGGAAAATCAACCAAACCATCTATTGGTCAAAATTATCCTGTCACGACTTGGCGACAAATAATGCGCTACCGGTGACGATCAATCAAACCGATATGGAACACCCGATGCTGTCGTGGAATGTGACTGGGTTGCCCCTGGTCAACGGGACGGACCAGGATTGCTCCTTGGACTTTCAATATGATAGTATCTTCTACCCGGACACTGACTTTCTGCAAGTGCGATACTGGGAGCCCGTGTGGACGACAGATACCTTTGACTCGGGCGAGATGCGAAAAGCATTCCGTCCCCGTGGTTGCGACCCTTTTGATCTATACGGCGTTTTGTTATCCGTCAACGCAACGACAGCTCCTGCCGACGCGATCAGTTCCCTGGGTTCCCAATATACTTCGTCGGCAACCATGTTTGCTTGCGATATCGAGTACCACAAAGCCATGGCGGAGATCCACATGCATGCGAACAGCTCCATCACGTCGGTGCGTGTGATTGCTAACACCACCGCCAATCTGACCAGCCAGGAATTCAACATCGACGAGTTTCAGGGCCTCCTCTCTCATCGCGCACCTTACACTAGTGACATACTCTTCATGCAGTATAACGACACGATGGGCGACCTCACCGTGACCGAGCTTCCCGTCGTCAGTCAGGACATGGATGACTTGGAGCCTATGCCCGTTCTGGATACTGCGACCGTCATGCAGCAGGGGGAATTCGAAGAGAAAACCAAACGAGTTGTCATTCAAGCCTTTGTGTTGACCATGGGGCGTTTGTTCAATCCGGATATACCTCCAACGACCGTTTCCGCTGTTCGCTTCGCACACCGAGTCACCATTGCCGTCGTTTCGTTCGCAGCAACCTTGTCGGAGGCCATTCTCTTCTTGAGCACCGTCGTGGCCCTTGCTCTATTGTATTTCTACCAGCGTCGCCCAAATATCCTTCAAAGCGATCCAGGCTCCATTGGGGCGATGTGTAGCATGGTTACAGACTTGTTCTCCCCGTCGAATATTCTCGGTAATGCCCAGTCCGATTTCCATCAGCTTTCGACTCGACAACTGCGGATGCTTCTTCGCAATGTCCGACTTTACTGGCGGGAAGGACCGATGGGAAGACGCGTGGAACTAGTCTCGGTGGACGGCGAGAGCCATGGTAAGTACTAGGCTGGCCCCGGATGGTTCCCTCGACTCCACTGACAAGACTAGACTCCTCATCCCGCCTGAGGGACCGGATTCGCACGCGCGTTGATCCGAGGCCGCACTTTCTGGTGATTCCGATCTTTATTCTTGAGTTCCTCCTTCTCGTCGCGGTCATTGCTATCATGGCATTGGTCATCGCTTCGCTCGCCCATGAGGGTAGTTTCCAGCATCTTACCCAGTCGGATTCTAGTTTCTTCCAGGTCGTGTTATCCTTCCTTCCTTCCGTAGTTGCCTCTGCTGTCGGAGCGCTCTGCAACTCCATCCAGCGGAATATCAGTATCCTGGAGCCGTGGGTCCATCTGCAACGCGGACAGGCGAAGGCGAGGGCCTCCTTGTCAATGAACTACGCCTCCCAGACCCCGTGGCTGGTTCTTTTGAAAACCATCCGGGACCGTCATCTCTTGTTGGGCCTGGTGTCCTTGGCCTGCGTGGTCAACACGGTCCTCACGGTGGTTTCCGGCGGACTTTTTACCCAACAGCTCACCACGTCCGGGTTCTCCACCAAAGCCATCCAGGCGAACTACAGCAACTCCATATTCAAGCAAACCGACTTTGCCGCGGATTTCACCGAGTACGATCTGATTCAGACCAGTATCACCAGCGGGGTGCCTATGATCCCGTGGACCAGTCCAGATTATTCATTCGTGCCGCTGACAAACACTCAGCCGAACGTGACTGCCTCATATAAGGCTACGACCCTCGGCATTGGCGCTGACTTCCAATGCCAGGAATTATCGATTTCTGAGCACCTGAAGAGGAACGACACGACGGGGCAATTGTATTGGCAGTACCAACCGTTCCAGAATGAGAGCCGACAGTGCACGGTGGACATGTTCCAGCAAAGGAGCGACAAGATCCCCCTCTCCATTCACTTCCTTTCTCCTGCGGCCCTCGAGGACATGGACCAATGTCAAACATTCACGGTTCTGGTGCTTGGACGATGGAATTACACAGGAGATTCGGCCATGACCAAGAAAAACACGATCGCTTTGCACTGTGAACCGCAAGTCCAAATGCAGAACTTTTCCATTCTCTTCGATCAAAAGGGTCAGATCCAGGATTATGACCCTGTACCAAACACTGCGATTACCTCCGGCCCCATGTATGAGAATGCCACGGTTAGTCTGGGCCAATTTAACAAAGTCTTCGCCTCCATTCCCCAAAGCTTTGTCGACGAGGAGCAAAAAGGACCCACCGTGTCTTCATATGATTGGGCGGGCTTCCTGGTTGCTCGCTTGTATAAGCAAAGAGAGAATAGGGTGTCCGCGCTGGATTCTGCAGACCTGATTACTATGTCGGAGACAGTCTACCAGTGGGTGTACAGCACCTACTTTTCTCTGTGGGGACCGACCTACCTAGAGCCACTGGAGCAGCCATACACTGCCACCAATGCTACCGTCTACTACAGCACCTGGGCTATGGTCCCGTCGGTCCCATCATTGACCATCGCGCTGTCTATCATCGCACTGGACACGCTGGTCGTGCTGGTCGTGTTTGGGACGCGACGGGGTCGGTTCAAAGGGCCACGGATTCCACGATCCATTGGATCCGTCATTCCTTGGATTGCAAACAGTCGGATGCTGAGTGACTTCCGAGGGACTTATTCGTGGACCAGCCTCCAGCGCCGGGATTATTTGGATCGATTAAACAAACGCTATGCATTCCGGATGTTTCCAGGGTCGGACGCCCAGTGGCGGTTTGCTGTGGACGAAGAGCCGCTGGTGCAGGAGGACAAACCAACTGTCGTTACTGATCCAGGCGCCGTGGATCCCGCTAAACAACCTGGTGCGATTGAGCTCCGGCCTATTGGCAATGATGATCCTGGGGCCCAACGAAATCATGAGTAATGTGATATGACCTGCTTGTATTATAGCCTGGCGTCTTTGAGTTTTGGTTAGACAGGATTTTGATATTGTTTTATGGATCTATGTATGTACGCATGTGGATCTTTGTACATATAGCTTGATAATATATGCACCACATCATCTTGACAGGAAGAAGCGAAGACGAAGGATATTCTCCATACAGATAGACTGTAGGACCCAGTATATCAGAGTGATAAGAGAATTATATCACATCAAAATTGAGATCGTTTTTCTACAGTTACAAACAATCGTAAAATTTAGAGATAGCTTATATTATAGTAAATCACTTAAGATTAGATCTAATCGATTCTCTATTTAATACAATATATTACGTTGAAATATCTGATGATTTTATAAAGGATTGGATGTATATTTAGTAAAACGTATTTCCTTCTCCAAATATATTTTGCTGTCATACCGATCATCGAAGAGCTTTTACAGATATATAAAGAAGTGCTTCTGGCGACTACATCCCCAATTCTTTCTTAAATCAGTAGAAGTTTAAGACAATACGTAAAATCAAAGAGCATAATATTTAAATATAATTATCAGCGATTTAATACTACCTAAAACTACATGATAGCAACTGGAGTGCCTAAAACGACCGTATTGACTTCTACAGCGCAAAGCAATTCTTTCTACCGAAACATCAAAAATAATACAATCAAAACAAAGGCGTAAATAGCAAATACAAGAAGATAGCCTGCCTCCCTAGTGCACCAGTTATTAGAATCATGCAGTTACAGCTTGTTCTGACTATCAGTCAATAGCTCCACCCCTCCACCGGCAATGCACACTTTACTTCTCAATGTATTCCTCGTGGAAATCCTGAAGACGGCGCGTGCCGTGGAAAAGAGAGAGGCCGGGCAGGCTGCTCGTGGCCGGGGGGGGTATTTATGAATTCAACCACAAGGACGTTATTCTTTACAGTGAGTTCACACATACCTCACCTGACTAGCTCTGGGAGACGTCTGACACGCATTCTCATGACCTCGACGTTACGGCCAAACGCAATGATTTGCCTCTTGTTCTCGAGACGGACCTGAACTTTCAGCCGGTACCAACTTTTGGGACCATTCCAACCTTCTTCTCTTCCTTGCCCGTCAAGTTCACAGATATTTTGCCCAAGTGGAACCCACTGGGCTACGTCCATGGAGAGCAATACCTCGAGATTCGCAAATATCCCATTCCAACTGCAGGCAGGCTTGTCACGCATAGCCGACTCCTTGAGGTGGTCGACAAGAAGAAAGCAGCCATTGTGACCATGGCTCACATCACACGCGATGAGGCTACCGGGGAAGATGTGTTTTACAACGAGGTCTCTCTGTTCGTGAAAATTGCTGGTGGCTTTGGCGGCCAAACCCAGCCCCGTTTCAGCAATTCAAAGACATACAATCTCCCACGAAGGGCGCCGGATTTGATCTGTGAAGAGAAAACATCCGAGGAGCAAGCGGCACTATACCGGCTGAGTGGTGATTATAATCTGGGGCATATAGACCCCGCTGTTGGTAGGGCTGTTGGGTTTCCTGCCCCGATTCTTCACGGTCTCTGCTTTTTGGGTATTTCGGGGAAACATATCCTCCAACAATATGGCCGATACAAGAGTATCAAGGGCCGCTTTGTTGAGAGTATCTTCCCTGGGCAGATCCTCCGGACCGAACTGTGGAAGGAAGGTTAAACAGTCACTTTTCAGACTAGAGTTGTTGAAACGGGTAAATGTACAAGAGAGCAGACGGGAAGCCGGCCACAGTTGTGGATAGCGCTGAGGTTGCCCGTCTTTCTGGGGTGGGGTATAATCTAGCTGTTGAGGCGAGAGGCTTCACTGAGGCTCAGGCCCCACTGGTCAGATCCAAGTCTTCGCGATGTGATTGGGCTATAGACGAAAGCCAAAAGAAGGTGAAGTCTCACTTCTAGCATCAATCATCCGTGGTAATGCACATGTGTGTAGTAATCTAAAGCCTGATGTGAATGTCACCTGTCGCAAGTTTAGCCACTATTTAGATAGCTTCTCGCAGATTTCGTATCTTCATTCGTTCCCTCTCATGCTTAGTTACTTCATTCAATGCTAAGATGTCGATTTTGTCTTCGTGTGGGTTAACATCACATTTTCCATGGTCTCTCTTTCAATGCTACTGAGGGAACTTGATCTGTTTGTGACAGTTGTTTTCATAGGATATGAAATGAAGGGTTATCACTTTCGTGGGAGTTGTGAAAACCTTGCCCTTACCATTCTTTATCCTTTACTTGGACTCAAGGGTATCAGAAAGAAGTCTTGTCTCACCCGCGTTTCATTTATGAATCCACCCCTAAGTGGGGAGAAACTGAGTTGCGCGATTGAACACCTCTCCTATGTTTCAGCTGCTGCGTATCCCGCGTACCACTCTTGGAGCTTGTTGGTGTACCCCTTCTGCATGCAGGCAACGGAGCGTCAAGGTGAAATATAAGAACCTAAAAAGAGAAAAGAAAGGGAAGGAAGAATGGTGGCACAGGATATTCAATCAATACGATTCCGTAGTCCAGCTAACAAATGCTCTATCCTGTGCTGTCGTGCAGCGATTCGTCAAAAGTCTCATCAATCACTACGCCCGCTACTCCATGGCCCATGCTTCGCTCATGCGATCCACTTCTTGTACTTCCTGACCTCCCTCTTGAAGACGTTGGTCGATCCCCCAAGCTTCTTGGGCTCCGGCGTAAGAACCTGGCCCTTGTTCGGGGGTCCGTTGAAATCGCCGCTGCGGCAGGCATCGTCGATGCCATTGCACTTGGTCATCCAGATGTCGCAAGCGTGGACACCTGTGGGAAGAGCGGTGTTGTAGCACACCTCACTTTGGTCCCAGCACTTTTGGGAAGACTAGTAACGAGTTAGTAGTGACCATGAAACACGAATGCACAAGAAGAACATACAGCCCAGCAGCCGTCCTCATCACTATAGTCAGGAACCTCAAATCCACACCAGTTATCGCGCTGCATGATACAACCGGCAGGCTTGAGACCCTTGTTCTGAGCAGCAACATCCCTCTTCTCCCCCGGACTGACCGAACGCTCCGCAACACCCTTACTCTCATAGACGACCGGGCCGGGGATCGGATAGGGCAGCTTCAGGGGCTTCTCATAGATATTGTACTTCACGCCGGGGCTATCCAGCGAGTAATAGCCCTCACCGATACTAACAGTCTCGGGCTTCGCACTGCCACCACCCTGCACAAAGATCTGGGCGCAGTTGACATAGAATTGCGGGTCAAGCGGGTCCGCAAAGGCAGCGTTGTGCAGCGCCAACAACTCCGTCCGGACCAGGTAATAGCCTTGTTCGATATCCGAGGGTACCCGCACAGACAGGAACCCGTTGTTGTCGATCAGTTTCTCCGTGCACCACTTCTCGGTGCTCTCGTCGTAGCCCGTGTGCCAGATCTTGAACCATCCATCGCCCGCAGCGTTGTTATCCGCTGTCGCGTCGTCGACCTTCTTCATGTACACGGCGCAGGGCCCCTTGTGACTGATGTCGATGGAACCCGGCTGGGCGCCGTCGGCCCATGCGCGGAATTCGAAGGTCAGGAGGGAGTTGGCTTTCGCAGGGCACACGCGGGCGACGCCTTTTTCACCATCTTTGCCTATAATTCCGGGCTGTGTTAGTTGATGTCGTTCTGGCTTTATGTGGGGGCGGGGGTCGTCAAGTTCCTACCGCAGGCGATATCCTTGCTGGACAAGGGCTCGATGGGGTATGTGGCGGTGTTGGCATCGTGGTTCATACGGACGCAGGTGCCATCGCCCTGGTTAACTTCGTCCACGTAGAGCGTGGTGAAGGTTGTGTGGCTGAGCGCCAAGGGAGCGAGGAGGAGAAACAGGGCGGATCGAAACATCTTGCAAAAAAAGGAATGTAAGGATCAATCACAGATTGACAGTTGAATGACGTTTGAACGTAAGGAATGAATAAGTGAGAACCTGCCTCAAGCAGGTCGGCTAGAAAAGAATGACTGCAAAGAAAGGAATGACTTGGAGAATGTGAAGCAAGAGGTGGGTACCCAAAGAGACGACGGTGAGGGTATATAAAGAAATCCAAACATTCAAGACCCTGCACAAAGTTCAAAGACCACCAACGGACCCCACTAACCGAAAAAGCCCAATTGAACCCTTAATAGAATTAAAGCAGGCCATCCATGAGTCCAGTCGATCAATTAGATTGCTCGGCGCTTACCGAGAGATTAGCAGCGGAGATCTCAGCAGCCAACGCTTCAACGCCGATGGGTCCGATCGAAGTCCAGATTCGCTGAAATGCCGTCGGGTAACCCGCCCCCGAGGGTCTTTCTTGGCGGTTTCAGAGCTGTGGTGGCGTTCGCGTATTCTTTGTCGCTGTTGGATTCGGGGGAAATTGACGGTGGAGCATGTTCGCTGACAGACAGGCTCCCACAGGCACCGGTGAGGGCTAATGATTGCAGGGCCATCCAGTGGTTGTCTGTCCTGTGAAATGACCCGTTTCACACTGAGTCCAGTCCAACTGGATCTATCGAGCATGCATCAAGCAGGTTTTGGAAGAAATCGAACCCGCAAACATGCTCTGTTATCCGTCCACCATACTGGAAGGACGGTCTATTGTTTGCCCTTGTACTTGTGCAACGTAGCCAAATATAGCCCTCACCATAATGGCATTATCCCATGCGCACACAGGCAGTGTGACCGTGAGTCTCGTGTAGTGGATCGCAGCTAGGGCCAGGTTACATTCGGATAGAGTCTTGGCTTCCACTGGAACAGCTCCATCTGATTGGCGCTCCAGCCTCTGGCTCAGGTACAGATCCAGTCGGGTTTCAAACAGGAATCTTTCGGGATTTACAGCCCCCCGTGGGAAATCGTTTATTTTCTTGGCCTCTGTGAAGACACAGTCGTCGCGCTTTAAGACATGCATGCACAAAGAGATCTTTCCCCGGCAGTGAGGTACAGGACTACGAAGAACGGGGCAGAACAAACTTCACCATGCTCTATCTTTACCACGGGAACTGCTGTTGCTAACACTGATATAATCATAGAGTCATATCACATGTCTTGGAGGTTTAATTACATTATTCCATAAAAGCAACCTGACAACATGACTGAACTGCTGGAGAGAATATGAGAGGCCAGGTTCCGCATGGTGCCAGGATGTTCAATACACGCTCATGTCGCTTACACTTGCCAGTCAAAAACATGTGAATAAGGGGTATTTTTCAGCCACAAAGGATAGGTAATTTGGATCGCGGCCACTTGCCGCGAAGAACCCCTTGATGACTGCAGGAAAGGATCAGAATTGTGGAGGTATAACGGTCGGAGATAATTCTACGCATTTCTTTTGGGGTAAGAGGTAGTCAGCTGACCGGCCCTTCTAGCCATACCCAAAGGACTATTTATGCGAGAATCTGCAGCTTTCTCGATTCAGATCAGTAGACTATGCTGGTGCTTGAGAACAGCGCTTAGCACATGGTTCCCAAGCATGTCTCGGAGGGACAGGTTGTAAATCCATCGGGCACATGCAGTCAGGCTATTCATAGGGCAACATAGGGCGCTTCTGCAATAGTTTCAGATATTATCATGACATCATTGGACCTTGGCTCTGAAGTCGTTCTAGCTTCTTTGTAACATGTACTGTCACCTGTTGCGAGATTATTCGTCATTTATCTCATATTCTGGCGTTGGCATGTTCACCATGGATTATTCGCTGATTTGAAAGCATGGTTGCAATATTAGATTTCGCTAACATGTTGCACCCCCTAATAGCCCAATATAGTAGGCCCGTCCTTGTATAGGAAGATGTCAAACAGAGGTCCTATCAGACAATGAAATGTTCGGACAATGCAGTCTGCGGAGGCTATGAAGTTTATATATTTTCTTAACCCTGCCAGACTAAAACACCATATGACGCGAGGATGCTACGAAACACTCTCTCCCAAACATATATATATAAACGGATAAGCTAAGGAATATGGCTGAAATCGCTTTCATTTTTATAAACAACCTTAACCAAACATCTAACTTCAACCAATATAAATAATGCAATACTTACTACGGCATCTTGATAGGTCCTAGGTAAACATATTACCAATTCGCGTAATTGCTTATTCTTTTGTTGTATGACCGAATGTCAGTTCTGTTGTTCTAATTTCACGATGGGTGGCTTGAGTAAACCAACGCATGATGAATAAGGTGATGTTGAGTACGTGATTTCGGATGATCATCTCAGCGGGATAACCATACTGTAAGTCTGTAAGCACTGGTCACGGAACACTTACGCCCGAATCCCATGTAATCATGAGCCGCCCTTTGCTCTCTTCGTTTCGCCAGGATGGTGGCTACATCACTCTATTATAAAACCGAAAATATCGAGCTAAATCGGTTGGCAAGAGTTGAATGCGTCGCTCCAGCCGGCCCAGTATTGGATCTGACGATTTCCAGAGGAAGGAATGATCTGAAAGTAAATATATGCACGACGCATTGAGCCCATATGATTAGAAATGTTATTGACTGCTTGGGGTAGGACAGAAGAATTGCTTCAAAAATGACAGTGTCAAACCGTAGTAGGAGTTTTGTGAACAAGGGCCCTTGCTCGTGTTGTTCAATATAGTGGACTCAACTCACCCACTATGACACATTGAAGCAGACTATCGGGCCTAGAGGGAGGGTAACGCTATTGTAGAAAGCCAGATGATACTGCTGGATAGATAGGCATCCAACAGCTAAAGCAGACTAAGCTGCAAACAATGAGACTGACTGCACCACGAAACACTGAGATGGTCCCTGGACGCTATTTAAACCTCGGCAATTGTCCAACGACCACATAATTTTAATATGAAGGATAGCGCTTTGCTACCTTCAAAACCAGGATCAGATAAGCTTTTTATTGTTTCATCAATATCGCAGTGGAGCAGAGTCGAAGACTCCACCCATGACGTCTGTCTGGATGATTATTGACGCATCGCTATACAAGCACTTTGTTAGAATGGCATCTCAGCATGAATTGAAACACGGAAGCACTGGTCCTGTCACATAGACCATGCCTGGAACAGCCGAAGAGTGAAATTTCAGGGCTGTCCTTAGGAGATGTCTCAAATTAAGTGTTCAAAGCTTATATTGTTAGAGGTTGACAGAAGAATCTGAACTTGGAGTCATCGAGCATCTCTTACTACGCAGCGCTGACATGTATGCAACTCAAGGTCACGACCGCTGTTATGCACGTGAAAAGAGTACAGCCATTCTTGCTCGGGGAGGGTGAACAGTCTTCCTCGAATACATACCGTATAGCACCCACATTCTACTGCCGAAGACACTGCCCGCAAACTTCCTGAATATCAGCCACGTAGATGTGACGGCTGGGCTGTACAGATTGTGCTGAAAGTGGAGCGACCCATGAAACGCCGTAGATCTACCGACTATGTATATTGTCGATCTGAGACTTCAGACCTTTCTAGCCTTAACTCAAATAAGATTAATCCAACTGCCGTATGCGATCCAACTCGGTAAAGTCATGTTCCCGTAGTTTTCCCTATTGGCAGGAGCTCTCATCCTCGGCTCATTGTTGTTTGGTTGTAGGCTGTTCGGTCGACTCGGCATCTATGGGCAACCTGAATTGCTGAAAACTTAGCATTGCCCTGAAACATGTATACTCCGGAGATTGACCGAAATAGGTTAGTTTATGGATGTCATGTAGATCGGAGGTGGAAGGCATCAACTGTGTGAGGCAGAAGTTACTTATGATGGCCATAATGGCGATGTAGTATGATTAAGGGGCTGAGTCAGTAGGTGTTTAGGCAGAGAAAATACTGATTCAATACATGTCGGACCATATGAAAATCAATTGTACTAAATGCAGTACCATAGTAATTCCCCAAGCAAAACTAATCAGAGGTATTAAGAGTGGCTCGATTGATGGGTACAAGATAGGACCTGCACGGGTCGCGCCCTACCCAAAAGCCCGTTCGACCGAGTTCCCAAGACAGCTGGCATTTCATGTCGATCGAGAGGAAACCCAACAAATGGACCCGACCATTGTGGGTAAGGTATGCGATGGATCAACACTACCGGGAATATCTCGGAAGATTGATTAACGACACGGAGAAATCACCCGTTTGGGGAGTGGAAGCCATGGCCGATTTTTGAGTGATCGAGACGGAAGCCCTAACTAAGCCTTAACTCCACAGCATCCCTGAACCAGTTAATCTACAACAAACAGTTTGATAGCAGTTCCAGCAATCAGCTGTAAGAACGCTGAGCTATATTTGTCTCGAGTCAGTCGCAGAGTTATTGGCCCAGTGATACCTCACATGGCGATTAATATCCTTTAAGTCCGCGGCAGAGCCGGAGCCTAGGGCTTGTCGCACTCTGAGACGAGCTGGCAAGGCCCCTACACACTTAGCGTGAGATTGATCGGCCGATAACCACGCACCGTTCATCCTTCCAGGAACTGTTCCCTGATTCATGTACCGCTAACAATTCTTCTTGGTATGGTCCGAGTTAGATCGGCATTCAGGATTCGGTAGACAAATTCCGAGTACGGAGTAGTCTTTCGTATACACGCACGCTGCTAATTCGGTGAGCAATGCCACGCGGACTGATAAACTAAGTATACACAAAGGTAAAAGTTCTGTCCAGGGGTACGGAATTGAGAGTAACATAGATGTCATTGGGAATTGACCATGGAGCGCGCAGTGCACAGTGCACCTCGAAGGCCCTGGGGTACTAAGTCACAAACAGTCTAGCCCTAACAGCGACCGATGCCAAAGCCTCAAAAGGATGAAACCTGACCCACTGACTTAACCATAGATCACCCCGAATACGGAGTAGCACTATACTCATGTAGTCAAGGCATCAAAACCTTGTCCCTGTTGTGATGCTGGGACAGTACGGGAAAAGGGGTATAAAAACCCTCATCCTCGTCCGCATCTTTAGAGATTGTCTCGTCCATCCCAGCGGATCCAGTCCATTCTTTCTCTACCGTTCATTCCATCAACTGTCATTCGTTATCAGAGCTGTGCTCTTGTCATTCTTTCAATCGTCAATTCCCCTCCAGAATTACGCAAAAGATGAAGGCTATTGCCGCTCTCGCTCTCGTTGGCGGGGCTATCGCCGCCCCGACCAAGACGGTCGAAAGCCGTCAGCTCCCAGGATGGGGCTCACTCCCTGGCCTCGGTGGCTCTGGGTCTTCCACAGACAGCGGCCTGGGTAGCCTCGCTTCTCTGATCCCTGGTCTCGGCAGCTCTGGCGGCAGCCTCCCCGGACTTGGTTCTTCCACCGGCAGCGGACTAGGAAGTCTCTCCTCCCTCATTCCAGGCCTTGGTGGTTCCTCGTCTGGCAGCAGCCTCCCCGGACTCGGTGGCTCCTCCACCAGCAGCGGTCTCGGCAGCCTTTCCTCCCTTATCCCCGGTCTGGGCGGCTCTTCTTCATCCGGCAGCGGTCTCCCCGGTCTTGGATCTAGCACTGGTAACATTCCCGACCTGAGCAGCTTGCTGGGCGGTTCCTCTTCTGGCAGCTTGCCCGGATTGACTAAACGTGCGTCGATTACAGAGAACGGAGTGACCCAGAATTCGGGCTGCCAGGAGCTGACCTTCATCTTCGCCCGCGGGACAAGTGAAATGGGCAACATGGGGTCGGTTGTCGGACCCCCCGTCGCCAACCAGCTGGCCTCTCTGACCGGAAACAAGGTGACGGTGCAGGGTGTGGACTACCCTGCCGATGCAGCTGTACGTGACCCGCTTTCACCATCGTCCAAAACAAAAGGCTAATGGAAAACAGGGAAACGCCATGATGGGCGCATCGGGCGGACCTAAGATGGCCGAGCTCATCCAGCAGGCCAAGAAGCAGTGTCCGAACACCAAGGTCGTCCTGGGTGGATACTCCCAGGGTGCCATGGTGGTGCACAACGCCGCCAGTAAGGTCGGTGCCGACGCCATCTCCGGCGCTGTCTTGTTCGGCGACCCGTTCAAGACGCAGGGTGTCGGCCAGCTGGCCGCCTCGAAGGTCAAGGAGTACTGTGCTTCTGGGGACCCTGTGTGCCAGAACGGCATGAACTTCATGGCCCATCTGTCCTATGGTTCCAATGCCCAGGAAGCTGCTCAGTTCTTGGTCCAAGCTGCTGGCCTCTCGGGGTCGAACTAGGGGATTTGTCATTCATTGTAAATGCATTCGTTTGTGAAGGACGAATGGATCGGAGCGCTGGACGCTGAGTTACCATGAGTGGCTATTACGTCTTGGATATCTAATATGTTGTGAATAAACATCAATGAATATTGTTATATTTATACTCTAGGACCTCGTAAAAACACTGTCTTGACTATATACTGTACAAGAAGAAGGGATTAGTACACCTTGAAGCCGCCCGGCATCAGAGTCTGGAAGACCTGGTTGGGGTCGTATTTCTTGGCAATCGTCTGCAGCTTCGCGACGTTCTCCTCGCCGTATCCGGGGAAGATGGACTGGAATCCGGCAGCATCGCCCATGTAGTTGAACGCGTCATACAGGCCGGCCTTCTGGGTGGCGTTGTTGATGGCATAGGTAGTTTCCTCCACCCACTGGGCGACGATGTCGTCGTAGCTGGAGCCGATCCATTCGACGACCTCGGCATAGCAGAGGTAGATCTTGGAAGAGTCCAATCCGAGGGCATTGCCACCCTTGTCCTCCGAGGCCTTCATCCAGTCGGCGCCGATGGGTTGCCAGTCCAGCTGGATGGTGGAGATGTTGGCAGCGGGGATCTGAGCGTAAAGTTTGGGCAAGTGCTCGAAGAAAGTGGTGTTGATGATGGTGATCCCCTGGAGCAGCTCGGCGTAGGTGGTACCGACAACAGTACCAGCCACAAACACATCGCTACTTACGTTAGTCACTGAACTATGTCTTGCTCAACTATAGGTATGCCAAACGTACTTGATGTGAGGGACGACCATGGCTCCAGTCTCGGCAGCGAACTCCGACACAGTCTTGAAGTCCAGGGTGCTGCTGATGGCGGGAATATCGGTGAAGGGCTTGAAGATCTCCGGATAGCTGGTATCCTCACTGTCGTAGAACAGGATGACCGAAGCCAGGAGTTCGTCGCCCGGAACCAGCGCCGGCACAATGTGCGTCTTGGGGTCCGAAATGTTGGAGGCATAGGTAGCCGCAGCCTGAGGTTTTGTTAGAAAGACGTCTAACGCTTTAGAAATGCAGTGACAGATCATACCTCTAGGAATTGGTCTACGTATTCCGAGGACACGGTGTGGGTACCGGCCCAGACCTTGGGCGACTTGATAGTCTCCAAATCGAACCGAGTGACAAGACCGAAGTTGCTGCTGCCTCCCTTCAGGGCCCAGAACAGATCGGAGTAGTGCGTCTTGTTTGCTTCCACCACGGAACCGTCGGCCAGGACGATTTCATAGTTGACGACTGTGTTGCAGGACCAGCCAACCTGGTTACCATAGAAGTTGACACCTCCGGCCAAAAGCAATCCGGGGACACCGACGGGGCCCAGACGGCCACCCGCCGCGGCGAGGCCGTAATCGGCGAGATAGGCATAGACATCCTCCCATCTAGACTCAGGCATTCAGTCTTAGATGATGTTTCTTGCAAAGTGAAGAGGGCGCGCCTACCTATGAGAGGGCCCGACCGACACGATCGACTGATCCTCGGACAATTCCAGAGTAGTCAGGTTAGACATAACAATGAGCACCCCATCGTCAATATTGTTGGATCCCTATAGTCGGTTAGAACTACATATTCATTTCCAAACTGTCGATCATGTACATACCCGGATACCCATGTGACCGCCGCCGCGCACGGCGAACTGCGCGTTGGCATCGACTAATGCCTTCACTCCCTGGGCCAATTGAGCGCTCGACTGAGGGCGGAAAACACACCCAGGGCTCATGATTTCCGTGTTGGACCAGAAATTCTGCGCTTCATACTCGTAAACCGGGGTGTTCTGAGAGAAGACGGCACTGTTGACCTGGCCCTTGAGGGCGCTGCAACCAGCGGACACCGAAGAGGCCTCGACCAAGAGCGAGCCCGCCAGGGGCAAGAAAGTAGAACCGACGCGCATGGTGACAGGAAGAGCTCTGCTCAGTTGACAAAACTGCAGTTCCGATTGGGGAACCGAAGGATTAAAAAGGACGGTCTATTGAGCCAGAAGGTGGATACATGATTCAGGAGCCGTCGGCTGGAGAAAGGACCGTTACTGGAGACTCTATTCGGGCCGAGTCATGACGCACTTGGCAAGTCAAGGAGGCACATTCTTCATGGTGGAGAACCTGCCCATGTGCGTGTTTCCTGAGATTGCAAAAGGGCATCGTCAGGAGTGCCGTTCGGCATAACCCATTAAAGACGTACGTAGCGGAGATTAGGGGTGGGCTTGGCCAATGGGTACCAGGTTTCTCACCGGCGTAAGGACCTACTGCAGTTAGTCAGGGCGATTAGTCGATGATAGCAGGCATCTAGCAGCATTCTAGCAGCTCTAGCACCAACTAGAGTTCGTTAGGATCCACTAAAGTCCGCAGGTTCCGAGGTTCGAAATTAAGTAGTCGATTTTCGCTAATCTAATAATTCTGAAGTTTGAACAATGCAAATCCGAAGGCCTTTTCCGCCGATTAATAATGCATCAAGTGTCGCTTCGTAGTCATTCGTCGTTCCAACACGGAAGTTATACAATATGCCACCCCACAACTCCTGAACAGGACGCTATGAAAATTGCAGAGTAGGTATTAAATATCATGAAAACATAGGAAAAATTAAAGAAAGTAGAATATTACCTCCGGGCACTCGAGTTCTCCACGTCGAACTCAACCGTCCGGACAATGCCGATGCCCTCGCTGCTCTTTGCAGGCATTTCTGGGTATTGTAGGATATGTTCTTCGCTCCCATTGTCCGCTGCTGGCATACCTGTGGTCGTCGTATTGGTCGAATATTGGTTACTGCGAGTATTCGAAAAGTCGGGCGCATTTGCTCGAGGAACAGAGCCCAGCGGATGGCCGTACTTGCGAGACGTTGAACCAGATTGGTAACCATTCCCATACGAGAGACCCAGAAGATGAGGAAAGTAACGACGAACGAATGGGCGCACCGCCGTAATGCAGCCACCAGTGATTCCCAGGTTCAACTCGATCGTACACCACATCAGGGCGTCCGTCGTGCTCCCTACAGGGCAAAATGTGTTAACGACTGATCATCCGTGGCATGCCCGTACTGGAGGCACTTACAGGTAAGGTCGGGGCTTTTGAGAAGAGTATACAATGTGGACAATCGGATACAACTGACGACGCCAACACTACAACACCGTGAGTTACCGCCATGTCAGTGGCATAAAGAACATCACTCACAAGCATCCCATTGCTAAGATACAGCTAACCGCGATCTTTTGGCGTAATGGCATCTGCAATCGGCGTAACCAGGGGCTGTCGGGGACACTCTGTTAGCATTTCCTCCAGCAAAGAGACTAGGCGACTGATACAGGGTGAGGCTCACATGGGGACAATCACTGTCGCGAAATCCGTGAAAATGCCCAGTCCAGCATTGGCAAAGTAGAACACTGGCCGGTTCATACAAGTTCCAGCTTTGGCAGGATACCAGGCTTTATCAATGGGACTACAACTGAGAACATTGGCCAAGATGCTGGCCACACTGTATCCTGCTGCAACAAACACGATCGCCCAAACGGCGAGGTGGAAATTGCGACTGGGAAAGATGCGCATATAGAAAAGAAGAACAGAAACTTTAGTGAATCCAGTCCCGGCGCAGTAAAGGATGGCGGCGATCACGTTTAGCTTGAGAGGGCGTTAATGGACTGCCGTGCATGCCGAAGGTATCGATCGTACCTTCATAAACCATGGTGATAGATAGTCGGCTGGAACGTCCCACATGTGTCTTCCCAGACCCCAGTTTAACACTATTTGCGCCTGTCAACCATCGCATTCTAGCCACGTCTTCATTGATGGGTCGAGGTAGTCTTACTTTCCAACGTGACTCCGGTCATGGCGGCAGATAGAACCTGCAAAATGCGAAAGAAATTGCATTAGTTGATTTGGCACAATATATGGTAGGCCGAAGAGTAGACGAACGCACCAGAGCTACAATCATAAAATCTGATCTCTCTGTTAGCAGACGGGTATCATTGGTGTGAAAAGAGCCTCACAGTCATCCCAGCGAAAACTGCGCACGATAAACAACCATGTCCATGTCCTGACCAGCAGCGCAATAGTTGCAATTGGTAGAAAAACACAATTCACGACGAGAAATTTGGTACCAATGTACGGGGGATCAGTGAAATTAGATACCGTTCCTGGCGGCGGCGACATCGCCGGTATAGTTGTGTTGTCCGCCATGTTGTCCTGCCAGCCTCTATCGGAGAGACTCGCAACGATTATCCTTCATATGGACGAGATTGGCGAACGCGATACAGTATGATGGGAAAAGAAGGGACTGTTACTGATAGGCTCTGGCCGAATTCATGGGTAAGATTAAGGAAGTAAAGATATTAATCACATGTTTGCAGAAGGGCGTTTGGGGTACCTTTATTCATCCTTGGCCGCTACTAGATTATTGGCTTCTGCAGACTAGAGATAACTTTTAATATAGTATACGCTTAGACTGCAGTCCGAGACCATGTGTCTGGGTCCCGGAAAACTCTGATTAGTATTCATGACGTCTAAGACTACGTCCGGGGAAGCTTGGTGGGTTGTCATCAATGGTGATAAATCCATTCGCCAGGAGTATACTTTTTCGAGAACCGTTCTTCCCGGCACATTCTAGGTCTCATGCCATGGTACACAGGTGGTTAAAGCGTCGTACCTGTGCGCAAGGGTCAACTTGACAGCCATCAGAGCGGTGTCCAAAATTCAGAGCTCGACCCCTAGCACTTGAGGTTCGTGATTTTGTCACCCACCAGGTGGATCCCAAGGTACTTGGATTCTTGGAACGGGGCTGAGGCGGAGGGTGAGAAGCGCAGCAAGTGGAGGGTCAAGCAAACAATAGGACTGGTCGTATAGCCATTATCCGGGTCAATGCCTTTGCTGTACTCCGTCCACCGCGCAGGTGGCGTCGTGTGTGCATGTCTCAAATTAGGATAGTGCCTTACCATGCATCCTGGCGGATTCGATCGACACACTATCGTGTTACGACAGGGATCACGATGGCCATCCGCCTGGATATTCAAATATCGGGCTTCGTGCGACTATCGAGAAGTCTGTCACACGTTCTCTTAGCTGAACCTTATCTCCATTACTGACAGACTCGTCGCGTGGGTCGGAGATTCAGTGTACACCCGAGAGAATCTCCCTGTAACATTTAGCCAGGTGTGCCTATTCTCAAGCGGGATTGCGCTCTCAATTCCGGATATGCCCGGGTAGATTGGTCTCCAGAACTTCTTTCCTCTGTCTCTAACATTTTACTTTCTTGGGTTTAGGTCTACACAGTATTGCCGAGGCCCATGCCGCGTGTTCAACGTCGAGGTTGGCAAAGCTGCCCACCAGGAGCAAGTCCTGTATGGAGTAGTTGATAACACCAGCCAAAACTAGCCACGAACATTGGTCCTAGTGGGATGGCGCGCATGAACATGCTGTGGGCTGTCTGTCCCATCTTTGCCCGACTGAGCTTTCTTCGACCACTATGACCGCTTGGCGTCTTGGATTGCACTACACTGGGCAGTCCCCCTTACTTTGCAGTTGCCACGGTTGTCGCTAACGGGGCGGTGATGTTGCAAAACACGGGGAAATCATTAGTCGGAGACCCGAGCGTGACAGGTTGAGCCCTGGTTAGTCCTCGCGTCGGCAAATCGTAGAAGCATAGTTTGCATTATCCTTTGCCACTGTTTCTTCCCTCCTGTCGATCAGCTTGTCTCTCCCAAAGATCTGCAGATTGGGAATTCCATTTGAAAAACGACAGATGTTTGGGGCACGCCAGAGACTAGGGACCGGAAAATTTTGCCATGGCTCGGATAAACACTTGATTAGCCCTCCAAGATCCACATTGTCCTGCACAAAGTCTCCACAACGACTACACTATTAGGCAATTAATCTGTTATGCTTTCACTAGTTTCTTCCAAAGAGCCGGTAATTAAGCGAGAATGCCGAATTCTTGAAATGGATATCTGCCATGCGTGGGCCATCTTAGCACCTCAACCTACTCTCGTAGGTTTTTGGGAGGGATATGTCGCAGCACACATTCATCTATTGACAGTATAGATATGACTCGTGATTTTCTGTAAATCGAGCTGTATTTTCTGACATCTAAAGCCGCTGTTCCGCTGAACGAGTACCTGCATCCTGGTGCACACTGAATGGCGCGGCTAAACAAGCATTTATTGTGAAGAAGATGCTGACCGAAAATAAATTAAGGCCCCTCCTTAATCAACTTGGCAGCCACTCTGTCGGTAAAACTGGCGCCGAGCAATGCCGAAGCCAAGCTGATATAGAGTTCAAGCGATGCTGGTAGCGTGGTGTCGAGGCCTTCATCCTGATTCGTGTAGTTTGCTGGGTCGAAAAATAGCCTCTGACTATACTGGAGCCTGTCATGGCGGCTTTGGAATTATGTCCCGTACTGGCCTCGCCACCAAATTTGTATTCGCAATTCTTTATGCTTCTATGCTTCTATGCTTCTAGATGCACCGAGAAAGGTTAATATCACCAATCTGTTTCTTGCGGGGTGCAACGCGTACTACACAAATATATTCCTGGTCTATGTGAAGATCAGTACTGTATCTATTCAGCCATGACCTATTTCATCTCGTGGATGCTGGACTAGGAAAACTTAGTGCTAGATTGCATTGCCCCCAAAAGGATCTCGGCGTTGACTTCCCCTTGCACTTCCTCTGAGATAGCATCTGGTTTTCTTAGTCCTGATTCAATCTGCGACATCTCATTCGAACGTCTAACGAAAATATGCATTGTCTCATTTACATACAGACCCGAGAGGGAAAAAAAAGCGCAAAGTTGTTTATAAATTGCACCCGTAACTCCATGCCAGCCCGCGGTATACTCACGTCTCAACCTGATCCGGGAATCGTTTCATTGGCCCATACCGAGACGTTACCGCCCGTAACCGCTTACCCCAGAAGAAAAGAGGGACAGCAAGTAGGATACTAGCGACCTGAATGGCCATCATCTCCCCAAAGACAGGGGCCGGTCCCTGGCGCTGGATCCAGTCGGCCGCATAAAGGGACAGCAGCATGCCGATGGTATTACGCACTGTAAAGATAACGACCAGAGCTTCGCCGGTAATCTGTTCAGCATTAGCGTAGGGACTTCACTAAACGTGATGGTCTAAGCAATTGGGCACACAGACCGGCCTGTAGCAGTCTAGGGAGTAGGTCATCGCCACGTTGGAGATGGCTGCGACGCCAAATGCCTGCATGGCATATCCAAACGCGGCTCCGATCCAGTGGGTGTGATGCGCGATGCAAAGACCGAAGATCAAAATTCCGCTCGGACCAATGACCCCCGGAATGACGATGGCGGGGAGTCGATACTCTGGCAGCCGTGGCCCTCCCTGTCGGTTTGTATAGCGAGTGGAGATGATGTCGATCAGTCGCCCACCGAGCCAGAAGGCTAAGACGGAGCCGATGAATCCGGATAAGGAGAGAAGCCCCAGACTTCCTGCGGGCCAGTTGTAGGGGGGTGCCGTGAACGTACGCGAGGCAGTTAATTGGACGACAATGTTCCTATCGAGGTCAGTGAGGAATACGACCGACGTGCACTGGTCATTGAGAGGCCTTACCAGCCGACCGAGATACCAATGGCGAAAGCTGCCCAGAGTAGCTGTGGATATGCTACATTACACGCGATATCTGATACTGTTCGAAGGAATGACGCGTCGGGGTTATATCCCACTGTCAGAGACATCCACTGCCACCGCTTGCGTTTAGGGGCGAATGCGTTCTTCGCAAGATACGTGGTCTCACGAACGGTAAAGATGGCGGTCACAAATGTCACCGCCGTAGCGATGGCTAGAAAATAACACATCCATCGCCAGTCCTCTTCCTGAACCAGATATGCGTTGATCAAGGGGCCGATAAAAAGCCCTGCGGTCAGGGCCAAATGGAAGAACATCAGATAATGACCCCGATCCTGCGGTGGTATCATGTCTGACACGACCGCCGGCACTGTAGCGTCTGCAGCCGCAGAGGCGAAACCCGATAATATGCGCGCAGCCAGCAGTTCCCCATAGCTTGACGCGCGGGAGGACCAGACGTTCATCATTGCGAGAGATAGCATAGACAATAAATAGACCGGTCGCTTGCCGACGACACGCATCAATGGCACCCAGAAGACATTTCCCAAGCCGAGAAGGAAGACGTTGAAGCATACTAGCTCGCCAGCTTGGGTCTGAGAAACGTGGAATTCCTTGATAATAGCTTGAGTCGCGACCGTGAAGTTACTCCCATTTACATTGCCGAGGAAGGTGTAGAAGCAGACGGTGAGATATGTACATAATTTCGCTCCTGTGGACCAGTTCTGGGAATCTCCACGTTAGCTCGCCCGGAAAAACTCACCGTTTCCGTGCTTACCTGTGGATGATTTGGATCAACGTTTGGCTCTTTCATATCTTGAGAACCTGCAACCCCCCGTTCATCTGCAACGGTCTCGAGGTGGCTGATGGATTCCTTGATTGAGTCCGTCATCTTGTCCTAGGCGCGTCGGATCCACCTCCAAGACAAGCGAAAACAAAGCGTCCGCATGGGCCGGCCGAGGGGCGGGTACTTAAACCCCCAGCAGTGGATCGTCACTGCACACCGATCAACACAGGTATAGAGAAGGCGTTGAGGAGGGGCTTGAGAGCAGGAGAAGCCAACATCCTTCGGCAGTCATTGGACGAGTATGGACAATCCGGGGTAGTCGGAAAAGCCGAGTCTGGGGGCACGGGTGTCCCGGCGGTGATGATAATGGAGCGTCTGGAGAAAGGTGGAGATTCTTTCGTCATTCATTTTATTATTACCTTGGGAATTCCTGCGTTCAATTGTTGCTTAAAGACTGAAATCTCCACATCTCCAGGCTGGCGAAGTTCGTCCCTTCTTGCCACTGCGATGATTCCGAACAAGGCTCAATGTTGGGCTGTAGATGGCATGTTAGACTGGAAAAAAGGAAAGGAAAGGCAAAATTGACTGGTTTCGGATATATTCAATTGTGACTCTGGTCTCAACCTATGTCTAGAAGTGGATAGCGCCTCGTGATGAAAGATCAGTATTAAGAACAGCGAAAATCGACTCTAAATACAAGACATAGCGCGAAGAAGCAAAGAAAGGAGCTTCCGAGGGCTCTGACTCATGGGAAAGCGGGCAAACCAGATCCTTTCTTATTTCTGGGAGGCTGAAACACGGCGCTGATCCGGAGGCGCAGAGTGGGACTTGGGGACTCGTAGTCGCAATGTCATTTCGTTTGCACAGCGCATTCTGACTTCGGTGTTGTATTGTAGACAGGCCCCTGCGCCTGTGCTACAGCCGCAACAGCAAGGCAACATTGCCTCAACGACACAATTGGTGTAACCTGGAGATTGCCCAGGTCCGTATTGACATAGGAGGTAGATGCCTGACTGACTGGAGAGCAATCGACAACCCATCTACCTGTAATAAACTCCTGCCAAAGGAATATCGTCTCATAGTAGTCGTTCATGAAGCTATATATGTAATTCGTATCCTTTATGTATTTGGTCGGCTGGGTAAGCAAATGGCGAGGCATAGCTTGTTCCTCATACGCCTTCCTCACCTTATGTTCGTATACCTAAGAGACCTTTAGCTCCCTAATAACCTTTAGCTGAGTATTTTTCGTCATCAGAATGTTATCAGGGGTGTTGGCATAGGGGCTTCCAAGGCACTTGGAATCCGCAAACTTTAGGTCGATTGACTGGGCCTTCGGGACTTTTCCAACCATAAACGCCACCGAATGATTGAAAACACCCCAAAGCCCTGTCTCATCTCCAGTGAGGTGTGATTCGGCCTCAGGATCGCCTAATCCATGGGTGTACTTGATGACCTTGTTGCTCCATCTCTGACCTTTGACATATGTTTAGACCAAACGGAGAAAATTAGACCAATGAAGGAGCTCGCCCACAAACTCGATATCGTAGAGGGCGTTGGACTTGGTGTGGTTTGGACCGAGGGAGAACAGGGGAAGGACTTGAAAAGCCACCTTCCTCGCGCGGGCCTGCTTTATCAGGATATTGTCTAATTCTGTAGAAAGAATGGAGAGTGAGTTCAAAATATCAAGAATTGTGCTCAAGGATCCTGGACTGACGTCCGTGCCGTTGAGGCCGCACAGGAACTCGGCAGGTTCGGGATTATTCATGCTGGCTTGATGAATTTTGCAACGATTGGTGAAGGCGTACTGATGAATGAAAGCCTAGTGAAGTTTGTGGTTGAATGGGAGTGAAGACTCCAACCTCAAACCAGAAAAGTAATCAGTGCAAAGCAGAAATGCAAAGCGTAAACCTCATATAGACCTCATATAGACGTAAGAGACATCCACTAAGCCGATTGGTACCGGGTCAATGATTTTTCTCTCTGTTCTTCTCGTGTTATGTCATCATTCCCTAAAGGTTGACTGATTAAGGGGTAGATAGAATATCCCGTCAGGCTTCCATATACCTCTTTATGTGGCTTGTGTCAGTAAAATGGTGCCGATTTGATGCAAAAGCCCTCAAAATGCAAACCCGCTCACGTTCGCTCGATTCTAGATTAGATAGATTCTCTATTCTTCTACATGACTGTACCAGCTGATCGTAGAGGGATATATATACCACTGTGTAATCGGCGAATATCAGAATCAATGAGAGTAGCGGTGTGACCGATGCATGGGCTTTACAATAGGTGACTTGTTAATTACATTATAAGTCAGTCAATCTCAATCCAACAGCGATGGGAAAGCGTGAACTGTCATTCGTGTGTGCGTGAATAGGATTCCCAGTTCTCGGGATATTCAAGGATTCTTAGCCCGAAGTTCGGTGTTTTCTGTCGAGGCGACGACATTGACCGAACATGGTGTCACCAGTGGACGAGATAATTATGGGCTGCAAATATATATAAAGGTAGTGGTGCCCTAGCTAGCCTGAGATTTTTCTTGTAGAATACATTCCTATCATTTCGAACCTTTTCACACATATCTCTTCTGGATACTCTCATCATGGCCACCTCACTCTCTGACCTTAATTCTACTCTTACGTCCGCACTGGAAAACCTCCCAGCTCCCGAAAACATTAAAGATGAGGAGCGTATGCAACTTCTCGGGGTTATTGGTCAGCTTCAGGCTGCACTGGAGACACCGGTCCATGTCATCCAAAAGCACTGTCTTGCGGTAAGAAATGCCGAACCCCTCTGTGATTGAATTGGTGCTGACCCAAATAGCACTATGGGATTGCCGGAATCAGGGTGGCCCAGGGCATGGGGATCTTTGATGCTTTTGTCACGTCTAACGGGGCTGAGATGACCCTGGCAGAACTTTCGTCCAAAACAAAAGGGGACGTGGAACTTCTCGGTATGTGCCCATCATGAACTCATGTGGAGAGGAACAAAGCTTACATTGGCTAGAACGTATTATGCGGTTTCTTTGCTCCCACAAGATCTGCAAGGAAACCAATGCCCAAACATATCGGCCTTCACAGATAGCCATGCTGTTCGGAACTGGATCGGTGCCTGGTGATATGATTAAGCATTTGTAAGTCTCGTCGCCTTTCTTCATCTGTCCTATCCTAACGAAACCAGTCACACCAATATGCAAATGACTGCGAAACTGTTTGACTACTTTGAACAAAGGGACTACAGGAATCCTTCAGATGCTTACGATGCGCCCTTCCAACTGGCCTATCAAACGAAAGAGCATTACTTCGACTGGCTAAGCAAGAGACCTGCGATACAGAGGGTCTTTAACTCAGTAATGACCGAGAGCAAGAGACACTGCGGGATAGAGTGGTTCGAGATTTATCCAGTCCTGGACAAGCTACAGGTAACTCCGGGTCGAGTTGCTTTGGTCGACGTCGGTGGTGGCGTTGGACATGATATCACCGCACTCAAGACAAGGTTCCCACAGCTGCCGGGCAAATACATCCTCGAGGACCTCCCGCAAGTCATTGACGACATCAGAGAGCCGCTGCCCGAAGGAATCAGTGCCGTCAAATGCAATATGTTCGAGGGACAGCCAATCCAAGGGGCCAAGGCTTACTACATGCGGACGGTACTGCATGACTGGCCAGACAAGGCGGCCCTGGAAGCTCTGCGTCACATCCATAAGGCAATGGCCAGTGACTCAATACTCCTTGTCAACGAGCATGTAATGCCCGACGGTGCTAATGTGCCCGCTATACCTGCAACACTCGATCTCCATATGATGGAGGCCTTTTCTGCCCTGGAGCGAACGGAGAAGCAATGGATTATTCTGCTCGAGAAGGCGGAGTTCAAAGTCACTCAAGTTTGGAAGTCTGAAGGGGACGTTTGTACTGCGGTATTTGAGGCTATTTTGGGAGAATGAATATTCTCAGAGGGTAGACAGCACCGGACTTGTTATCTGTCGTTCTCCTGTTTATGATTTCCCTTGGCCATACAATGTACCACACATTCAGTTATATAGAATCTCAATGACAATAGACTGCATATATGTACCATTTATCGGGATATTTGCCCTCATTAAATTTATAGAAGCATACAATCATGGCCTTGCTATATCGACAAAGGATTGATCCCTTTGCAGGAGGTCAAGCTTTTAATGACGGTGAATGCCGTCGGAAAGAGGTATTAATTGCGAGGAAGGGTTTCGTGGTTCATGGCTTATGCTGCAGAATCTTTGAAGCTCTAATGATTGACCAATATGCAGCCTGCTCTGTGCAACTTAGAGTGTCAAACAAGAAGCGGACCAATTCTTCTTCGTTGTCCCCAACTATGAGTGACAGCTCGGCCTTGTTCACCTTCACGAGTTCGCGTTTGAGAGACTCCAAGGCCAAAGAAGCAATTATGTTGGAATTTATAAAGCCCTCGCAATGCGGCCAGGACTGGAGAGCCCTGATTGCTCGTAAGCGCACACGATAGTCAGGACATTTGGATGCCACGATATATAGTCCCGGGATGATGCCATTGTCCAAGGTGATAGTGGAACGCTCCGGGAACTTTGCCATCAGCGATTCATGCGCGGATAGCAAGGCCACGTATTCAGGTGTCAAATATCCAGGAATTGGGCCGTTGAAAAAGCAAGTTTTAACACTCAGGATCTGATCCAGGTACTGCAGCTGGAGTATTTCCACCCCTCGTTGTTCCTTTGCATTGAGTTTGGCATATGACTTTTTGCAGAACAATTCTAGTCGCTGTTTGTGTTGAGATAGAGAAGCAAGGAGGCTCTGTTGGGTTAGGCGCAGTGAATTAAAGTTGAGCTCTATCTCCGTACCGGAGAGCACCCAACACTCGGAGAGAAACGGAATGCCTTTGCATAATACGTGGTTTAGTTCCCGTCGAGCTTCTTGTACATTGCGAGGCAACGGAATCGCATCGCCGGATGACCACTCCTCCGCGTCCCTTTTTAGATGCAAGAGCGGCCCATCCGTCGCGAAATGCGATGATTGTGTGTCCAGCCGCACAAAGGCTTCGACCAGAGACTGATCTATGGCTGGTAAGCAGTGTGTGTCCGCCGCTGCCTCATTTAAAATTTGCAGACCACTTCGGAGATGCCGCAGTGCTGTAGTATACTGCCCTAATAACAGCTCTGACAATGTGAACAGCAGACAACATACTAGCGTTGCCTCTTTCAATTGTGGATCCTGAGATGCATGCCGTTTATTGAGAAGAGCAAACGATCGTACAGACTGTTCCAGGGCGAACCGATGTCGTGGACGATGCAGATTGATGCCTGCCAGACGCATGCCATTTTCTTCTGAGTCCTCTTGAACGGCACCCAGCATATTAGCAGCATGATACACCGCCGGCTCCGTGTGACTGAGTTGCCTTACAAGGTTTTGCCACAATGGGGAGTCGAAGAAGGAAACTAAACTCGAGATGGAGTGATGATGGAAATATGAAAAGCATCGTTTCTCGTCCGAGTTCATGATCCAGCAGAGGCGGCTTGCCAAGTCGGGCAAATATACAACAGATCGTTTATGAGGCAGCCGGCACAAATCATATCCTTCACATATGCGACCTGTCGACGTGCAGTTTCGGCATACGCCACCGGGTGATTCGTCGCATTTAATATGGCGAGCACTGCGCCGGTGAGCTATCAGGACTGGCACAGCGTATCGGAGACAAGATCGTATCCTTACCGGCAGGTTCGGCAGCCCGTCTTGGATCGTTTCCGTTGGGCTCTGCGCTGTCTGGATACTGGTGCCTCTTTCACAGGAGCCATGGCAATCTACTAAGCTCTCAAAACAAACATAGGAAAGCAAACGACGTGAATTGGGGCTGCAAGTACCTGACGGCGTCGTAGACCAGGAGATAAAGAAGAAAGAAAAGGCCAAATGTGACCAAGCATGGAGGTGCGCCCTGGCTAGCTGGGCAATAAATGACCTTGATGAATATCACACTTGCTAACAGCTGCTAGTGCACCTATAATTCACATAGGCAAAGAATGAACGCCCACAAATTGTCGTGGTGTCATTGCAAGCCGTTGTGGATACAGGATCAAAGCACCGAGGCCTGTCGGGAATCTCCGAGAGAGCCTCAAATCAAGCCATCGGATTGACGGCGACAAGCATCGCCTTTTGGCCCCCACAGCAGTGGCGTCTCACTAGCCAGGTGAAGCGTTGCAATGTTGAGGCGCAGATTGGTGGAAGACGCAACTATCGTGCTTTTTGGCCCCTTCCTGCAATCCGTGGCTGAATGATCAGCTGACTAGCCTCAATTGCACCGGTTAATTAGGGTCGGAGACCCCGGGATTGACTTCACGGAATACGACTGGACGTACGCATTCCTTCAAAAAATGAAGTTGCCTTGTGGGGATATCGACATTCTCTTGTTGATCACCTCCAGCGAAGAACATTCGAGGTCAAGCCGGACCTCAAATGATATTATCAAAACAGACCAGAACGCGGAAGAACCCCGATGGTGGGTGAGAGAGAAAACAGGACAGATTGTGGAGAATATAGATTGCGTTCAGGAGCTCAGATGTGTACAGAGCTCGCGGTAGGAATCGGTCTCTTCATGCTCAGCGACAACATTTACCTGAGGCGTTGCCAGCGCATTTCTCCGAGTCTCGGAGACGGTGTCACTAGAGGTCGATGGAGACGATATGATATTGGAAAAGAGCTGAGAGATTGCCGCTATCAAGAAGGCCTATTCCTTGAGGTATGATATAGTTACATCCTGAATAGCGTGCTAGGTAGAGTATATTGGTTTCTATGTGTGGATTTGCGGCAGAAATTGTGCTGGTCAAGGAGGGTGTAATATCTATAAAAAAGCAGAGGAGGAAGAAGAGGAAAAAAGAGATAGGCATGAAAGCACGCTCAAGGTACAGTCCAGAAAAGCAAACAAGTATACAGTAGAATGAAAACATGAACAACATACAAGTACAGATCAGGATCTCACTTCCGATTCTTGGGCAATTTCACGAAGTATACAGAGAGCTTAGCGTTCTCGCTTGGATCGTGTTCGATTCGCCGCCACTGGCCAAGCTCACTCTGTTCCTGGTCTTTGTGCCCCATTCCCAGATTGAAGGGCTTGTAATCACGATCATAACGCAATCTATGAAACACACTGGAATGGATCTTCGCTGCTGGGGGAAGTGGTCTTCGCAAGCCACGGCCGTGCCATCGAGTCTCATGGAACTCCCCGTCAGGTCCGACTTTGGTACGCTTGAAGGGCATATACTCCATCAAGCGCCAAAAGAGAACCTCAAGCCCCTTGCCAAAATCGTAGTCAAGCGAGTCATGGATCTTGGCCTGTTCGGCAGCTTTAAGGATGTCGCGATCGTAGTCCCCCATCATTGGATCGAAGCAGTCATGCTTTGAGAGCTGGATCGGGTCAAATGTGAGACCGGCCCTGATGGCCTCCTGAACCATCCACATAAGAGGTATCTGGCTAGCCTTTGTTTTCTGGGATGGCCACCCACCCCCAACGTCACTGTGATCTCCAGCAAAGTACACCTCCTCAAAGTCTTCCTTTACGTTGGGGTGAGGGATCTTTGAGATAGTAGCTTCGCCATTTGCCGCCCACGTGCTGACTCGATGGGTCTTTGCCTTCATGCCGTCGATGGGTGGTGGTTCGAACAGCACGGGCTGAAATTTGATTCTTTTTTCATCGATGCTAACCGCATGTCGCATGGTCTTCGGACTCGGCTGAAGTTCGTTATCCTTACTGACATCCAAGGCGAACTCAGCAACACTGTTGACAGTATCGAAAAGCCCCAGAAAATGGACCAGACCTGGAGACCGACACATGGTTTCTCGACTGAGTCGCAGAGACGCTTCAGCGTCATCCCTTTCCTGGCCGGGGTCCGCAAACTTGTATTTGAGGAACGCCTTCCACACAAATGGGATGGTTTCTTCGTTATCGGCGGAGATGAGCCCGGCATAGTCCAGCATCTCGTTCAGAAAACGAGCTGTGTATGCTCCTCGTGAGAAGCCAAAAAGATAGATGCGGGATCCCGGGACCCATCGGCGGGCGAGGAAGCGATAACCCGAGATAACGTGTTCGTCAAATGAGCTGGCCAGGGCTTGATCAAGAATCCCTGCGGTGGGAAGATTTCTGAAAGGCTGTAATGCTAGGCTTACCATTGACCGGGTGGTGATGGTAGTATCCATTCCTATTCCGGCTGTTGTGTGTGAGACTGCGATCTGCAGGGAGTATTCAAGATAGCTACATACGCTGATAGTAACAATCTAGGCGGGTTAGCTTATCCTCGATAGTACTGCATAGTCAACGTGACTTACATCTGTTATCTTTGGTTCGATCCAGCATGCGGAAAATCTTGAGGATGTTGGTCTCGCTTCCATCTGCACGGAAGGTATTCCCGGTGCCATCGAAGCAGAGAACCAGCTCTCGAGTGGGTGCACTGTCGTCGCACCCGCATGGATCAATTTCTTTAGACATGACTGTGTGAGGTACTGTACAGAGCTTTGAGTGATCTGGGAATGACAGCAGCACGGATGCTTCATTTTAAGGCTGCAATCCAGGGACTGTGGAGACCCTTGGGTGGGCAACCCGGATGATCGCCACACGGTCTGATGAGTTGGCCCGCCTTGAAATGCATGGCAGCGGCATCATGCATGGCTGAGTTTGCAGATCAACGCATCATCTCAATAGCCTCGCAGTAGCGCCTTGGGCGTACTGGCGGTGTCATCGTACACCGCAACACGTTGACAGGATTTGCGAGGCTATTTGTCGGTTGACTAGAGGGGAGCTGTGAAGAGTCATTCATCTGACGGACGCCTGAGTCTCAATATTAGAAATGCCACTGTGAGCAAAGGATATGATCCCACAAGAGTAGGTATCACATAGCATGGCGGAGTTGGGATGACTCAGGCAGGGCAGAGGGTAACGTTCACCTCCTCTGTGGGCCTTAAACAGCTGGCCAATAGTCCTAGCATATTGCAAATATAATAATAGAGTTAGGCTTACTAGCTGAGGGCTGCAGGGCATGGTGGGCCTTACTACCAGGGTTGTCGGCGCTGTTTGCGCCTGGGAGCCGCCCCGTGACAAAATAATAAATATAAAAATAGTAAAATAAAGATAAAAGATCTGAAATGGATATACTAAGCTATAAAAATAATATAATTTCTATAGAGCATAGATAGTAGTAAGGAATAGAAGGACGGCTCAATAGGAGCTGTTTTCTGCCCCTCCACTAACTGTTCGAACAGATCCATGATACTACATAGTGTGACTGAATTTAATCGTTGGCACGGATGCGATATTCTGGCATTATTACTGACTGCTTTATAGACCAGCCACTTGAATAAACAGGAGAGATTTAAGTATAAGTTATCCCTTGCCAATAATTCTACAGTCGATCGAAGACGAACCTGTGGCCCTCTTTTGCTAGCGTTTCGGGAGTATCTCATTTTATCGAGCTCGATATGGCGGCTGCTTTGGTTCTTGGACAGGCTTTGAAAGGCAAAACAGGTATTTACACTGTGACAAGGCAGCTACAGGACTCAGTCTGGCTTGCTACGTAAGCCTCCCTTTTCTTTTTTTCATTGATGTAACCAGAACAACATGCCCACAATAACAATTATAGGAACAAATATCATGCGAACGTCATGGCGAAGAGTGTCAGACATTTTCGATTACAAAACGAACGAGACGTTCTACGTCACTTCCAAAACAGAACCCCCTGGATTCGCCCGTTAATTGATGAGATCACAGATCCTGCAGTTCCTCTGACGCTCATATTGAGATACTTAGACGATGATGCTCTTCACGCATCGAATAAGCAACGTCTTACTCGTCCAGAGGTGAAACATGTTGCGAAAAAGGTGCTACAAGCTCTTTCAGTTTTACATGACGAGGGATTTGTACATACCGGTATGCTTTGGGCATCTCTGCTTCGTGAGCCTTATTGATCAGCGGGGAGTAGACCTCAAACCAAGCAATGTGTTGGTAAATTATGGCTACAGTGATATCCGTTTTGCAGACGTCCAATTAGCTGATTTTGGGAGTACTGTTCCTGCGGACTCTGCTTACGCACAACATGGTGACCCTATCGGCACCCATATTTTCAGGAGCCCTGAAGCACAGCTTCAAATGAAATGGGGCACTGCAACGGATATTTGGTCATTTGGTGCAATGGCAAGTTTAAACTCCATTTGACAACGGTTGAACCCGACTATTAATCTTCACCCCCACAAAGCTTATCAGTCTCCTCTATGGAGAAGGATTTCACATCTTCAAGCCCGATGTTCCTGCCGACCACGATGAATACGATGTCAAGATCCTCATGAAGCATCATAGATGCTTCGGGCCATTTCCAGAATCGTACGAACAAATTGCGGACCAGGAGCGACTGGCTATTCTTGTTTGGATCATGCAAAACAGCCCTCCTGAGACATTGAGACCGTTCCATCTCACCACTACGCTGGAAATTTGCCCGGAAGATAAGGAATTCGTGTTAACGGCCATGAAGCTAGATCCACGAGATCGGCCGTCAGCACGACAGCTCTTGGATGATGGATGGTTTGGTCAGCCTTGAACCTAATGAATCCGCGTCAATATCCTCCTGCGTACTCAACGTAAGCGCTTTGCAACTATGACTCACTTGGGTTGGTGAAATGTGCTCCAGTAATTTGAAGTAGAATAGGGACTGAGGGGTCCTAGCCCTACATATTTGACCAGGTTGCGGAGCTCACAACCACCGATGTCATGCAACCGCCAGCCTCATTCAACCCGTCGATCACCTTCGCATTGACCTCATTCGCAGGATTATTAGTTTTTCCCTCACTATTGTGCTGAGCACCGCGACCGAAAACAATAAAGATGATTGATCCAAGAATAATAAATCCACCTCTAATAGCCCGGCCGAAAATAACTGTTTTTTTGTGGAAGGTTGACTGAAGCCTGTATGTATTTACTCTCTAGATATACATTGAACCTATTCACCAATAGAGATTTAGAACTCAATTACAAATAATCATCGTCTATTGAAATACCGTTTCTAGGTGCAAATTGTAGCGATCATTGGCTTGGAGTAAGGCATTCCACTGGGTGAGTCAACCATAAGCGCACGCGCCTGTGCTGAATGCTGTGGCTGAGTGACACTCATTGGCTTGTATGATGTAAGATTACGTTGATAGAGCCTTGGTTATGACAGGTCGCACGCAAGTACTCCTTAGATTCATGCATACATCTGTGAATATACCGACCTTTCCCAACGCCCCAACTGCTAGCCTGGTAGGGCTCAAGGGTGCGCCATTCCTGATTCTGCCAAGAACAACCTACATATTTCGGCCGGCAAACGCGCTGGTGGTTGGATATGAAGATGTGCACCAGCACTGTACACCAAAAATACGACCAATAATTGCTCGAGCTGCGAGGATATTGATTGGTTTTTTTCGTAGGGTACAGCCACTATCACTCCGGTGGTTTACAAATCAAGATGCTTGCGAACAACGATCATGAATATTCTGAGCATTCAGTTAGAATAGTTATGTCCAACAATGGTCGCCAACGGGTACTGGCATTGCTACTAAGTGCAGTATGTAAGGCGCGCATGATCTCATCAACATCCTCTCATGCAGTTAGATGTGTGTAGTGGGCACCGACAGGTAGAAGCCCTGGGCACTCTATAAGTACAATAATGATTTGTAATGTCTCTATAATGTACCATTGATTGACTGATGGTGGGAGGAGATTCCAACACGCCGCTTCATACATTAGGCACTAATGCATATACTGCATGTATATGGTCATGTCCCATATGCAAGCGTCCGAGCTAGGATCGTTCCATGAGGCAAATCATAAGGCAACTATTAGGAAAGGCGTCCCATCATTGTACAAATCCAATCGGAGGTGTTGCTGCTTTTTGCAATGGTAACGAAGTTTTTGATATCATGGCTTAAGTATATGTCCTTGATGGTAGTCCACATAAACGCAGCCACGATCCATAACAATATGCTAAGATTCACTTTTCGCGGAAGGATGATCAACGTAGTGGAGAATCCTGTGGCCAGGCCAATAGGCCACGCACCTGTTCATCACATACCATTTTGACCTGATTCCTCGAGGCGATGTATTGTTTGCTCTCTTATCAGGGCTGTCATTATGGATAGTCTTCTTCAGGGCCCATGATGGGCCCCAAATGGCTCTAGGGGTTGGGATTGGGCACTGAAGAAGACTAAACATGGGAAAGCCTATAGCATGTATAATTCATGCATCCATGGACGATATTGAAGGTACTTTCTTCATATAGTCTACTGATGCTATTCTATTACAACAATGCATATTTACCAAGAGGATATTAAACCAAAAGAGACATAGGTAAGTGCCTTGCGCTAAAAATTGTAAACCCTATAATATGGGAACAAAACCCATTGTAAAAGAGGCCAAATCTTCCCTTAATATATTTGCGGCTCACGTCGCCGTGGTGGAGCCGAAGGCATACTTGACACACGTTTCAGAATAGATCGTGCAACAACGGTAATACATCTGCAGGTACAACGAGAGTCTTCGACGACCAGAATTTTCCAAAATCTGTGCCAAATCGTCCAGGTATGCTAGAGTGCACTTGTGTTCATATTCTGCCAGCTTAATCAACTGCGTCTTCACATCACCATCCAGCTTGAGACTTTGAGGAAGCGAGAACTCGGGAAAGTTGACAGAGTTGAGATTCGATGCGAGCCGGTCTCGTTCAATACTGCCGACATCATTCCAAAGCCTTCCTTCGATGGAGATTTGCCTCCATAGCTTTTCGGCAAGGTACTTCTCTTTTGCTGTAGGAAAGACATCTCTACCATCCCCAATCTTACATATAAGGGATTTGGAGACTAGCCCACTCTTAACATCATGGACTGCAGATGTATGTAGCCACGTACAGAACGTCTGGCCGGTACTTATTGTAACACCCTCTGCGTCAGAATGCGCAAGACTGCTGTTGAGTGGTCTATATGCTTTGGCTTGTTGCATAGCAGCCAAGATCGCCATCCTCAGTTCTTGTTGAAGATCATGTTTTTCATAAGAACTAGGAGTTCCCTTGAGATTGTCATTCAAAACAAAACGGAACCAGACTCCTATGTTTTGTTGTATATTTTCAAGGCGAGTGAGGGTTTCCTCGTCCATATCAGATAAACTCTTTCCATATGAAGATTCCCCGAGAGAATCATCTTCACACGCAGCTGTCTCGTTGCAAAGCGCATCGATATAGTCAGCTATAACGCCTGTGGCACAGTCTGGTAGGTTCGTCAACGACTTTTCCATCAATTCGTCTTCTTGGAATATGCCAATGGAAAGTTCTACCATGCTGTAGATTGTCCATGTACTCATGAGATACTCAGGGCTTGAATTGTTTGCCAATGTCCAGAAACACGCGGCAAACTTAATGTATTTCTCTCCGAGGGCCTTTTGGGTAGAAAATACATCCAGCGTTTTTAGCCTGTTGTTAAAAAGCATTGCCTCTATCACCGAAGCTTGTATAACCCACTTTGGAGTTTCTATCTGAGATGGCAGTCGAGCAAAGTACTGTGTCATCTTCTCAATCACAGTTGTTGACATGTCGACAAGCTTGAGTGGTATTTTGGCAAGGCTGGCCACAGTATCTTCGGTTTTCACAGCAGCCATGATGTAGGAATCTGACACAGTCGGTATAGAATATAAGGTTTTGTCCAGCCAAAGTTGATCGTCTGTATCTGACCGTTGGCCTTTCGAAAGAATAAACTGGATACCTTTACTCATGGCATTTTTAACCTCCGCTGATATCACGTCAGTGAAACTAAAAGATGCCACACTTTTCAGTATCAGAAGAGCATAGGCAGTCTCTTCAGCAGAGTCTGAGCTACCCCAGGATCCGTCAGGGTTTTGAGTGCGCAATGTGCGGATTAATGACTGAAATAACGTGATTGGAACACTGAATTTCATAAGATCGTCGGGTAATGCGGGTAGAGTTCCTTCACTCCAGCGCTGAATGTAAGACATCAAGGCTTCGCACATCAGCATCGTTGGATAATAAGGTGAGATATTCTAGGGACTTTAGTACAACATCCGCATTTCTATAAATATAGTTTGGCATACCCATTTGTCCTTTACCATTCGGTCACAGTGAAACCATGCCTCGCATAGATAGCGAATGCATTTTTCGATTTGTGGCTGGTAGCGGCCATCGTTCGAAAGCAAGACCAGAGCAGTGAGAACATTAGCATTAGTACTTATACTAGTGTGTGTCTCATATAGATATGTGGTAAAATAACTTTCTCGTTCAAATCGATCGATTAACTCCTGTGGCGAGTAGTGTGCTCCCTGAAGCGCAAGAGCTGCTAGAGACTTGGCCGTGTCATCAGCATCAGGACATGCTTTTGGGACTATTCGCAGATTGTTAGCAAAATAAACCAACTTTTAGACTAAAGATACTATACCGAAGCCCACTACCCCATGTAACTTGATTTCGCTTTCGATCTGCTTGCCAACTTCCTTAAGTCTGCTGCTCGGTTCAATTCCATGGCGCATCAAGTTTGTTATCACCTTGCTGGATTAGAATATTTATCACTGCTAAGAACTTGGACGAAACATACCCACGCCCATTCAAATACCGTCGTAGGATATCCTGCAGCCACAAGTCCTGATCCATGGCCAGCTCCATTGGAGATTGCACACTGAATATATTCCTCTGCTTCGTCATCCCACACAGGATTATACATCAGGTACGCTGCTGTTGCAGATGGAGATGCTAGCATACTACCAAGGACTTTATAACGGGCCAGCCCTTTGAAGTCTATCTTCCCAACCAAAGCTTCCAAGGAGTGCAGAAGAGAAGATTGCGGACCGCTAAAAATGGTATCCAAGTTGATCTTTGACAATTTTTTCAACTGGACCTTGGTCAAGTAGGTCCGATCAAAGTGAAATATATGTCCTTCCGCTTCGAGCAGATCCAACAAGGCCGGTATTCGAAGCTCCAGACCAACAGGCAAAATACAGTTTAAGAGCAAGTCGTTGAGACCTTCCAAAGCTGTCTTCAAAAATTCCTTAGCTTTCAGGATCCTCGAGGTAAGGTCCTGAGGGCTTATTTCACAGGCATCGCCTGTATGCCTCTGCAGTGCCAGAAGCCCTGCTAAGGTGCTAGTAATGGAGTCTAATTTAGAGGAAGTCCCGCCCCAACTACCGCACTGGTTTTGTTGCTCTAGGAGAGCCTTAAAGGCAACTGGAAACGCCCAGACAGACTTTCCTTGGATTGGCTTTCTGACCATTGCAATCCATGCGGTATCGTATATGTTTCCAGACATGGTACCTAGTCCATAGCTTGAATGGTAGGACTTATTGAAGCTCTCCAGCAAGCTTCGTTCTCGCGTATCGATAATCACAGACACTGGATCCCCAATCATAGTGCTCAATGGATAATGAAGTATGTATTAAAAAGGTAATTGTAGGTCAACGACTGATGAGGTAGGAGTTAGTTCAGAGATCCCTGGTTTTAGCCACATATAAATAATTACCAGCAATGTTACAGTTGTACAGGGGGAGAAGGATTCCACTAGGTCATCCATTTCAGCTTGTGGTTGACAAGTCACTATAATATTGAGTTTCCGGTAAAATGTTCACCGTATTGAATTCTGTTCGCGTCTTCAGGCTGCGCACTATGCCTTTCCACTAATGGCAGTATGCACCGTGCAAGGGGTTAACCACCCAGCCTTTGAAGGTGGATGCGTCCAATATCCGCAACTCTGAGCTCAGGCATTTATCTGGTACAGGTAAAGCCTTTTAAAATGCGTATGTAATGAAATTTATATTTAAGATATGGTAAAAACAAAAATAAAATAAAGAAGTAAAAGGGTAAAAAAAGCAAAGAGAAAAGAGAGAGAGAGAGAGAGAGAGAGAGAGAGAGAGTGTGTGTGTGTGTGTGTTGGGGGGGGTTAACCTATTGATAGTGTTTGTCGTGGCGTTAGAGTTATCCCTGTTATGGTGGTGTTGATCGTCAAATCTGAGATTCCACTTGGAATCGGGTTGCGCACTAAATGATTTGGCTTGGGAATGTGTAATGCTTTAGGTTCACAGGATTTATAATCAATACATACCCTGATATATTCTTCAGCATCCCTTTCGCCCTGGTATTTTTGGATGTTCGAGATTGTTGAGAGCCACTGTGTAAAGCACTTGGCAAAGATGTCCCTACAGATATCTCCTTCCCGCATGTCAATGATTCGGAGATAGAGCGCACTGCGAAGTATTACATCCGCCAGGCCCTGATCCGATGGGGGGGGTTCCCCCGTTTGCCACCGGCATTGTTGTTACAGGCTTTATAAGGCGATGACGAAGCGATCCTGAGGTCGACTTAGCATACCTTGGGAGGTAGTGGTATGCTAGTTCGTACCCTGTTCCGTCTTACTTTGGCGTTCAATATACGGTTTCCTTTTGTAACAATTCTGCGTGTAATGGTTGTGAGATTTTAATGACTCGGTTCTCTATTGTTAGTCTTCCTTGCAGCGAGTCAGCTTCAGTCAACATGAACCAACTAGATTATGGCACTCAATAGTCCCGTTTCAAGTGGAATCACTTGTTGACTAAAGGTAATCGCCCGCAAGCCACAGCAGATTGGCTGTATATTAGGAATGGAATCTGCCATTTGAATAGCGGTGACTCAATTGTGACTTGTCAACTTCAAGCGACAACAAGGTTCAACGTGGTTAGCTGAGAAGTTACGTAAAGTTTTCACGATTCGATCCAGGAAGGTATACGTAGATATCTGCTTCATGGACAGATCTGGTATTCGACTATTTCACCATTTTGTTACTAAAAAACCGCCAATACATTGGTGTCTATGCTACGAAAGACTTCTATGAACACGAACCTCGAAGTGACTGAAGTCTGACAGCAAGCAAAAGACGCTCTCCCAGGCTCATACAGACTGGCGATTCATATGGTTCCAGCTTATACATTACGGGTGTGCTGCGGCTGACAATGTAAGCTATTGTCCGCGAGTTTCCAACCCCTTGCATCTAACATCTGTGTATGATACTGTGTAGGGATTACCAGTGCAGATAATACCCGATAAAACGTAGATTCTAAAGACATTACCGCTGGTTCGTTACCTCTGTGTACTGTCTGGAGTGCATCCCTGATGAAACCTAGACCTTTGTGTGTGTCTTTTGGGAAGAGTTAATTAAATATACATTTTTCTTCGGGGACAATTTTGAACATGGTCGGTGTGGTGAATCAACTCAGTATTCTTACTTATGCTCAGACAGTTGCCTAGCTCTTGAGTTCAGCTCCAACAGGATGACAGTTATTCCAAGTTTTCAGATAGGGTCCCCGCCAACATCTCCCTTGGCCTACGCCGGCCCGGTTACTGCCTATCCAAGGAGCAAAGACCAGGTTTGTCTCGCTCAGCATAAGAACATAGAGATGGAAACTCCCTAATATTAGCAAAGATTATATGTGGGCCGTTGGATTACCTCCTTTCGTCTGGGGGGAAGAACATTCGGCACAAGCTCATACTGGCATTCAATGAGTGGCTTCAAATTCCTCCCAAAAAGGTGGACATTATAAGCGATATTGTGAATCTACTGCACTCCGCATCTCTGCTGTAAGACTTATACCCCGATCGCTATTTCGACGCCACGGTCAACACTGGCTAAATAAGTACATTAGCATTGACGATATCCAAGATTCATCGAAGCTTCGACGGGGGAAGCCAGTCGCCCATAGCATCTTTGGCGTGGCTCAAACCATAAACTCCGCCAACTACGCGTACTTCCTGGCACAACAGAAGCTCTCCTCCTGGTATAGCACACGTGCCAACGATGTCTTTATTGAGGAGCTCCTAAATCTTCATAGAGGCCAAGGGATGGAACTGCACTGGCGAGATACTTTGACATGCCCTACAGAGGAAGAATACATTGACATGGTTCTAGACAAAACGGGGGGTCTGTTTCGACTCGCAGTCAAACTCATGCAGCTGGAAAGCAATCAGAAATGGTACGCCGGTTTTGCACTGAATGCTATTTATAGACATGGCTAATCAAGGGAAACCAGTGACTGCATACCCTTAATGAACAAAATCGGTGCGATCTACCAGATCCGCGACGACATTCTCAATCTCAAGGCCAGCGAGTATACTAAGAACAAAGGCTTCTGTGAGGATATCACGGAGGGGAAGTTTTCCTTCCCCATTGTCCACAGCATCAACAGTGACCCTAAAAATATGCAGCTCCTGAATATCCTGAGACAGAGAAGTGATGACATCACACTCAAGGCCTGTGCAGTCGACTATATCACTTCGACACAAAGCTTTACGTACAGCTACACAAAACTGAACTCATTGATCGTGGAGGCCAAGTCAATGGTAGAGGAATTAGATGCCCAGATAGGCCCCTCTACAGGCATGGCCGCGTTCTTAGAAACATTGAAACTGGATTAATGATTTTATATTTTGTTTATCGGTATATAGTCTCTTACAGCACAGAGTCCAGAATATATTCACTCTATTGGAGTCTTTCCGTTGGAATTGTTCGGCCTAAACAGATGAAAATCTACAAAGAGTATAGACTAGAGACTGATAATCAATAGGATACCTCAACTTCTGATCTACCAGCCAAACCAGAACTGGTGACAGTAGGACAATACACATTGGGGATTGATATCTTTAGTCTATTATATACTGGCTAATTGCGAGGTTAGGTTAATTGTAATGGTTAAAAAAAATGCACAACTAGGTTAAGGTATTATAGGCCAATGGTAGATTTTAAATGGCAATTGAGCCGACTAACCTTGATAACAGGCGCATAAGACCACTTTTTCCAACGTGTCTGGCAGGTCCTGCTGGCGTGATCTGAACAAATGCCAGCAACTTTCTGGTATTTCGGCATTCCAGCTTTGGGTTTTATTGGCTAGAATGGACGATACATGAGTACTGCCGTTGTCGATCCGGCAAAGCAAGCGGTCTCCAGCCACGCACGCTCGCGGCCCTCGGAGTCCTTGGAGTCCCTGGAATCTTGGATCAAGAAGGGCAATGGCCATTTGAAAAGAAAGCAACGACCTTCTAGGGTATGAAGGACATTGTCGTAGGCTTTTTTTTTGTTTTTTTTTTTTTTTTTTTTTTTTTTTTTTTGTTAGATTGACAAACACGAGTGAGCTTCAGCATTTCCACCCGAGTGGACGAGAAGGAAAACTTATCTTTAGCAACACAACGGTACTGTGCATTTGTCTCTCACTGGACTATTCTCGCGTCGGGTCAACAAATACAACACGTCACAGTGGAATTGACCACAAATTGATCTCTGGCGAGTTCTGGTTCCAGGTATGAGGTACGGGCAAACTCCGTATCAGACGGTCAGTTGCGCATCATGAAGCTTCGTCCGTTATGCATGGGTAATGTAAGGCGGCCGACCACATACCGAATGACTATCATCTGTGTCTAAAGACCCACTATAGTCACGGCACATAGCTGACTGCTATTATGCAAGGGCTAGTGATAGCGCGCGGAGGATTTGAGACGAGTTGCGAGATCGTTGAGGACGATCATCCCTGGTTGACTGGCACAGACGCTAGTAGTTCCACTATATACATCCGACATGACATGAGATTGGCTGATCCTGCTCCATTTCGTATTTGGCCAGCCATCGAGTTCAGTCAGCCACAAGACATGTTCAATTCTCAGAAATGACAATACAATACCAGTTAGGCAGCCGAGAATTTCCCCAAGGAACACCAGGCGTAAAGGCAATACAGGTATTCCCATGACACCGTCATGCACATTACACACCCATTTCACCCTCGATTCAAACTCGCATTTGCCAAATTCTTCGTACTGACTTGATTGCAAAAAAAAAAAAATAAAATAAAATAAAATAAAATAAAATAAAAAAAATTGTGACTTAGACTTAATAGCACATTGCCTGACGGCGCGCCAGCTGCCCTTATCGTTGGAGATGAGCTTTGCCTTCGATATCTTTCCAGCTGAGTCCGAAGACCTACATGCATGAAGAACCATGCAGCCGATCGAATCTCGCGAGAATTGACTGCGAGCAGCCTTAATATAGTCTTCGTCGTTCCTCATTCGCATCCCGGTCTTTTTCCTCAGAGAAACCTCATTCATTGTCGCCATCATGGGGCTCCTTTCTCCCGACATCATTTGGACATCGTTCAAGGAGCAATTCGCGATATCCATTGTACAGCTCATCATATTCAGTTTGATTTTACGCAGTATATACCGCTTGTATTTTGACCCCCTCCATCATATACCAGGTCCGAAGTTAGCGGCAATTTCCCATGCCTACGAGTTCTATCATGATGTGATTCGGGGCGGGTTATACGTCTGGGAGATTGAGAAGATGCACGAAAAATATGGTACTGCTCAAAATCAATTACCCGACGATGTGCTAACTATCTCGAAGGGCCCATTGTGAGGATCAACCCCCGCGAAGTCCACATTAAAGACCCATACTTCTACGATGAGTTGTATGCTCCGGCCCATGGGATGCGAGACAAAGACGCAAAATCAGTCGTGATCTTCAGTTCGCCGACGGCTCTGGTTGCAACAGTTGGCCATCACACGCATCGCATGCGCCGGAAGCTGCTGAATTCCTTTTTTTCAAGGCGATCGATTGAGCGGATTGAGCCGGTGATCCATGAGTCCTTATCAAGGTTCCTCGATGGTCTTACTACAGCTTACAAGGAAGGCAGTGTAGTCGAGTTGATCGACCGACTACAGGGATTGACAGGCGATGTGATAACGGAATATGCGTATGGAGAGAACTATGGACTGCAGGACCCTGAGAATTATGGCAAAGGTATTGTCAAGGTTGTTCAGGAAGGGACGGACCAAATCCATTTCTTTAGATTTTTCCCCCTCTTTTCCCAAGCTTTGCGATGCATACCTGCATGGTGTATGCGCAAGATATTCCCAGCCCGTGCCGCAGTCTATCAACTGTTGGATGGCGTACGGAAACAGTCAATCCTTGCCCTCCAGCAGAAGGAATCTGGCAATCCTCCCGAAAAAATGACCATGTTCCATGCTCTCACAGCCCCAGAGGTCCCCCCTGAGGAAAGGAGTTTACAACGTCTCGAGGACGAGGGATTGGTTCTATTTGCTGCCGGTACAGAGACCACAGCTACCACCTTATCTATTGCGTTGTTTTATATCCTGAATGATAAGAGCGTTCACTCTAAACTTCGCGAAGAGCTGAACCAGGCTATACCAACTGCCCACCATCCGACAACATGGCGAGAACTAGAGAAACTGCCGTACTTGGTACGTGTGATACTTGTTCATTATGGCTGGTTTGGCGCCCTAACCGTTCATTTTATAGACGGCGGTCATTCAAGAAGCCCTGCGTTTTTCGGGGCTCATGATGCGACAGCAAAGGATTTCACCGAGAGATGTCATAAAATATAAGGATGTTGCCGTGCCACCGGGGGTACATTATCCCTTTATAAGTGTTTGAATTACTTGACATAACTGACCCGCGCATGTAGACACCGGTCAGTATGATTTCACACTTCGTGCATATGGATCCCACCATCTTTCCCGAGCCCAAAATATTTAATCCTGAGCGCTGGATGCACACAGCTGGGCGTGACGAGGGTCTTTCAAGGTTCCTTCTTACATTCAGCAAAGGGGGCCGGGGCTGTATAGGAATGAAGTGAGTGCGTTTCGCTCTATGAAGCATTTTGCTGTACTAATTCCACGCCCTAAAGCCTGGCCTATGCGGAACTATACAACACACTCGCAGCTGTCATTCGTCGATTTGACTTGGAGCTATACCAGACCACCACAGAGAATATTCAGTTCGTGCGAGATAAACTTCTGCCTCGGGCTAAGGATGGACCCTGGACTGTTAAGGTGAAAGTCGTAGGTATTCGTGAGGACTAGTACGCGGGAATGCCAGACAAATTTGACTTGGCATCTGACATGTACCTTCATTGAGAACTCGGAGGAAGGCTCTTTGATTTTCATCTAGAAACTGAATGTGTGCTAATCTTGCCCTTCCGAAGTGGCGCATCTTATCGTGTATACACACGTCCATCTTAGCCATCAAAATGATAAAAGTTGACAGGGAAAATCGTGCATCATGACTAAGCTAATGGAAGTAGACTACAGATACCGATTGACGGTGTTGGCAGCACCCTACCCAAGTACACCCTGAGTTTCGCGTTTCCGCTGGTCTGATCCATTTTCAATATAGAGTGAGCTGGCACTGGGAAATATCGCATCATCTTGCCCATCAAGAACTTGTCTTTTCACATGATTGCCGGCTTCCAGGAGTATTGACAGCGGCGTTCAATTACGGGTGACAAGGAAAAACCGCACGATTTAAGCTTTGATCTATAACATGTCACATTGGTCTGTGGAACAAAGTTCAGCCCGTATCTAACAGTTATGAAGCGCTAGAGGGCGTTCCATGGAGCAAAAAACGGCAGGCCCATAGATGACGGTACCAATGCCATATGGACCTCTACTGGTGGGAAAAACTTGTGAGGAGATCAGGCACCATCTAGCAGAATACCTATTTGATATCAGTCTTTTCTTGTGCATTGATCTCTCCATGCCTTGTCACTTGGTACTATGTCCTTACGAACCCGTACATGAGAAAGGAATATACTATTATTCCCGAGGGATCTCCTGGTTTGATGCTATCCTGTCAGACTATAGGGCTGGGTATCACAAGAGGCTGACCTGTAACTAACAAAGATTCTGGGTCCATTTCGATCGAAAACCTTGTCTGTTGTTCGAGGGTAGGGGTGCATTGCCTGGAAAGGGCGTCCGCTCCCCCCTATGCATGCCATGTGGACCCATTAGCGGGGACCGCAACAGCTCACCCTTGACCCTAAATTTGGCGCGGTGTATAGAGGGTTATAGAAAGTTTCTGATGGATCATGTCGCAGGACACCATAGCTCGCATTTTATTTATATTTTATGGTTACTCTGCCGATCAAATGAGCTGTATGCGTAAAGGAGCATTATCTAGCGGGTACTATTGGTTGACCATGCATCCTTTGAAGCCCTAGCTGCGAGACTCGGTTGAACCCCGTGCAGATCCCCATCTCGACTTCTAATATTTGCTCAACTCCGCTACAGGTGCTCTGTTGTAATTCACCCTCTATGTGAAATCTCTCCATTTTTGCGGTATAATTCAGACAGTGAACAGCCAAGACAATATTGAACCTCCCCCCACGCTGAATGGTTTGCTGTGGAATGTATGTAATACGAAGACCGGCAGAATTGCGGCAAGCGCCGTCAACCATCGTCTCATCGATCAAAATCGGGTTCAGCTCGCCATCCACTCGACGAGGTGATTGGAATACGATCCCGCACAAGAAGGCTAAATTCAGAGTTACCATTGTCATACCCAAACATGCTGTCACACGGCCAATGATGATGATTCCGACGAACCTGTTCCACAGCGTCGTTGCGACTTTCTGTCCTACCGTGTCAAGCCAACAGACTGGCAGGTTGAGAGTTAAAGACGCGCCATTGGGGCCTCTGGTGATGTCAATTGTTCGGAATGTGGATCCAGGGGACCCCGATGACCCCCAGTGAGGATAAAAGAAGCCATTCCCATTGTTTGCGACGGACCTCGCCGCCACGAACTAACCCTTGCATTGTGATCCAACCGAATTGTATAAATACGATCAACCATCATCGCTTACACCGCAAGGACCACGGGTCAGATTTCCAACATCAACAGAAGTATCTCTATTCGTCTATTGGATTTGTCCTTACCCCTCCCTACCGGAAGTGACCATGGGCCAAACCGCTTCGGTTCCGAAACCCGGAACCCAGATCCAAGTCATCGGTGCTGGGATGCCTCGCACGGGCACTACATCCTTCAGCATAGCGTTAGCTATCCTCCTCGACAGGCCCGTCTACCACTGTGGCACCCAACTCAATCGTGGCCCACCTTCCGAACTGAAATCCTGGGTCCGTATCCTCCGTGCATGGTTGGCCGGTGATCGTCACACCGTCTTATCCACACTTAGATCGTGCTTGGCTGGCTATGCTGCCGTCACTGACGCCCCATCCTGTAATCTCGTCCCAGAGCTGCTGGAGCTCTACCCGGATGCCAAGGTCGTCTGTACAGTGCGCGACCCGGTCGCGTGGGAGAAGAGTATGGAACACATCCATAGCGCCGCGGCTGCGTGGTTTCTCAAAGCTCTGCTCTTTCCGTTACCCGGCATGCGACATTTTGTAGACTTTACTTGGCTGCTGCGGCGCCTGTGGAGCAGGCTGTATCTGGATAATCGGCCTCTGAGTTCGGTCAACGAAGTTGCCGCCACGCTGCCCCGTCGTGAGGTCTACGCCAGGCATCTGGCTTGGCTGCAGGAAAATGTGCCCGCCGATCGGCTGGTGTTCTTTGACGTGAGGGAGGGCTGGGAGCCGCTGTGTAAGGCATTGGGGAAGGATGTTCCGAAGGATATACCCTTCCCGCATGAGAATGATTCGGCAGGCATTGAACGCACGGCGAGGTACCACATTCGACGGGCGTTGATACGTTGGGCGGCGATACTTGCGGTGGTTGGGATTGTTCTTGTTGGTTTTGCTCGGCTATCATGAGGAGATCTTCAGCTGAGGTTAAAGCCCAAAGCAACACAGATGTAATAGGTACAGCATGCAGAGAGACTCAACAGAGGGACCTAGTTAGGTACCTACTGGAGTGGTATGGTAGTGATGGGTAACAGGGTTTGTCGCTACGTTAAATTACGGCCAGCGTATTGGTTTTAAAGTTGGGGCAAGCCAATCCCGCGTTGCTGCTGGGGTCTATATCACACTATATAGCTTAATTCTCCCACCTTGAGAAGGTGAGGTGGGGCTATGGTTGCATATGATTTGGGCTCCAAGGGTGATCTTTCCTCATTGAAAACCCACAAATGCATTAATTCCCCTTGCTGGTGAGATACGTGTTCAAATAACAACAACAACAACAACAACAACAACAACAACCAACCCCATTTAGTTCCGCTCGCCCCGGAACTATTATTCCATATGCAATCGGCGGACTAGCGGGCTCGCTCAGCTACACATGGTGATTCACTGACTCAGATCCCGCAGCCGTCCTTACACCGTCCCTGGTGACAATCGACGATACACCAAATTGGGACCAAGAACCGGAACGTGGCAACACCAGAGAGGGAAAGAGAGGCTGTGTCATCTTGCAGATCACAATGGCATGGAATAGTGCTGAAGATCAGCCGTGCGGGCACCGCCTTGCCACGGTATAGTCAAGTCTCGCGGTCAATAATGTATGCAGAATGTATCATGTGTGTAATAGCAGACAGCCGAGATATTATCGGTGAGGTTGATTGCTATGGAACTTTCCACTTTGCTCTGGTTCATTTCAGGCTCAATTCGGTGCGGAATCTTGACGGATCATATGATTCATAACAGCCGTGTATTCCGCGATGGCGTAGAGATTGACGGTAGGGTGGCCGCTGAGTACATTGCTTGGATAGACGCATCAACCACGCGCACGTTCCAGCGCAACAAGTGCAGCGCCCTGATCCATAGTGGGAGATCAAGGACTGGATGGGACTGCACAGGAAGAGTGGCTGGGAGGTTCATCCCGAAAATCGTCGTCATCAGGCAGATTGCAATGCAACCTTGTGGAAACAAATCAATACTCCCCTGGAGACTCTCGAACACGATGAACAAATCCTCTATCAGGTGCGCTGGCGATGTTTATGGATGCCATTTTCCAGGAACAGAGATCTCCCGCGTGCGAAAGAACTGCTTGAACGGCGACGGTCGACAGAGATTGAAAAGGCAGGAGCAGATAGCAAGGGTGGAGCAATTGCAGAGATACCTGGAAGGGTAGTGAATCGGGGGCCCAGAATGATATGAAATACTCTTTACTTGGCGTGGCGCTAGTTTAAATCTCAAGTTATAAAGCCTAACATTACTATATACTGTGAGCTTATACTTAACACGGCGGGATAATTATGAATCTCACTTCAAGATCGACTAATAATATCCATCACCGTACATTACCTGCGTCAGCATAGATAATGTCCTAGCAATTTACCTATTTTCAAAGGAATTGGAAGCATGGCGGTGTGACGAGGCCTCCTCATTCATCAATTTCGATGCCTCATATGTCGTATCCACTCTGTCTGCCTTTTCTATACCTCCCATGGGGTTATTAAAGATCTCATTGCCCCGGGTCAATTACTCGCAGGTCAACACGACACGTTCGATACGTCCAAGCCTCTTTGAACCTTCTCGCTTCCCCAATCAACAGTCGGACCATCATGCGGCCTCAGATAATCCAGACTTTCCTTGATTACCACCATTCGTCCGCCTTCCCCGGCGGGGAAACTACTGCGGGAACACTTGAATTCTGTCGGATAGCTCCCGACCGCCAACCTGTGCAAATCGAAGATGTGCGCGAGAGAAAAGAAGAATTCCGTCTGGACGTGCATGGGTTTCAGTTTCTACGGCACGAAAGTCCCAGTTTCGCGTCTTTTCGAAACGAAGACCTAAACACCGTGGAGCAGGAATCGGTGGAAATTCTTCAACGATTGTAAGTCGTCGACAATGATTGTTCTCTGGAGAGTGTTTCCGTGACTGTAAACTCCTTACACAATCATCTTCACTTAGGACGGGCGCAACCAGCGTGCAAATATTCTCACGTTGGATCCGCAATCAGACGGACAAAGAATTATGCAAAAGGATCGATTCCTCCGAACCCGATTCATCGGTAGTCCCGCTTAACATGCCGTCCCGGAGAGTGCACGTCGACCAAACCGAGGCGGACGCATACCAAAAATTAAAAGACAACATGGCACCCGACCAGGTCGAGCGGGTTCTGCAAGGCCGCTGGGCCATCATCAACGTCTGGCGTCCATTGAAGCCCGTCCCATGCGACCCTCTCGCAGTAGCAGATGCCCGATCTGTACCTGACGAGGATCTTTTTGAGGTCCATCTTAGGAGACCACAAAACTTCCAAGGCACCTTATATAATCCTAAGACCTCTCGACAGGGTAGTGGAACACTGTTTGGGAAGTATGGACCGGGCCATAAATGGTACTACATGTCGGATATGACCCAGTACGACATCATCTTGATCAAAATGTTTGACTCCAAAGATGACGGCAAGACGGCGAGAAGAACACCCCACGCGGCATTCATTGACCCGCACACGAGCGAGGTACAGGCGGCACGAGAAAGTTTGGAGATAAGATGTTTGGTATGCTATGGGGATGGGATATCCGGATAAGATGGTGTTTACCGGTTCCCCTACAGAAAATACACTGTAGATAAAATTTCATTGACCCTTGACGGACTACTTGGGGTTTGGGCGGAGGGTTTGAAAACAGATCAGAAGGTGCAAAGGACGGAGGGGAATTTGGGTACTATTATGCGATCTGGGGACACGAATTGGTTGATATCCTTCGCCTGGTATAGCTTGGTCAGTTCTAATAAACACCAGCACGGCGTTATCATCTAATCAATCTTAACTAGTATTCTTCAGGGCCCTGACTAGCGGGCCCCAGCCTAACCCTTAGATTTACCATAGGCCCCCAAATATTTCTTTGTAAATTTTTAGGAAAAATGTTGCTGATCACTGACATTATGTGGAATCTCATAGTTTTTGCTAAACCTCTTCCTCAATTCATGGTATCCGAAACACTGCAACCCCACCAACACCCTGCATACTACTACATGACATAGTCAGATGTAAATTGCCACCAAATGTCAAAATCATACTCATCCCACCGGCCGTTATCATCATGCAGGAGTGCCTTCCATTTACCTTCTTATTGCCCGTGCCTCAAAGGCAGCTGCGTCAGGTAAGTCAGCCCAGAAGTGGCTCTTGCTTAGCGCCCTGCACAGCACACAGATACGACGCCCGGTCTTTAGTATAGAATTCGACATCGACCTCGTTCCGCAAGTTTGCCTCGCCACCATCCAGGGTACCGGCTTTAATGACGGTCTTGTCGGCCATGAGATCTAATTCTGTGTACAGACTCGACCCACACTTGCCGCAGAAGAAATGGCGATTGTTTTTGCCCGAGGCTCCAGTAATGTCATAGAACGAGGGTTCTCCTGCAGCAATTCTCAGCCACAATGATCGAATATGAGAAGAGAAGGATGTATGAGGTAAAGCAACGATAGGGTGGGTAGGTACCTTTTGTCACTTTGAAAGAATCCCGGGGCACGATTACGTTGGACGTGAATGCGCCGCCGGTCCACTAGATATAACGGTTATTCTTATGCTTCATCTACTTGAATCGAGGATGTGGAAGACTAGCTATGAGCGCGAAGTCTTGTGCCACAGACCTACTGCATACCTTCTGGCAATCAACACAGTGGCATAAAGCCTTCACAAGAGGCTCGGCTAAATTTAGAATGATATTAGTAAAGTATACGCGGTAGCGGGGTTAATATGTACCATGTACTAGACATACAGTCAGAGGCGTATGCAACAGCACCGCACATGCAGCTTCCTTCGAGAGTCATTATGTCGGTTGTTTGGGGTGAGGATGAATGATAGATTCCGATCTAGATCGATATGGATGGGATAGAGAAATTCTCGGATACGGACAGACCAACGAGGTGTATTTATGCCCTTGCTACCCCAGGACGACGTCAAGCATAATTACTTCTACTAATAACCGGATATCTACGGTTCTAGCAATCACCAAGAGGAAAGCCTCGGATCGTTCACATTTGAGTTATTCGGCGTTTGCTTGACGTGGATCCAAATACCGGGCCCACTTCTCTCTGTACTAAACCGTAGACAGGCTAACCGGATATGGCCAACGTCTAGATTTGGTGAGGGAAAGTCGTGTTTCAACTTGAAGAGCCATGCTTGCTTGACTACTGACTACAGAGTATCTATGTCTGAACTGAGAGGTTCCAATAGGCTGCGAGCGGGAGTACTGAGAATTCAATTAATCAACCTTTCAAAAAGCCAATTGCCAATTTGAACAGTCCTGTCAATGCTATTCTCCTCAGGTTACTAGATTTAGTTTAGCGTGATCAATTTGCCGACACTTTAGTGTAGGTTCGAGCTGCTGACATCCTCAGCTCAACATGTTACAGCAGTATTGGCTGTGGTATATGTTCCAGGCGGGGTCTTACACCTAATTGGAAACAGTTCTCTTCCACAGTACAGCAATTCACGAATAGCAATCCTGGTGACTAAAGCACAGACCTCTGTCGTCTCCACAATTCGGCGATTAGAAATCATGCTTGGCCGATATGATGAATGGTTCAGGTCATACGAGGACCTCAGCTTTTCTGTGATAGAACATACTGCCCCGTGCTAACTGTCATAGATAAAAACAATCAACCCAAGGGACTTAAGCTTAGTTAAGCATATCGCTGCAAGGGCACTAAAGCATGCTGGCTTCGGCCGGGACCTGCACGTGTATTGCATGGATCGTAGGATTTTCAACTCCACTATGGTACATGCTTTATAAACGAACGGCTTCAAGTCACGGCGTAGTTCATTCCAGTTTGATACAATCGGTAACCAGACTGGGCCATATCATGGACGCACTCCTTCGCACACGAGAAAGGGAAATTGCATTGTCTTCTTGTCACCAGCGTAGCTTCCATTGTCGTCATCCCACCCCTCGACATCCTTATCCAGCGTCCACCCGACCCATACCTTGACTTGCTCGAAGCCAACCTCCTTCAACAGGTCTTCAATCCACTGACGCGGGATGCCGTGCCGTTCCACACCCTCCAGCTTCGACTTGGGGTGAAACTTGATTGCCTCGGGACCAAAGTCCTCAAAATCTGTCAAAGCTATCCTTCCGCCAGGCTTGAGGCTGCCCAGGAGCATGTGGAGAAAAGGTCGAAGATCAGGAATATGATGCAGTACCAGATGCGACAAGGCCAGATCGAACTTTCTCCGACCTGCGGCGGGCTGGTTCTCATCACTGGGAGGAAGAACGGGATCTTCGGGGTCCTCTAGCAACTTGCAAATGGGGACAATATTTCGCGGAGAGTCAGGCTGGGTCGTCTTCGTCTTCAGCATTTCGATCATGCCCTCTGCCGTATCAACGGCGACAATCTCGCGGACCAGCGGTGCCACCCGCACACTCAACAGGCCTGTTCCACAGCCCACTTCGAGGACATCTAAGCCAGTTCCTGTCGCATCGTGCTTCTTCCCCGAAAGATTCTCAATGAGGGGTCGGAGTGTCTCGTATGCGAGACGAGTCGCCTCTTGGACAGAGGGGTTATTGTCCCAGTTTGCCGCTTCGGCATTAAATCTTTCATTACCGGCAGTATTTGGTGCATTGGACATCTTGTATATGCTTGGTCCTTTTGATATTTTCGTAGAGAATGTGTGTTGATGTTCGGGTTATTCGATATTGAATGATGGTGAAGTTGCTTTTCGGCTCGGCTATCCAGCAAATGCGGGGTTGAATTTATATGACAGAAGTTACCCACGTCGACGCTTGCCCGCCACTTTTATGTACGAGAGGGTATCACACAATCGGGCATTATACTACAAGATCAGATTATTATCTACTCGGCGTAAATCACTCCTTTCTCAAACACGGCTGGCCCCATAACGCACGACACCGTGCACTGTCAAGAATATTCTCCGTCGACCCCATTACATGTTCAAATTCAGTTTCCTCCGGACCAGGCTCTTGACCATTCCCAATATCCACAGCACTTTTCACACCAAATGACTGGGCTGGAAAATACTGATGCACAACCTCGGGCACAACGGAGATACACTTGAGATGACCCGCCTTACAAGCATGCATCATACTCACATCGAAGGCCTCGTCTCGTGCCCCACCCAACAGTTCTAATACCTTCCGAGAGCCCTCTCGGGACAAGGCATATGCAAATGAACACACGGGGTTAAACGACCGGTATACGGCGCGTTGACGGTCCGGCAAACGATCAATGTACGGCTTCGCCCAGCCGAAATAGTCACTATGGGGGCATGCAGTGGGATCGTCATATAGGATCGTTTCGAACTGCTCTTCCCAGTACTCGCCGCAATGGCCGATCCAGAGGACTTCCCAGTCCCGGCCGTACGGTGCGGGATCCTGGTCAAGATCATCGACATGGGTTAGGTTGCGTACACTTTCCGCAATTTCGACCATCTGCGACCGGATGGACACATCCCAGTCGACGTCGTCTTCGATGATGAGGACTGTATCTAGGTTCGCTTGGATGGTGTATTTAATCAAATCAAGATGCGCCAGCCAGGCGATACTTGCACCATGGCTTGGGTGTTGGACATCGTCAGGCCCCAAGTGCTCGAACGCATCGACGAGATTGGGGTTGATTGGCGGCTGCGGTGGAATCTGAATATCCAATCCCGTCAGATTTGCTGCGGCCAGTAATCCTCTCGTGCGCCATGAAGGGCCGGTGGAAAGTGTGAGGATGGATTGAAACTGTTTGCGATCAACACATTGTGACTGAAGAATGACCCTGGAGGCAGGGCACTTACACCTAGTGTGCTATTGCCTGCACTCTGTACGGAAGACTTGGGGATAATTGGGACTAGCTCAACCGGCGTCGTTGTTGGTGTCGGTGTTGGTGTCAGGGTTGTGGCCGGCCGCCAAACCGTCCAAGTCTCTCGGTCGCGTGATACAAAGATTCTCTGCGTGTACCACAGCAGCAGCAGAAGACTCACGGCTGTTCCCAGAAGAAACAACTGGCGCGTCGCTAAGAACATTGCTTGCTTTCGCAATCTTTCGAACTCATGTATGGGAGAGGATAGGTTTGATTGTAGCGCTTACGCAGTGGGAACGGAATTTTGTTCATGTCTAGCTAACGTGACATTGTTTCAGGTCAGCAAACCCCTAGCGTGCATTAGAGAAAGAATCTCTCAGCGGCAACATTACGGCGCAGCCTTGTTGCATAAGAACAATGATAATCCCAGCGCTACCGGTATTACTGACAGGGGTTGGGGCCAATAGAATCGCTCGTCTTGGCGCTTGCTGGTCTTTAGTATGGAGGATGTGTCTGGACTTGAACATCTTTTTTTTCGTATATCAAGAGCGTATTCACGGACATCACCTGAATAAATCCCTTCAACGATAGGTATCTACAGAGAGCCATGGAGCTCTACCTTCTGTAAGCATACGGCCAGGGAATGACACTAGCAGCGAAGAATAGAACCCCGTACCAGCGCATTTATCGCAGATATGTGGTACCATGCAACGCTATAGCTATATTAGTTTCAGACCAAGATCAAGCGCAACTATGGTCGCTGGAGCCTTAAGAAAAGCCCAAATCTGTCGGTAGAATTATTACTATTGTCAAACATCTCTCTGGCCCTACCCCAAGCGAACAGCAACTTCCAGTTGAAGTGCCTGGGGAATTCAAGCAACGAGCCATGAGATATATGCTACAGTAATAACACATGATATAAATGCTTGAAATACGTCTTGTGGCCATTGTATATAACCCCACACTGCACCTAACTTAACCCCAGCGGGTATCCCGAATGCTGGTTTTAGAGCATGGCTGGCAAGCATACCAAAATGGAAATGACTATTCCACAATGAACGATGTGTTTAACTACAGCACTGTGTTGTAGACTGGAATTGGAATTAGAAAAAATACATCATGATCTTCCATGAATGCAAGTGGAACAAATCAACTCGCGGGATAGTGGTTGTTACTATTATACGCTAGTCCAGTCCTTATGATACAGTTCTAGCCTGCTTTTCCTGATGCAACCCACGAACCTCCTCATCCAACCCCGGAGCCGGGCCATCAACAACTAGATCCGGTGCCACCTGATTGATGGACAGCGGGGCAACCGGGCCAGCCTTGATACCGAGCTCCGCCCTCCAGCGCACAAGTTGAGCAGTGGAGCTAGCGTACACGATTCGCCCCAAGCCGGCATTCGCATGAGCAGACGTGCACATCGGGCAATGCTCGCCAGATGTGTAGACCGTGGCAGCCGCGCGCTCCGTCGGAGACAGGTTCTTCTGGGCCCACTGGACGAGCGTGAACTCCGGGTGCCAGGTGACATCAGACTCAGTCACGGCGCGATTGCGATCCTCTTTGAGAATCTTGCCGGCGGCATCCACTAGCACGGACCCAAATGGGGCATCGCCCGCTTCAAGGGCTTCTCGGGCTAGCTCTACGCAGCGGCGCAGATAGTCGATATCTGAGGCGGTGACCATAATGCTCTCTTTCGGGACTCTGCGAGGATGGGTATGCGATATAGACGTGGTATAGTTCCTTCTTCAGGAGTCGAGTTACAGTCTGCAATTGTTAGCTGATGAATCGTACAGAGATATATACATATCTAGAGTACCTGAACGATCACCAAATAGCGTTTATCACTGGAGGCGAAGTTACGGCGATGTATATAGTTAGCAAAATATCGACTTATGACATAAATGCAAATTGAAAATGCGGCGGAAAGAGGGTGATTGAAGGGTTTTAAATCCCCAGTTGGCGTGGAGGAGTTAGTAATAGAAATATCAGGGACTGATTTCGTCCAGTACGAAGCGTTCGGAAGTCGCCGCCAAACCCCGCAAATTCACATCTGGTGGACCCTGCCAAGACCGTGCATAATTGCATAGAAGTCTGAACGTTGATATATACATCTCTACTGGAAGGTGAGAAACACTACGTGGAAGACAATAATACCGTTCCAATAGCATTTAGCAAGTTTCCGCCATTTCTAACCAACTGCTGTCTTGTGGATAAATCTACGACATATATCATCCCAGGGAATATGTTCAATTCTTGAGTCCTGACCCAGCGCTCAAACTCCCGGGGCCATGGTTCCCAACGTAGTAGAGGTGATATAGAGGCCCCCAGGAATAGTCATTATCGACCAGGATAATATTTCTCCGTTTAAAGTCTGTGAGTGGAGGTGTCCTTCTCATATGCTTGACTTTCGAAATCAATCGCCGACCTTTAAACCCGCTGGTGTGAAGGGGCGTCGTAGACACTACCGCAAGGCGGAATAATGAATCAAGAGGTTTGCCAATATCCCCCTGACTATGTTGAGTCTCTCTCACTATCGCCTCATCGTCGCCTCATAAAACCTGCAATAGCAATCCCAACAATAGCAAAGATTATCGCCCACCGGATCAAGGCCTGTTAGATGTGATACCTCGCAGTGCGGACAATCCCCTTGGAATTGTTTACATGTGGAAAGGGTACATCGGTAGGGACGTCTTTACCCAGCGCTTTACACAGCGACTCCTAACTCTCCCGAACATCAACGAACACCAGTCGGTCGGCGGATACATTCTCCCGCAGCCAGGCGACATGCCTGGAGTAGATCGCCATCTGGGGAATGGTATCGCTGACCTCCTTCGCCGAGTTAAACTGCCGACCACCCGTATACAGCTTGCTCCACTGCTGCCGCGCCAACCCAGTAAATTCTGCAAAATGTCTCATCCCCGGTAATGGAAGGAGGAGAGCCTTTAGAAACCAAGAGCCTGTATAGTTATGGACCTGTTTCATGCTCTTTTACACTCATTTCTTTTTCTCTTCCCACGACTATTCTCATATCATATTCCCTTTGGTCTTTCATCTTCCCTATTACTGCCATGTAATGTTCGGACTGATCTGGTACCTATCACCCATCAAGTACCCAAAGCGCTAATTTCTGGTGCGGGAATACTCTGAGAAATGCTTCTAAAGTTTCCAGTCTACTATATAGCCATACTCGTCCTCACAACCGCCGCTGTAGCGAAGCCGCAATGCGATCCAAATAAAATCAAAAGTCTCGAGCTCCGTGAGGTGTCAATAACCGACGACGCGAACAATGTCGAGGCAAGAGATACAAACGAGGAATGGTAGACTGTCACGACTTATATCTTGGACGATGATGATGATGATAGTGATATCCAAGACAAGACGGATGCCGATGCGATCAACCCTCTCGCCCCTAGTCACTGCTTGAACTGTGCGAAGATTAAGAAGGCGAAACCAAAATACAAGGGGAAGTCTGATCCCAAGAACAGTCTGGGTTGGAAGTCCTCTCATAACTGTAAGGGGACAAGCTACCTGTGCGTACAGAGCGGGAAGACTACGTGCTATGGACGGCCGCTGTCTAAGTTGAACATGGAGAATGGGGAGTGTTTTAAATAAGAGGGGGGGGTCAGTAGTAGGCTTAGAAACTGCAATGGATATGGATAGTGGAGCATATTCAACATATGCTTACTAGCATCTTAGCTATTGGGCTATCTTGTCTGAAACAATACAGCTGGTAATTGCTTTTTAAGATGAGCTTTGGCACGAATATATTTAGTCCTCGAGAAAATATCCATGGTTGGTATCCAAGTATTTATTGTAGGCTATGGCGTCAAGTCTGATAGAAACCATGGTACTAAGGCGGTATTCTTCGGCTACTCCGGAGCTTATGTCCAAACATGCCTTTCCTTCTCGGGGTACTGAAGCGAACCGCTATACTACGTATAGGAAAAGAAAGCAAACATGTTAGCGGTATAAGTCACTCTGTGTCTATCGTCTATTATTGAGCAGACCTAGTTGTATCCTGGGTTACATCTGCTCCTTCGTTTTGATCCCTTTTCCCCATTTGCTCTTAATGGTACCCAAAAGGCTGGAGAGTAACCTAATTGCGGTAGTAGTTGTTACCAACAAGCCAGAGATTGAGAAACTCGGTCAAGCCTACCGGGTCGCCTTCAACTCTGTTTCCTTGGTATACCTTGGGGAACTATCAATTTGGAACCGAATAACATGGTCTGCACCAATCTCAGTCTCTTGGAAGTATCGTGTGCCGGAATAACTGAAACGCAGTGTCAGCAGTGGATCCCTTAGTATTGAAATAATCCAGTAAATAATACCTCCAGTGGACGAGCCCCATCACAACGTCTTTGCATCCCCTCACAAAAGCATCTGAAATCACCTCTGAGGTTTTACCCGGCTGTAGTAAAAGTATGTTCTCTACCTGTTGGAACTTTGAGGCTTCTTCCATTGCGAATGCGTAACTCACTTGCATTGCGTCGTGGCATTGGATCCCTTTATTTAGCATCAATATCGGGATGAGGTTTCGATCTGCATGTCATTCTGGTTGACCTATCAGCTACCGCTTAGAACCTACTAGGCATACGATGGTATACAATTTCCTTTCGCATGGAGAACATATCATTTGTTCTATGAGGGTCGGTATGTTAGCCTAGAGACAATCCTCTCCTATCTGGAAGAACATACATGTGGACCAGATAAGAGGTGTGTCTCCACAGCTTCTTCATGTAAGGATTCTCAACGTCGGTTATAGTAATATTGAGGCCGTAAGCGAATCTGCAGCAGTTAGAGAAGTCACCCAAACTCCAAAGACACACATACGGGATTGTGGCAATGACCGGGTAAACACCCGCCGTACACTCTCGGCGCTCCCAATATTCCTGGAGGGTAGGAATCCTTGTGCCGTTATTGTACAGACTGTCGACATTATCCACGCTTGCAACGTACTCAACCATGCGGTCCAGAAGAATCGCACGAGTTTCTGATATACCTTTTAAGTATGATCAGGCAACATCTCGGGAAGTACGTATACCATACCTTCTGGACAAACTTCACGGATGTGTGAACCTACTTCATCCCAGCATAGCAAGGCTTTCTGTAATTCAAGCGGAAACAGGGACAGGTCAGGCAGGTCTCGGTCAAGAAGGAGTTGGTGTTCAAAATATTTTATGCTTGCTTGCCGGTAGCATTTTGCGCCCTCGGAATTGTATTTCAAGGCGCCGCAATCGAAGACTTTTCAGAGGATGTTGGTGAATATGGTTGGGATATTGAAGTACGGCCCAGTACGTTGGACTTACTGTCATCCCAGATGAAGTACTACATCATTGTATAAGCCTCAGTGCCAGCAGTAAGATTATGAATCCGACAAAGCGAAACACTGGCCAACTCACCCATGCAAAGGATTTTGCTACGGTACAGAGCTTCTCAATTGAAGCTTCTGCACATAATATGGCAGCGAAGAGACCAAACTCAGCCTTCTGAAGTTTATCACTGATCCTTCCATCATCTACCAAGCTGTTATTCCAGTTCAACATCTAGTCCTCCCGGGTTTCTGTATGATTGAGGTACTGACCGGCTAATCCAAGGGTTTATAATCTCATTTCTTGCTCTTTGATATTCGGATGTATCTTCGGCCCCCATCGAGGGAATAGGTTATAGATATTAGGAATGGTAACATCCTGACCCTGCAGACTCCGTCTAAATGCTGTGTGGGACAGCGGCTGTTCATTCAATTGACTCATAGTAGACCGTTCAAACGAGGGGAATACAGCTCTCTGTGGTTAGAAAAAAAGTCAGCCTGGTCAGAGATTGCCAGGCAATGCCTCTACGCGCATAAAAATGAGGAAGGCCTCCAACTCCCTGTCGCCTTGACTAATAAATAGCATGGTTGCATTCGGTATTTTTCTAATCACGATCAGCGCTACGCCATAAATAGTGGATATAACGTTCTGGTATATCCTTAGCACATGCCTAAATGATTTACGCTTAACTGTTTTTCTGTAGAGACTTGAAGCAACCTAAACAGTGAGTAGCCTTGATATCTCTATTTCCACTAATTTAAAAGAAAGCGAGTGTTGAGGTAGAACGAAAGGCGACAGTATAAGTATACTGGTGGTACCCCGCAGGCAACCTAACGTATCCAGTAGCTAAAACAGCCTACCTAGGTAACTCTAATAATGATTAAAGGATTTTAGTATCCAGTAGGGCTTACACATCGGCGTGATGAGGACAGATAAATCCGTTAATTGGAGCGGACTTACTGTCGGCGTGGCTTGAATTAGATAAGATATTCTCTTCTAACCGTAAATAAGTTGGCTGTGCAGCCACTGTTTTCGGACTACGGTGATGATCGTCGTCAGAAAAATACTGAGTACACTCTGTACTCTGTAACAATGTTCGTGTTGGGCCAAAGGACTTCTTACGAATACGGGTTGTCATGCATAATAGCGCCACTGTGGCTTGATGAGTGGATGGCATTTGAAATCAGAGCCGTATAGTCCTAAGAGTAACCCTGGACTACTCATAGTTGTTTAAAACCATTGAGTGTATATGAATGATACATTCTCAGTATTCTTATTGTAGGCCTTGGCATCCACTTTCATAAAAGAACGCTTCTCGATCGTATGATTTGGATCCTCAGTGATCGAGTGAATAGCGAACTCCCGGGTAGCTCCACAGTGTCCCTTGGACAGCATGCTGCTGGACGAACTCCTGACAAAGGTCGATGTCCTCTGTTTCTCGGCCAGGTGGAGGAATCACAGTTATGTATTCTAATACAGGATTTGCGTCGTGGGGCAAAATATTGGATACAGAGCGGGGGGAGTGTTGAAGACGCACCATGTGCCCCAAAAAGCTCGTCGACCAGTCAGGTTCTCGCGTTTTCAACTCTATCTCATGACCTCCTGCAGTGTTTATAATGACAACACGTTTCAAGAATGACCACCACTTATGGCCCTCCATACCCTGGTCTATAGCCTCTGTTAGGCCGTCTGGCCGTGTGAGGACGAGATGAGTGAGGTTTGGACACCGTTGAAGGGCCTGTAGGAACCCAAGCCCTTCTACGCTCTGGTTGTATAGCGCCAGGTGTTTAAGGCGTGGCCATAATGACCATACGGGCGGCTCAATTCCGTGCTCTGTAGTATCGCAGTACATCTCGTCCTGAACAGAACAGAACTCTTCCAGGTTCGTTAGGCGGATGAAGGATGCCCGTATTATTTTTCGTAACCCTTGTACATCTTCTTCCGGATAGAGATACCGCAGCGGAACATCAATTACGAGACGCCGTAGATTACCACAGACGTGAGATGATAGTTGGTCAACCTGCTTTACCACCTGGGGCTCCTCGAGGCTATTGTCCGGGAATGGAGCCAAGAAGAGTCCCATCGGATTCGCTTGTTGTTTTGCATCGTCCGTGTGAAGCTGCGGAAGAACATGATCCAGCCGTTTGTCAGAGTCCAGGTATAGGCAGTGCTTGAGAAGAAGCTGCTTTGCTGTGCGGTGTGTGAGGCTGGATACCAGAGTGAGGCTGGTTAATGTTTGGGTTACCGGGTGCGCTGGTGGAAATGCGACAGGATGAACTGATGGGACAAGACATTCGATGATCTGTAGAATCACCTCAGCAGGAATCTGAGGCATGTTATTCCGATTATGGCGACAGGTCACAAGCCAGAAAGGTTAAATGGTGAGAGTTATAGGTTGATGCTTAGAGAAGGCCGGGGTGATATTCCAAAGAATCTGAATAATACCTCGATGCACACACCAGGTACCTCGAGCATGTGGAGGACAAACAAAAGGGTACCTTTTCAGACAAGGCAGCCTTACGCATCATCAACCAATCACAAGAGACCGCTCATCTGACCCCACGTGCCTCTTTGAGGACCCCGAATTCAGGCGCGATCAGGCCAGAATGATCATCGGATCACACCCTCTTCCGCAACATCCCACGAGACAACAATCTTGCTCATGGTCTGGCGCTCGAAATGCAAGACCTCCGTTGTTTTCTTGAGCCCTTGCCAAGAAACAATAATTCTGGTGGCTTATGAGCCAACGAGAGTCATTCAATGCCGTCCGCACTAAATCAGAGTTGCTTTAAGGTACCCGTCGCGGCCCAAGCTTACATGTCAACTCAAAGGCCGGGTTCTGGGCTCGGCTTGGATCCACCTTCGTTGCACAAAAGATTATGGGTTGCATAAATCCCCGCGTCAAGTTATCGGTAGGTCGGCTCACCTGCGATATGACTGACAAGGCATTCCTCCGGCGAGATGGCAAGTACCGTCGATAGTCCTTAAGGCCTTGCTGACAGATCGGGGCTTGGTGGCATTGCCCACATGCTTGCCCTGGAAGGGCAGCAAGCTATACCAAGCCACAACATACAACGGCCATGGCGTGGAACGGGGAAATGTCCGGGTTATCCAGGCTTGTTTGCAGTATTCCCGGCCTCCAACCGATACAGAATTCGATTGGGCAATCAAAGAAGAGCTTTTAGGCGCACTAAGGTTACCCCGGCCAAGGCCGTCGAGGTACTACAATATATATATGTGGTGATGGCATGACCGATTAATGGAAGCGTCATAAATATCAATCGCAGTTAGACACTAAATAACGTAGCTCCGTCGAGCTTATCCCATATCACAATTGGGATGCCGGTCGGCAATTGAATCGCTTATTGAAGAGAATCTTTGTTGTTGTTGACATGAATCGAATGCTTTGACTCCGCAGTCTTGGCGACCGGAGGTGATTCGTCCGCAATCGTCATCAACGTGAACCGTCACTTGATTTCCCCTTCGCGCTTCTTCTGTCTTCTCTTCTTCCGCAATTCAATTCAGAAAAGGCCACTCACGTCCCAATGGGTCTCATCAAGCGACTCCTGAAGCTCTCCACCTACGGAGGCCTTGCCTCGGCGGGCGCCTTCTTCTACACCACGCGCAATGACGTCTTCGTACCCATGTCGCCCACGGATCCCATCTTCCAATCCGCCGCCTACCGCAAGTTCAACCCCGAACAAAACCCGACCACCCACGACCTCTGCGTGCGCAAAGTACCCCTGTCCGAGATTAACCCAACCTTGCTAGAGAAGAAGGGCAAGCTCGCAGAAGCCTTCTGTGCTGGAGTCTGGAGCGGCTGGGGTAAAGACTAGACCCTCCACCCCAAATCAATGGCCGTACCCAAGCCCGGCGGCCGGGTCGAAGGGAATCGAGACTAACTTGCCGGATGTGACTAGGTTATGCCTTCCAACGCGCCTACCTCGCCCGGAAATACCAAGGTCCCGAGACTGCGAACCACCTCTGGGAACGGTCAGAGTTGAAAACCTCCACCTACGATGTTGGCACCCTGATCACCGACCACTTCGAGATTCTTGAGAAGACCCCCGAGCGGATCGTGGTCCGCTGCGGTGACAGCCCCCGCAAACAGGACGTCCGTGAATCGGACGGTCTCTTCGAAATGTCCGCCGTCGTCAAGCCCGAGGAAGGAGTGGCGGAGTTTGCTCTCAAGAGCTGTTTCTACCAAGGAAAAGGAAAGGCCGACAACCAGCCGATGCCGCCGCATATTCTCTGGCTGCATAAGCAGTATACGAAATTGTGGGCTGAGACTGCTATCCGCAATGTTCTCCGCCAGTGATGATATCCGATCGGAGGAGCGTGTTTGGGTGTGACCATTATTCAGCCGTCACTCTGTACATAATACCCGATTGCGTGGTGACGTGAAATAACACCCATGGGTGGAAAGCGAATAATACCTGCCTCTTGAGGAGGCGTTCTTACACGGTTTCGGAAACTACAGAACTGGGCCCGTCGCCTATTTTCTTCTTTCTAATATTACATATAAATCATATGCCAATCTGATTTCTGGGGAAAGGAGGCTACGAGGGTATGTCCTTCTCATCTGGAGGCAATCATCGTCCTTTCTTTCGTCTTCGTTTACATGGTGGTTTACAAGCTTTCTCGAAATCGGCTTGAACAGCAGACGGTTGTTTACTATTACCAAGCCCGCCTTAAAACCCTTGAAGGGCCGATCGTGTTTTCATGTTCATATAAAAACGAAGTATGTGCAGAATTGTGATTCCAGAACATCTGCATATTATTTATGGACAGTACATAACCCCCAGTGGATCTAGTCAAACAACTATACAGTTAACCACGGAATGCATTTGGAATGCCATGGGATGCGGCAAAAGTCACGCGGTCTACGATTAAGTAGAAGGGCCCAGGCCCTCCTTTTTATCGAGATACTTTCATGATCGCCCTTTGTTATTGCTGCAGAATCTCCCACCTAACTCCTTCAATCAGTTCTTTCAGTGTCAAGGCGTATCCTTAGACAAGCATTCTATAGTTGGTTACCAGGCCCCAAGCAGTGAAAAACATAATCACGTGCTGAGATAACCCACAGATAATTCATGACGAAATCAAGTTGAATAGCTTTGTATGGACTCGATAATAATACTGAGCCTGACACAGCACCTGTGTGAAAGTAACCAGGGTCTAGAACCAGAGCTTTTACCCAAGGAGTGACTTTGAAGTCCCCATTTCTTCAGCGGTGGAAATCCCATCCGTTCTATGCCTGTAGCTCGTCGATCGGGCTAGACCGCGCCCGACACCGTTTCCATTTGGAGATGCCATCATCCAAGGATGGTACCGAACAAAGGGATTGCCTCCCTCGTTATAATTACTTTATTTTGTTATCGGTCTACCGTGTGTTACGCCAACGTTATTTAAACGAAACCCCCGATTTTATTTTTCCGCCTTCTACAAAGTTTTCACTCGGTCTTGATGTTGAAAATGCATCCTAGTACCAGACTATCTTGAACAGTCTTCTTACCATGGACCTAGATCAGGAAGAGCGCGTCTCAACTCCTGTCTTGGAAACGGCGGAAGAGACCTTGGACTCCGTCTCAGACTCGGAACCAGATGCGAACCAATCCGAAACAGGAGATGAAACGGAAAGTGACGAGGCAGGCACAGTAGATCAACAAATACAGCTCGCTCAGGATTTCAGTCCAGTAAGCAAAATCCCCTGGGTGTTCGTAGTTGCCAATAAGAAACGCGCGCAGGGAGGGTCGGTACGATACCCGGATCTGACCCTTGACGCGAAAGGCAGCCATGTCTTTCAATTGATCTGTGAAATCAATGAAAAATTGATACACATGTTGTTGGACGACAACGCTCTCGGAAAGGCACTACTGGTGGCTCCTGAATTGCAGGATGTTGCAGACGATTTGGTGGCAGATAAACCGGGGACACTTCGCACGTTGCATCTTCCAGCTGAAGCAATGGACGGTTTCAGCCGAGAGCAGCAGAGAAATTTCGCGAATTGGCTTCATACCAGCGTTGAACCGTCTGACACCAGATTACACCTGATTCTAGCGGAAAAGAGAAAAGCCATCTTACATGAAGACGCAAAATACGCACTTTGCATGCTGGTGGATGGTAAAGACAAACAATTCTGCCGATATCTGAGCGCCCGACCAGAAATGATCGATGACTTAGCAAAATTTCCGAAAGGAAATGGAATATTCACGTGGCATATCATCTCTCAAATCGCCCCGCAGATATCAGAAAACTATATCGGTTACAATTTATATCACGATTCCCACAATCTTCGCCGTCTCGCACATTCGGTATATTTGTGGCTTAAGGAAGAATTCGGGAGAAAACCAAGTGACAAAGGTCAGAGGAATATTTTGTTCAACCGAACAGTCCAGCTTGTCCTGTCGTGTTCTGAGTCTGGCATAAACCCAGCCTTGACGAGATCAGACAAGTTCAAAGTTTTTGGCCTAATATATGGTTCCATCCAAGGCGGCGCTTTGAGACATATGGGTCACATCCAGAAGAAACAGACAATGAGAAACAAGATGATCGGAAAGACTGTTGCTAGTCTAGTTATGGCCGGTTTGCTGATCCCAGGGATCTTTTGTGCCCATTGGGGAGGAATCCTTTTGAGCTTGGGCGCAGCCTTCATCCGGCCGTGGGTTGAAGAAGGAGCCAAGAAAGTCGCAAACAAGATCATGCCACCAACTAAATGGTTTACCTTCATGTATCGGGCGGTAGAGGACCAACTTGATGACCTTGAGTCATGGGTAAGGGAGCATCATGTCAACACTCCTGACACTGACGTGAACTCGTTTATTTATTATTCTAGGCTTGGTCTCAAGAAAGGACTACCAAACCCTAAGTTTAACTTTTGACCGTGTTGCGCTCATTGATAATGGTAGGTTCGGTGACCCTGACCACTCGACCTTTTGCTATGCGATTAAATGCAGTATTTTTATATCGTGAAGCGGACCGCGGGAGACTGATTCTTTCTTTTTTCGTACTAGCTTTGTTCTTCTGTTTAGGCCCCTAAATTGTATCTACATCTCTTTATAAGTGCTCCAGGAATGGCAGATGATAATTCATGAATACTCATCCAGAAGAGCAACCGAGATGACTCAGTATCAGCAACAGAAGTGTTGGTGAAACAGACTAGCAACTTGTCAAAGGACCGGGAATGACTTGCAAGCCCATTGTCATTGTCTGACGAGCAAAGCCGAAACATTCCAATAAGACCAGTACAATAACCGGACATGCATAGACAAAGGCGTTTTGTCGGTGTCAGTTGATTTGAGCCTCTCACCATGAGACCATTGTAGAGTCCTTCATTAGCAGAAACAGATGGCGAAGTGCAGAAAGAGGATCAAAGCAGAGGGCACTCATTACCTATGTATGCTCGACAGGGTAAGACTTGAGAGATCCTCGGTATATAACCATCTTCTCCCACTTGCGTCTGTGATGTGGAATCAAATCACAACCTAATCTTGTCCTTAGCTGTGACCATCCGTCCCTCCGGACATCAGCCTTGTCCATCGCAAATGATGAAGACCATCTTGAGCACAGTTGTCATACTGGCCGCGATTGCCCCCCTGACTGTTGCCACTCCAGTGCAATGTAACAATGGTACGTACTACTGTGCAATAACACTTATACACAAGGGTAAGTATGAGCCGAAGAACATCATACTTGAACATCATCGATACTGACCCTTAGTACACAGGCGGCTATCTGCGTAAGATTGAGGAAATATTCCGAAACAACAATACGGCAATTAATGGCGAGAATTTTAAAGACACTCTTTTTCTGTGCAAGGAAGATGGCGAACTTGCGGACAGATACGACTTTTGCGGAGAAAATAACTGCAGTGGTAACGAGCGCCATTATCCAGAGACAGGCGATGAGTGCATTAGTCAATGGCACGGAGGTCTACATGTAGATAGCTAGGGCATACCCGATGACTTCGGAGTGCTTGGTTGTTGTCTGCTTGTCTCAATACTTGGATAGTTAAGGATCCTGGTTTACGTCCAGGGTTCCAGGGATCGGTCTTCAAATATTATGATATTTGGTCTGCGGACATGCGGATGCAGGAGTAATCTGAACTGTGCTAGTCACTAGGATTGACATATATGCCGGCTTTCTTTCGACAACAGAGACCTTCAAGTATATTGTATTTGCCCCTAGACCTGTTAGATTATAGTTATAGCTACGATCGGGGAGTGTAAAGATGTACAATCAGATCATACATACTTCGGGTTGACAAGATATGCTGCTGACCTCCCCAATGATATCCATTCGCAGGCACTGTATGATGATAAGTAAGAAAGGATGATATTACTGAAGACATTCATCCACTGGGGATCCATCGTGAACAGAACAATCCTGTGATCAACAGAATAAGACTGCCTTATGTGATGCCTCGAAGTATGAAATATTACCTACCGCATCCATGTTCTTTGTCGTTTCCCAATGTGAACCCAATATCTATGACAATTCACAACCAAGCGTCACTTGATGGCTATAACAAAACTGTCTAGCTGTCATTTGGACGCTGTATGGAAGCCAGTTGTCTTTCTAAGGAGTCTTGATGGGGAACACTCAATCGCCAACTGTTAGAAAAGATGATATAAGCATAGACGTATAAAATGAGCGCGAGAGTTATGCAAGAAGCTGCATAGGCTACTAGACATATAGTTGTTGTAGGAGTCTTCCTAGTACAGTGATTCCTATACTCCACTATATTCTACATCAATATGTAATAACTCAAGTGCTAGTGAGGCTTTGTGCGTGAAAAAGATGCTCTTTACTACCGGAGGGTGTGGTCTTTGTCAGAGCTACAGCCACATCTAATTCACTTATCAACTTCCCTGTCAAGGTTCCTGAAAATAGAAACCAGTTAATGAAAAGTGGCCTCAACTTCACTGAATGATAGAAAACATAGTAGAATTACATTCCAATAGCCATTGGTTCAATGCGAATATGGAATTGCCTCCATTGCAGTGAATACAAGCTGTACAACAATTCCCTAACTGCCATTACCCTGGAGTGAAAATGTCTATAACAACTAGGCTTACACCATTACCTTGGTTGGGATATCCTCCGTTGTTCACATAGTTGTCCTTTCCACAACAGCGACCAAGATAGCAATTGTCGATATTGCCTGGGACACACCGCTATTCTATATCCCCACCGACATAATGAGGCAGTCACTGGACAGGAGCAATTTCGTTACACAGGACGAACATACAGAGGGTAAATGCATGATATCGCTGCAGTTTGAGAAAGAGCGCAATGTGTCTTGGTTCCACGGCAGATATTAACGTTCTTACAGGGTCTTAGTGCAGTCAGCTGAAGGTTTCAATAATATTAGTAAACCTCACTACAAGGGCAGACCTGAACCAGATATTGTCGAGAGATCAATAGACGCAATTGCATTACTCAACAAGATAACCTCCTTGGACCTGTTAGAACAATCTCTCTAAAGCCCAAAACCAGGTAAAACAAGATCCAGCCCACTCCCAAACGCAGCGATCCATCCAAACCCCAAAGTACACCCCCCACCCCCCCCAAACCCACTGGCAACATAGACAAACCGCGTAATATCAACGAATGCAGTAATATCCACGAACCCCCCTAAACCGGCGGTCTCGACCCAAGCCCAAGAACCGTTAAACGACCAAACATACTTCAAACGCCCTTGCCTCCCGCCCCTGCAAGTACCAAATATGACATCTCACTTTCCCCACAGCACTAAACCAATAAACTATATACCAGCGGTGAGACATCTCCAACCACAACGAGAGACGCCAATATGACAGCGCAAATCCCTTGTTTCGGATAGAGCGTGGGCCCCTCCTGAGTCCTACCACGGTTGGGATGTCCGTGCGTTATCGATGCTGGTGCATATGCGATGCGTCTGCGTTTTGGGGATGATCGATCGTCTTGCATGGTAGTGGCGCGTCTTTTGTTTTTTTTTTTTTTTTGGGACTGGGTGAGTATATGCAATGCAGTATGTCGATTGCTTGATTCAAGGGATAACTTTATTGTGAGATTTTGGGAGAAAGTTGAAAACTGTCAAGGCAATTTGGTCGTGTTTGAGGGTGGATGTGATGTGTCGATTTTGCCCGTTCGTGTTCATAATTGCATTGTTGGGGAGGGGAAAGACATGTAAGGGGGATGGATGGAACGGATGTTAGCCAGAGATTGAGGTTTGTAGGCAACTTATTCTCCGGATTCCTGTTTCTCCTGAAGCTAGGTCTGGGGCTATAGATGGCGGACGACTCATCTATAACCCTATCGGCCTTGGGAGCCTCCAATAATCGATGCGCGAATCCCGTCCAGTATACCACTCTTGAATGAAGCCCTTTCGAAGTCAATTAAATTACGGACGAGAATATTGAATATCAACATGAGAAATTAAACCCTAATCGACGCGGATTCCGAACTATAATCGCGAAACAGCCCGGATAGGCACCGCCTCGATAACGCTCTCCATACCGGGACTCCCACTCCAAATGCCGGTTATCTCCAGCCCAGCAGCTCCCAATAGCTGCCTCCATTGACGTTCTGACCGCTCCATCCCAGACCCAATGCTCATCATCTGGATATCGATCGACGCCTGCAGCAGCGCTGCACCAGTGTCCGGAAGGACAAAGTCCGCAATGATGATGCGCGAATACTCGGTGGTCATGGCGGAGAGGGTATTGATCAGGATCTTGTGGCAAATGTAATCCGGCCAGTCGTGGAAGATAGCACGGAAGTAATAAGCTCTGGCGCCTGTTTTTGCCTCCAATTTAGCTTTGTGACAGATTGGCTCCGGACACAAAACGTACCTTTCACCGGTTGGGGGTCCAGAAAGCTATACGCCATGGCTTCGATCTCCTCACCGGCTGGTGCGGAAGCGACCACTTTCGGTAGGTCCTGGAGCACGAACCGACCGGGAACACCTGGGAACTTCTCACGGAAACGAATCAGATCATGGCCTTGGTTTCCGCCGACGTCGACCAGGAATACGGCGCCGTCATGCTCCAGCGCGCCCTGCGTGAGCCTCTCAACCGGATACACGTCGAACCACGAAGGTTTGCCCTCTCGTCGACTGGACATGTATGAGTTGAATAGTTCCTGGTGGTGCTTGCGTTGAGCAAGCCATTCGAATTGACTTTGCCCTACGGCCCATCGCATTGGAGACCGGGAGTACTCCTTGGGCATGAGGTAGTGGTGCTCGCGGAAGTACTCTGGAAGTCTCGCGAGAGTTGGAACAGTTAGGTCGTATCTGCGGGGTTCATGTCAGTGTAAAGCACAGGCTGATAGGTGATGCTCGGCGCTCATTACATGCAGGGAACGCCATCACGTCCAATCGGCTGTGTCATTGCTATTGTTTTGTCTGTGGGGAGGTACACCTCTGGTTCGATGCTGGCGCACAGACCCAACGCTGTCATGACGCGCATTAGGCGGACTATACACATCAGTGGCTAGCCGTAAAGTGTATATTGCATCTCCTCCATACTAATTAGTGCCCTCTCAGCGCCAGTAGACTCTGATAGCTGTGTAGCTGATAGTCCTTTGGCGGGGTCTTCCAGTAACAAGGGGAAAATGTTAAGGTCGATGACGGTACGAAGGGCTGCATTCTGCGGGGGCTATGTAACGCATCAGCCAATTGACAGACAGGCGACAGACGATTCAGGTCACATTCAATGGCAGGAAGATCTAGGCATACCTGGTAGATTAACCGCAAAACGGTCTCGGTCGGGGTCTCAACTGTGTACTTCAACTGATCGATCAGTCCCATGAGGCGGTAATGTGACGTTGCCGAACGGGCAGAGTTGCATTCTTGTAATGCAGCATCCTTGATCTCCTCCACCAGGGATAGTAGCGGGGGCGTCGGCAGTTGCGGCTCCATGTTCGCGCAGTTGGAATCGGAATGCATATATGTACTATGTATGTACGTCCGCTACGCCAGGGAAGATGGCCAGAATTGAAAGGGTCGCGAGACGGGAGCCCATGGGTTATATGAATCACAAAGCGATAGAGCAAGATCTGCACTACACAGGAGAGTTTGATACGAGGCCATTGTAGAACAGCGAGGCAGGGGCGTAGCGGAACAATTCTCCAGGCAATAATTGACGTCTGCAAACGGCACGGCGGAGTGAGACTTCCGGCCGCAGTTAGGGCACGGCTCCGTTTACCTCCTGTCATTTGGGGGCTATGGAGTTAGTCGAATCCACTCGTCGACTTTGATTGTGCAATAATTCAACGCCATGCAGAACCCAAATCCTTATTGTCCGTTGCTAATCAAGGACGGGGGGCATTGGCGAGTCATTTTGGTGACAGGCCCTCCAGACTCTGTGTCATGCTCTCCTTCGGGGTCCCTAGTCCACGGAGATTTTATTCATCTTAGACCGTCTTCATACCAGCTGTTGCGACGGATCCGAATAGTATGCGCACTATCGGCACAAGTAGAGTGCTCTATATTCTACCCTATCAATTTTGTACGATTCCCACCACACACCGTCGTCATGCATCCTTACCGACGACTCCTATTAGAGAGAGTAAATGCCCTCGAATCGTCGAGCTGGCCACGGCCACTGTGGGCCAATGCTGACGCCACGGCTACGGCTTCTGTGTCCCATACCCTTTCTCCATCTGGTCTACCCGTGTGAATCGGCGAATACCGATCGCGATCATGGCAGCCTCGATCCAGTGACTAAGCCATAGGCCACTCGGACATATCCGCTAGCCGGAGCACGGAACCATGTAGGGAAGCTGTTGCAGCTGTTGGCACCACTCATCTTCGATTCATATCTACAACCACACCCCCTCCCAACAGGGGTGACAAGACAATAGGAGGTCATGCGCAATCTGTAGACGATGGCAGCCCGATTGCACCATCCATTACCCATGACCCCTGATCATGTTAAGATCCAGTTGCGTTCAATCTGTGAAGTTAAATTAAATTAAGTCATCGGGCCAGATGAGCAGTGGTGTACACATACCCCGCTCCCGCTCTCTTTGGCCATAGCTATGCTTATGTTGCGGCTATATGACCTCTTGCCAGGTGGTTTCTCTTCCGACGGGATATGGGGCGATGCCCGGTTCTGGAAAACGAGATGCGCATCGCAGCGATTGCCACCCTGGACCTACCACCATTTGGCCTTATGCATGCCGAGGAACCAGTCCTCAGGTCTGCGGGGCTACTAGCACGAGCTGACCGAACATGTCCGGGTAGAATGATTGACATGGGGGTCGAACAGGGACCTCGGTGGTTAGATTGCGCGACCGAACAGGGCATATTGCTTTTTCGGGTCGTCCTAATGCGAGCCTAGCATTGTGGCACACTACACATGCAATCCTGTGGATATCCATGAGCGGCTGAGAGATTCGAACAGGGGGCCAAAGAAAAAGAAATGTAAAAAAAACGCAAAGAAAAAAAGAAAAAGAAAACGGACCATGGCGGGAAGGAATGGAACTAAACTAGACAGGGGTGTCCGCGTGGTATGAGACAACGAAGGAATAGTATTGCCAAAACGGGAGGAACAGAAGTATGAACATGATGTGCGCCCAGGTCTACCCCAGTCAAAATACGTAAGATTGCATGAGGTGCGCGTGTGTGGAAGGTGTTCGCTCGAACGATGCTGAGAGTAGAGTCGATAGGATGCTGGATAGATCGAATCGTCACGGATCGACTGGTCGACCCGATCCACTGGTTCAAGGCCGGTGGCGTTCGGCATGGAGAACTTCCACTAGCCCAATCAACACGGTTGCATTAATCCTGTAATGGTTTATCGTCCGAGACCCTCGACAAACAGTGTCCATCGCGAGTCGTAGTGCGACCCTTCATATCCCACCAACGGAGAAAAGGCTGAGAAGGAAAGAGAAGAGACCAGGAATAGCCAAGAGGAAAAAAAAAAAAAAAAAGCCCGGTCCCGAAATGCATTTTGGGGCAAGTAAAGCGGTCCTCCTTCCATTAGCGTCAATGAGTATCGGCCCCGGACTCCTGGTACTGGAGCAGAAGTACTTTCAAGTGAGTATTTTCTCGCTTGGAGAGTGGTCGCCCAAGACACCACAAGAGGTCTCTGCTTCGAGCTATCGAATTCAATCGAGGTCTTTCCGGATCGGTATGGCGTTTGTAGTGGAGATTCGGATGTTTCATCCCTTCCATTGCTGAGCGGTTCAAGGCCGGCCCCATTCTTTGCTCAGCGGCCAATTTATCCGAATCCCATGAAAGAGCTGGGCAATCAGAAATAGAACGTGGAAGTAATTTTAGCCCAAAAAAGGAAAAGAAAAGAAAAGGAAAAATATTTCAACTGAATCACACATATCGCCATGCAAAAGTACCTTTTGACTCAGTGGTGGGCCCAGACACTGCCAGGCTCAGTTTCGGCCATCTGTCATCGGAAGGAATTTTATGTCTCAGGCCACAAAGCATGCGGAAGATAGATGACTAACAGGCTGGTTATGATGGACACATCCAAGGTTTTCTCGTCATGATGCTTCGAAAGAATCTGATCGACGTTCGAGCGTGTTGTCGTTGTGAAGAAACCAGGTAGCTGGAGCCAGGCGCAGGTTCCTTGGGTTGCATTGACGGGCTTACCGAGTCCTAGTGATTCCGTTGGCTGCAGCCATTGAACGGCAGTGATTACGCTTCGACATAGCGCTTTCCTAGCCCAATGCACCGGGCCTCATGGGATTGCAATCCTGGTGTTGCAGGGACTACGGTGTGATTGACAAATTACCCTGCAATCTCGACGTCAGCCACCACGCGTCAGGATTGGCCGGGGAACAGACACTCGGGAGCTTATCGATGACGATCGCTCCACGATTCAAGGTTCAAAATGGGTCCCGTCCGTGCACTTTAGCCTTTGGAGTGGGCTATTCGTCTTTCCAGACAGCCGGAAGTATCTGGCAGGCCCTGTCAAGACTCAGCCGGCCTATTCCACACCAATTCACCATTGGTACCAACGTGACCCTCAGATCAACCAAGATGCGAAGTTTCACCGCTACACCCCCACGGTGGCACTCGGTGAATGAGAGTGGAGAGCTGACGGAAAGATCCGTGGACAGTGAGAAAGATGCCCGCCTGTTGCGGAAACCATTGACCAGAAAGTCACGAGAACCGAGCACAGGTGACTTGTAGTGTTCGTCATTCTGTCGAGTGTGTGGATCTTTAGCTTGTCGAGAGTCTCGTTTAAATACAACTCGCTCGTTGCCATCCCCTCCTCAATTCCCCCACTCTCAAGCACTGGCGGTTGACTTTCCATTCTTTGATGTCTCACCATGGGAATCCCACAGTATAATGAGACATCAGAAGATGCTCGTCCAGACATCACAGACCCAGAGCACTTGATTGCACGCTTTGGCCGTCTTCATGTCCTGGACGACCTCATCCGCTTAAGGGCAGCAGATCCAGTCCAGCTGCCCATCCTAGCCTATCCCAAGCCATCCAACGATGATGCCATCTCATATGAATACTTTACTGGGCAAGACCTGGACTGCATGGTAGACCAAACCGTGTCAACATTGATGGACTGTGGTTTTAGGCCGGTAAGTCCTCCACATATCTCTCACTTGAGTATAACCACAGCTCATGCAATCAGTAGCCCCGCAAGGATGGAGCTGTGGTCGCTCTTTTCACACTGTCTGATCTTAACATGGTGGTTACCTTCTTCGCGCTGAGCAGATTAGGGTACACGGTCATGATGCTCTCTCCACGGCTGTCAGCCGCGGCGTGCGTATCACTCCTGGACATGGTCGGCTGCGACACAATCCTCTATGGACAAACACCAAGCCTCCGTGCTACGATGGGTGAGATTCTCCGTCTGAAGGTAATCGCATGTCGCCCAATTACTCAAAGACCGTCTGTGGATGCCCCCCAAGAGACCGACGTCTTAGTCCTGCACCGAACCCGGAATCCAGAAATCCAAAAACAAAAGATCGCTTTGATCCTCCACTCCTCTGGATCCACCGGTCTACCAAAGCCTCTTTATCTGAGTCACAAAGCCATCATGACCCATCCAATGCGGGGTCCGGGGCTAACATCCTTCAACTCTCTACCGTGGTATCATCTACACGGCTTGTCAACGGCCCTACAGGCAATGTACATGAGGAGGACAGCGTATATGTGGGATGCATCGCTGCCCCTAACAGCATCGTCAGTCATTTCAGCGCTTGAGGCTGGTAAACCCGAATCTGTTCAGGGTGTCCCTTATCTTCTCCAACTTCTAGTCGATAGTCCCAGGGGACTGGATGCTCTGAGACAGTGTAAACTAGTGACATATGGTGGCGCGCCGTGCCCTGATGAGCTGGGTGATCGCCTCGTGGCGGAGGAAGTACACTTTGGCGGCTCGTTTGGTCTGTAAGTAGTGCTTGAGTCCCATCACGATGATACAGTTGCCTGACACACTTATAGAACGGAGGCTGGCCTGGTAGCAGATTCCCTCTCCCGCCCAGTAGGCGATCCTTTCTGGAATTATGTGAAGTTTTTCGACAATCTGCGCCCCTTTGTCTGGATGAAGCCCATCAGCGGAGATCTATATGAATGTGTGTACCTCGCTGGTCATCCAGCACTGACAGCGTCGAATTCGGATGAGCCCCCAGGGTCGTACCATTCCCGCGACGTTTTCACGCCACACCCTACCATTCCTGACCGATGGAAATACGTGACTCGATTAGATGATCGACTTACCCTTGTCAATGGGGAGAAGGTGTTGCCTCTGCCTATTGAGGGAGCCATAAAGCAAAGCCCATTGATCCAAGAGGCGGTTGTCACTGGGGTGGGCAAATCCGTCCCAGGTCTTTTGATCTTTCGGTCAGACGAGGCAACCAGCCTCTCTGACGAAGAGTACCTAGATCTTATCTGGCCTACCGTGGAGGATGCAAACTCCCGAGCTGAGAAGTTTTCCCAGATCTCCCGGGACATGATCGTGGTCTTACCTGTTGGTTCAGTCTGCCCTCGCACCGATAAGGGGTCCATGATCCGGGCACAAGTATATGCAAAATACGCTGATGTGATCGAGGAGGCATATACTAAGCTTGAACAAACCGCCGACGGTACCCTTGAGCTTGATCAAAGTAACACAGTGGCTCATCTCATGCGAATCTGTCGAGAGGAGCTTGGATTTCCCATCTCAAGCCCGGATTCTGACTTCTTCGCCGAGGGAGTCGATAGCCTAAAAGCAATTCATCTGCGTCGATTGATCCTCCGAGATTTCAAGATCACGGATAGCAAGACTATCGGGCAGAACATAGTGTTTGAAACGGGAAGCATCTCCCGCTTGGCAGAGCATATCCAAGCTGTGCAAACTGGTCAAGACACGGAGGTGGAAGACGAGGTATCATTGATGCCAGAGCTGATCGAAAAGTATTCAACGTTCCGCATGCACACGCCTAACCCGAACATCGTCTCAAGCAACAGGAGTGTAGTATGTCTTTCCAATGCCGTAGTCATTGTTCTTGTTCTAACATCACTCAGATCCTTACCGGTGCTACTGGGTCCATTGGCGCGCACACCCTTTTCAGACTTTTGAACGATGATACAGTGTCCGCCGTGTACTGCCTAACAAGAAGGGAGCAGCCGAAAGAAGAGATCCTGGATGCTCTCGCACAGAAAGGCTTGGAGGTGATGCCCTTCCGCACAAAGAAGATCGTCGCTCTCAAGAGCGCCCTGGACAAGTCTGATCTCGGCGTTGGCAAAGATATGCTGGCGGAGATGCAGCGATCAGTGTCACTAATCATCCACACAGCTTGGCCAGTCAATTTCAACCTACCTCTCGCCAACTTCAAGCCTCATATTCAAGGAGTATACAATCTCATCCAGTTTTCTCTCTCAGTACATCTTCCCGCCCCAGCTGTGGTATTGTTCTGCTCATCGATATCAACGGCTCTCGGTGCCCCAACGTCTGACATCAACGAGGCGCCTCTTGACGACCTGAATAGCGCACTTGAAATGGGTTACGGTCGCTCGAAGCTAGTTGGAGAGAAGATCGTAAGCAACGCTCGGAGATCGGGCGCACGAGCCTTCTCCTTGAGAATTGGTCAGGTCTCGGGACATTCAAAGAAAGGTCTTTGGAATGATTCTGAGGCCATACCACTGATGATCCGATCAGCATTAACCCTCAAGGCTCTTCCTCAGCTCGACACCACCTGCTCATGGCTCCCCGTAGACAAATTGGCATCCTCTATCCTCGAAATCGCCAAAGCTTGCTCGGTCAATACACTAGAAGATCCCCAGGGCAATGCGGCAACCAGCCAGCGTATTGATGACACTATATACAACCTGTCCAATCCCCGAACGTTTACCTGGTCCACTCTGCTAGATGCCCTGCGACGGAGTGGCTTTGACTTCAAGACGGTCTCCTTCGACAGTTGGTTACAAATGCTGCGCGACAGTGAGTCTCGAGGCGAAGAGATGGTCAATCCTGCCGTCAAGCTAGCAGATCATTACGAGGCCATGTACGGCGACGAAGCACCAGCACCAAAGACCTTTGTCACGGAGAAGGCCGAGCGAGACAGTACCACACTCCGGAACGGCCGTTTGAGGATTATCCAAGATGGGATCGTGAATAGGTATGCACAGGATTGGCTGCGGCGCTGGAAGACCACCTAGATCGCAGCGAGTGTTTGACGAGACGATGATAATGTAGTTTGAACCTTAATGTTGAGGCTGTTTATACTTGTTAGCATTTATTGCACATATATTGAATACAACACAATGATACTATTGTTTGATTATAGCTTGTGCTGAGCGGGGGACATGTTGTCCGACCTCAACACCGTCAAAGCCTCGATGAGGGAGACCCGTGAATGGCTTGCACAGAACCAAGAACCAATGATATTCAATCCGGGTGCCACCCGCGTGGCTGAAGTACAGGGTTTTGCCAGTAACTCAAGGCGTTCGGCTTATTGTTTCTGTGTATTTTGTTTGGTGATATGTTCAGTTCAACTGTCTATGCAACACAAAGTATCCAGAACGACACAAATTAATACATCTAAACAGAATCAAGAACGGTCTACGGGGGACGAGGAGCAGTTTAAACGAGTGGATAGAGCAAGACATATGTCAAGCGTCAATTGAATTGAATGGAAACAGAAAAATGTGGGTATTTGTAGAAAGCCCCCCCCCCGGTCTACTGGATATGTCGCTTCAAAGAAAATGGTAGACCAAACAAAAAGTGGAAACATCTGCCGACTTAGAAATACATTGTTTAGACCAACATAGCCATGAAAACACCACAAACAATACCGGCCATGCCTGAGATGCCTACGGGCTTGCTCGCACCCGCAGTGAAGACAGGACTTTCGGGATTAGTCCCGGTCGACGCGCCTGCATTGGTCTCCGTCGGAGCGCTAGCCTCCTGGGTTGCGGTGCGACTCGCGGAAGCTGTGGTGGAAGTAAAGCTAGAAGACGATGCAACACGGCTCGAGGAGTGGATGGTCCATGAAGAGTGGGAAGGGCTGCGGATGGGGGCAACGCTCGTGGGTGCCGGTTCAGGGGCCTGTCTCGACTCGGTGGCACCAACTGGGCTAGCTCCCTCTGGGGTACCCTCCTCGGTAGGGGCTGCGGTCGACGCAGCCGGGGGAACGGTGCCAGGCTCGATGTTGGTTGCAGAGGGTGGTGATTGTTCTGGCTGTTGGGCACTTGGGGTCGGTGCACTAGATTCACCAGCCGTCTCCTCGGCAGGAGTTTCGGGGGAAACATCGGTGGGAACGGGAGTACCGCCGTTCACGGTAGTTCCAGGCTGCGAAGCGACAGGTTCCTGGGCCGTTGGCGTAGCAGCAGCGGGAGGAGCCGCCGACTCGACCGTGGAGCTTGCCGGAGAGACGTCGGTCTCTCCGGCGCTGAGAGTTTGGATAGAACCCTTCTGAGTAGTGGCTCCGCAGATGGTCGTGGTTTCTGTCACATAGATGGTGGTTTCCGAAACAGCATCAGCACCCTCATCGCTGTCATCTGACGAAGGGTTCGCTGGGGCAGCGGTGGTCTGAGCCGAAGGAGCTGGGGCAGCGGTGGTCTCGGCACCGGCAACGCTGGTCTGCGGGTTGGCAGGTTCGGGAACTGCGCTTGAAGTGGCGGGTGCCTCGGCAGATGCCGTCTCTGGAGCAGGAGCGGTAGTGGAGGTGACAGATGAAACGCTGTCAATTGTCTTGGACGCAACAGCAGTGGCGGTCTCCGCTTGCGAAACAACGGATGCGGTCGCATGGCCAGTGCCAGTCTGGAACAGCTTGATGTAGTTGATTTCCCAGTAAGCTTCCTTGAAAGCGGCAGGGTTTTGGGCCACATAGTTGACACAGCTCTGGATAGGGTTGCTGGGGTCGCTGACTGGGCAACCGGAGTCACCGAACACGCCACCAGCCCAATCTCCACAGAAGGTAGTATCAAGGATGAATTTCTGCGACTTGAAGCGCGCGCCAAAGTCGCACGTCCCCTGCAAGTGAGCCATCGGTGCGCCAAAGGCCGTCGTGTCGGGGTTACCCTCGGTAATCGACTTGGGAATTTCACTGCGCGCGAAATACCAAATCTTAACAAAACTCGAAGTCCATTCCATAGCATAGACACCACCTTTCTTCTCGTTGAAAGGGGTGCCCGAGGTGCCAGTCTTGCCCTCGACCACACAGCCGACGGTCCCCGATGCTTCGCCACACTCGTTGGATGTCATTGTACCGGTCATATCGTTTTCGTTGGACAAGGCGCACGAACCGCTCGTATGCAGGACAATCTTGTTGGCTTCATGCTTGTTGACACCCTCAATGATATCGATTTCACCATCATAGGGCCAGTTAGGTCCCACCGACCAGAAAGCGGGCCACGTACCGCAGGCGCTACCCGGCATGTGCTGGAGGTCGATGATGTACAAACCCTCATCATAGTACTCTTTGCTCTCAATACGGACCGACTCTCGACCCGGCCCGTTCGGGCTGAGCTCGGTCTCGTAGTCAACGCCCATGTAGAAACTACCACTTTCGGTTACCTTGATGAGACCCGAGCTCTCTGCGTAGCTCTGGTTGGTATAGGTGACGAATCCATTGGTTGGGTCGGCACCGCTGAAGACGTTGAAATGGTCCAGAAACTTCTCTCCCTGCCAGGCTTCAATCAGCTGATAACGGCTACCAGAGCCGTCTGCGATCGTCGGAGTGATCAAAGAAAGAGCAATGGACCCTACGGTCCACACGAAGGATGAGGACATCCTGGTTTTGTGAACTAGTCAAGCGACCAGGCAAAGGAAGGAAGATAGAGAAGTTCGAAGATAACAAAAGGAAAAGACCAGGAGATCTCAGATCTGATCAAATCCTGGAAGGGCTATAGAGATTGTTACGAAAAGGAATGGAAATCCAACCGTCAAGGCTGGCAAAATTGGTAAGAAAAGAAAAGACTGTAAAAATGCAGACGCCAGTCCGCACCAACAAGATGATTTAGAAAAGAATGTAAGTTGTTTAGATTTTAAAAACGAAAAAGGAAAGGGAAGAACAAAACACAGGAGAGAACACAAAATCTAAAACTATAAGAGCGCAGGGGACATCCGATATAATAACAAACGGAAAATCCCCAGTGGACCCTCCATCAAGGCCGGTAGCCCGTATTTTGTGCAGGCCCCTGGACAACCTTACCAGAACCTTTACCAGAATGGTCATCGTGGAGAATTGGCAACCACCTATGACGGTGGCTAGATCCATACAGCAGGCGCCGTTGGGCCCACGACTCACCAGGCGGCTGTTCATGCCTTGTCGCGCCACAGGGGTCAGAGCGAATCAGTGTTCATACTAGGCTGCAGACAAAAATGTGTAGCTTGTCATAAATTCCGATGGGGCGCGCGCCTCCATTCTTCACTCAAGCATGCTAGTGGGCCGGCCACAAAGTTACATCACCAAGGACCTGTAGGGAAGAGCGGTCGGCGATTCTGAAACGTGAACATCTCCTGAGCGGGGAGAGTATGAAACACAGGAGGCGCCTATCTTTGGGGCTCAAGAGACACGGCTGTTTCTGCTGAAATGGCACAGTACCCATCGCAGTGAATTTGTCATTAGCTTCATCGTTCTGTGTCTGAGCAATGTTGTGTTGGTAAGGAACAGTGAGATGGGTTGTTGTTCATTCCCAGCGTGGTGGTGCCTGGCAACAATCCATTTTCGAGGCACGCAGAGGCTTCCCGAGCGACGGTCGGATCAACCACTGACAGCTGCGGAAGAGCCAGCCGATCTGAGGGGCATGTCCAAACCTCATAGGCGGACGAGATTTTGCAACGGACGGGCTCCAATTTAGTGCCTGAATTTCTCGCGTCGGCTATGTGGACTGGACCAAGTTCTAGACACGCGGTGGAGCAAGCGTGGCAACGGCGTAGTTGCTCCGTGTGGACTAGGCTGATAAGGAGGATGGGTCGTCGACCGATAGATCATCAATTGGGTGGTCAATACGGAGTTCATTGCACAGCGAAAGCCAGCGAGAGAAAGAAAGGAGGAGGATTTCTTTGTGCGAGACAGGAATGTCATCTGACTGGCTGTGCCTTTGCAAACAAACAGCAAACAAACACAGTACGGCCGACGAGATCGTCCACTTCGGCAGCTTCCATCTGTTCTTTTTCCATTTTTAACTCCGACCTTTGACTAATGAAATGCTCTTTGTGATGTTTCCGTACAACCCGAATGCATGGATTAATCTTTCATAATTTCCCGAATGATCTGCTATATTTAATTGATACAATCTAACCGTCAGACTAGCTATGAATCTCCCCTATTTTTATCTCTCTATCTATCTATCTCTCTAGAGTCCGGCAACGTTGATATTAGGATCAGGAACTTCCCGTCTGGTCCCACGGATCCTTCCGTCTTTTCTCCGAATCATAGACTTTGGTGGCGGAAAACTACTGAGCATTCTTCCATCCGCTTATTTTAATTCCCTCCATACCAACAAAGGGGGACGACGACCCGTCATACCGAGCGGATGTGATCCAACCTCGCATATGCCATATCAAGCAATGAGCAGAGGCACAGCAGTATGATTGGTAGGATTATCACATCGTCTGCGAGGAGGGCTGTGAGACTCCGAGGATCTCGACTCCACATGGATGCCGTCCTTGCCCTCTCACCAACCCGAATCTCTATATTCATTAAGTAACATAGTAAGACCATTAACGACAAGATCATCCTTCCATTCCTCCACTTTGGGCTGAGACCATCATCGGCTTTGTCATAAAATCTGAATTTCACCGTGGAACTTGTCCTACGAAATCCTGCCAGTCGTCTTGATATTCTGGATTAGCCGAATATGTCCGATTTAGGCAAATGTCTACACGCTACATACTCCCAGCTAGTCGGAGCCCATAGCTGCTCAGCGGACCACATAAATCTGCCCGAAATAGAAATCGTCTGCTATACATGAAACAAACTATTGATATGCCTCGTGGCTCGCCGAGCTAAATTAATAAAAACGGCTCCTTATTAGATATCACTTCCTCTGTGGATAGCGAATTAAACTTAAGGATGTCTTGGTTTAACGCCCCGTTGTTTTTATTTAGATGTACAAGTTACTTTGTGGAGATATCGAGTGAGGTAGGACGGCCACCTCCAGATGCAAAATTAAGCTGCCGTGCGAGAGGTTGACTTTTCTTTGTATAGAGAGAGTCCTACGCCATATCCGGCTTCTTAATGTCAATCACTCAATTCCTCGTGTCACTCGATCTGCTGTCAATCACTTCAGAAATCCTCCGTTCACTCATATCAGATTGAGATCGCTAGATAATCCGCCAATGACAACCCAGGAGATCAATTTTATAGTATCATCACAGCTTTGCAGCCCGCACCCTCCTGCCTGTATCAATTTTATTCCACCACGGGTAGTTCGGTGGCGCGTGTTCCAACGTTGCCGTGAAGTTGGGCCTTCGCTTCTCTAGAAAAGACTTGGCCCCTTCTTGCATGTCCCTGGAATGCGTTAGGATGCACTTAATGACTGCTCTCAAGGAGCCATAGATATCCCACTAATTCAGAAACAAATACATACCTCCCACCAAACATATGATAGATCACCGTCGAATCAACAATATGAGCTCCCTCGACGGTCCCGGGATTGCGCCACATCAACGCATGATTCAAATGCCACGCTAGTAGACTAACATTCTCCGCAATCTCAGTCGCCAACTCCAGCGCACGAGAGAGCACCTGCGCACCATTGGGTCGAGTCTCTGCAAACAGCGACCCGAAATGCGGCGATGTGGGCGGCAGGACATGGCCGGTGGTCAGCAAGTACATTGCGTGCGAGTATCCAATCAGACGGGGGAGGAAGAAAGATGAACTGGATTCCAGAGTTAGTCCGCGACGGGCGAAGACGAACCCGTACTTGGCCTGCTCGCATGCTATACGGATCGCGCAGGGTAGCGTTATGGCGATGCCTATGCCGACGGCGGAGCCTTGGAGGGCGGCGATGGTGGGCTTGCGGCATCGGTAGATGGCGAGGGCCATGCGACCGCCACTAGATGCTTAGCATGTCTGTATCGTGTTTTGTGTTTCGATACTTACGGGTCGCGAAAGTCGAGTGGTCGCTCCTTGGCCGGTTTGAACGGTTCCTTCAGGTCGGCACCGGCGCAGAAGATCTTCCCTGTTGCCGTCAACACGACGACCTTGACTCGCTCGTCCACGTCAAACAGTGGGTACAGCTTCTCGAAGGCATCCATAAGATGTGTGGAAAATGCATTGTTCTTGTCCGGTCGGTTCAGTGTCACCACCACTACTGGTGTTGCTACTGGGACACCCTCCGGATGATGCGAGACCTTGACATCAGTGAGGGGGAGTGTCTCGTATGACTTGGGAATATTAAGAGGCGGAGCTGGTATCATTCTGGGAGTTGAATGTTTCACTGCTTCTCCTTTGCAAATGATTATAAGATTACTATCTGGTTCAATCGTGAGTATGACGTACATCTTCTCTCCCCGCTTAACTTCACCTCCGATACACATACCAAACTATATAGAAAGTAAATATTCAGATATACACAACTACAACTTCGAAAACATGCTCTCCTTCTCCGCCCGAACATCCAACTCCTGCGTCCACGTACTCCTCGGCTGCGTATACAAGAACCAATAAATCTCCGCCAAATCTCGAGGTTGCATAACATACCGATGCATCTCCTGCAGCTTCTCTGATTCACCCTCCCTCTCCCACTTCTTCCGCAACCACCCCCCAATAATATCACTCTGGACGGGCCCATCGACAATCAGATGCGCCGCATGAATACCCTTACTCTGAAACTCCCTAGTAATAGTCTGCGACAAGGCGCGAAGACCAAACTTCCCCGGCGAGAAGCTACTCAACCCGGGACTCCCGCGAATGGACCCAGTCGCACCGGTGAAGATAACAGTGCCCTCCCCGGCGGCCAACATATCAGGGAGGACACACTTGGCGGCAAAAAAGGCACCGAACATATTGATGCGGGTAAAATTCTCGAATTCCTCCGAGGACGTCTCGAGGATAGTCCGGGGACGAATGCGTCTCGACCCGGCGTTGTAGATTAGCACATGGACGGGGCCGAGATCTTCCTTGATGGAAGCGAAGGTCTTGATCACGCTAGATTCATCCCGGACGTCGGTAACGTAGTATTTTGCCGAGCCGGGGTAGGACTCGTTGATTGAGTCTTGGATTTTTTGAAGTTTATCTTCTGTGCGGGCAATCAGCGCTACGCTGAAGCCTTTTGAGGCGAAGTGGCGCGAGACTGCTTCGCCGATGCCTGGGCCGACGCCTACTACGGCCAGTACGCGGTTGTTCTTTGGGTTGTGGGACATGGTGGGTTTGTGTTATGGTTGGTTTCTGGGGGATTGTGGGGTGCGGGGATGGTCGTTGATATATATACATTTACTTTGGAGGTTAATTGTTGGATTATATGATTGTGATCGGCTCCGACGAGCCGAGGCTGGTGATTAGTAAATCGTTACTGCAACACCCCATCTTCATGGAAGTTAAAAATATCAATCATTAACGAAGATGGCTAGATTGTTTTCTTGTCAGTTGTTAGGATTACATTTCCCAATATCTTTTGCGCACGAAACGAAATATATTGTGGGGGCATCTTTAATATATATTTTTCATGTGACCTATGTTGAACTTTGAACTACCTATACATATACCCGTTTCTGTCATAAGAGAAAAATAAACAAAGGAGAGGAAAAGAAGTAAAATGGAATAGAAGAAGAAAGACAGTCAACCTCTCTCAACGTCAACTAAGCATGTGGATGACTTCCAGGAGGACCTCCCCGGAACCCAGCACACTTGGGATCAGACAGTGGAGTTTTTCACCGTCACATTTACAGTCGCAAGCCGGATCAATCGCATATTCACTCACTGAGTGCCAACATTGCTTCCTGGAGAAATAGTCAGTATCTTCCCACTGCATACATGTTAACCAAGTGAAAGGGAAACTTACGTCAGCTCACAACCACCCTCAGAAGTGAAGGGTTTCCCGCGATCCTTGAGCCACTCGCTATAGGGCTCTCCAAGATAGTCACAGAACACCTCGCAGGGATCATTGCCGGCATGGCAATTTTTCTGTTCATTGGGTTGGGTCTCGTTCGGCATTAAGAATCCAGACCCAGGCTCGGACACGTATTGGGGGCCACCAGGGGCGTTCGAGTTGTCAGGGCCCCATCGGGGATCCAATCCGTTATCCTTCCAATCCCACTTTTCGTTGAACCAATTGTTGGTCCAGAACCAGGCGTAGTTATCCGCTGATTAGTCAAGGTTAGTGTGGAATCATCACGATATTCAGATTTGTGGGTTAACGCACCATTATACTTAACGCCGACGCTTGGGAGACTCCCCCGGTACCATGCAAGAACGGTTGACCATGGAACGATGACCCAAGAAGATCTATGTGAGTCCATTCATGGGCCAGCGTGTACTCGTAGCTAACCAGGTCAGGTAAGCTTTTAGCAGACCTCTTCTCGCCATTTGTTATATCATTCAGGTACTTCTGGCGAAAGAAATCATTACAGAAGTGTATTTCCCATCCTGTATCAGTATTTTCAGTTATGGTTCCAGGCCAGCAAGGTAAAGGTATGGAGGCATGACGACTCACTGTGCCTATTTCTTGCATTGAACGTTACCCTATTCAGAGTCAGTAAGTATAGATTGTCATAGTAAGGAGATCGTATACATACAGTCCCGGTTCGGTATAGCAACGAGAATTGAACCCAGACGGGCAGCGATAGGTAACCTGATTGTCCCGCTTCTTATTATCTTTGCCGACCTTGCCTAGGCGAGGGAACATATTGACTTGAGTCATGACGTCTAAATCATGCACCGGAATTAGTGCATAGTCTTCTCATTTTCCCGGTGGCAACGGCTTACTATGAACTTGGAGGTAGTCAGCCCGATGCTTCTCGGACTATTGATCGGATGAACTGAGTTAGCAAACAAGAAACTGTTGATGGGCATAAACATTCTGCCTGAAGCCGGCACTTACAGCCCACCCTTCCGCTCCCGCGGGATCTGCGACGAAGAAACGCTGCCATCCTGGCGTGTCCATGGGCTTGGTAGTTCTCTTGGTCAACTCTAGCATCATCCGAGTAGACTCAACCAATATATCAAAGCGTTTACCACCACATTCAGTGAGAGCGGTCTTCCAGTAGATGCCTTGATATGCATTTTCAATGTCGGTTATGTTTCTGGGACTTGGCACCTTGTGAGTTGCGAGGCATAAGGACGCAAACAAAGCAAAAAGCGAGATTTGAAGCATTCTGCACATGAGGTTGCTCGCCATCATACACCTATTGTTAAGTATAACATCCACAAGATCAGCATTAATCAGGACCAGACCATGGGGAACGCATCGTTATAAGAGTATTTCAAAATGAACCGTTCTCTCGGCGCTTAAGCCATGCATGGTAATGTGGAAAATGAAGGATCAAGGCGTCTATTGTCATTGGCACACACAATATCGAAATAGGGTCACCGGGCGTCAGAAAACGTCTCTAATGGAAGACATTGTTTCGGTGCGATTGCCCTGATAAATTTTAAACTCCCACCTCGCCCGTAATTGCAATACATGATGGCTCGCGTAGTGGAATAGGCCAATGTGTTCCGTCTCGACTCTAGACTTGCAGTAAGCACCTGAGGGAATCTTAAGTGGAACGTCTACCACGAACAGAGAGAAACAGTGATAAGAGTGTACTGACTTCTAGATACCATAGAAGGAGGTGTGTCCTAGCAATTCTGGGTCGGGCAATCGTCTTGGCTTCTGAAGGGCTGTTTATGCCACCTCATTGGATGCCTCTCTCTTTCTCCTTGGTCGAGAAACAAAGACTTGAGCAACAACCTCGTTTCAAAAAGTTTCCAGCTTCTATTCTTAGCCAGGTACATTGAGTATTATAGTATGCCAGTACATGGTAGCACTGATTAATTAATTTAATCTCTTGGTTTGTTATGTCCGGTGAAATAACGAGCCCTACAGCAGTCCACCAGCCGCCTGACTCCAATATGACCACCCGACTTCAAAGTCAGCGCTTAAACAAAAAGAATCCAATCTGGGATCTCCTTTCAATCTACTGCTCTTGAAGCTGGTAATCACTTTACCTAACAATCAGTTTGATTTCCTATCTGCTGGGTTTCATCGAAGTATTTGTCAATCAGAGGCAGTGCAAGGCACGCGGCACCTTAGGCTATACTGTGCACTACTTAGTAGGTTTTAGAGAGGTATCTCGTGGGTAATATTGGTCTTGTGGTAAAAAGGACTTTGTATCACCTGACCCCTGGATTAGGTGCCTTATACCATCCACTGTTTGTTAATGTTACTTGTTTTCCCTGAACAATTACTAGTAATATCAACATCTGTACCTACCAAGTCTTACTGGCCTACTTTACAGGATTGACCCTACCCGATCAGCAGGCACCAAATTAGCTAATATGGCTACATCAAATCAATTCTCGCATGGTGTTATTGACCTCTGTTGGTCTGGAGCGTCATTTGAGCTTGTAACCCCTCAAAGAGCTGTTTGCTCTTTTGGAGTAACACGTAAAGTTAGAGCCCCCACCTCGGTAGTTGGAAATATGAATACGATTTGACTTCTTCACTTGGATTGAATCATTTGACCATGCCATATGGGTAGAATAGGCAGCACTGGGCGATCTTGCCCTAAATTCCTTAGATCGATTAGCTCTATGGAGTGGGTACAGACTATACTCAGATCCATGGATGCCATTTACCCTCACGATTCGCAAACATGGAGGTTCATGTTTCAGTAGTTTGCAACTTAGTACTTACACCGGCATACCCTATGCGGTCTGGTATCTTGGCATATCACGAATCATGAACCCCCCAAGCGATGAGATACAAGTCATGCTACCAAACTCCGAGAGAATGGTTAAGATTCTATCGAACATCGAATCAAACTAGAGTACTGGCTCCTCCTCCAACCTCAAAAGGAACCCAGCCCCCATCTGGACCGCAATAATCGCAGCAAATAGGTCATCTGACCAGGAATTCAACCTCTCATTCTGCAGTGGATATCCCCACCATCACCGCCACGTATCTGATCTATGAATCGCATTAACCGTGAGTACGACTAGCGTGGAGTTCTTCAAGCGCGATGCATCGGTAAATCGCCTGGCCGCGTCATAGGGTGGATTAGGGCTGTGGGGTAAGGCTGACTAGAAGCTCCGCTGACTTAGCAAGATCGCCACCATTGCTCCATCACGATGGGGACCAGCATCGTAACTCTAGGGAGGTTCTATTGCTCGGCGTCGTGCTTGTTGGCTATAAAAGGTGCTTGCTGCACCCTGCACTGGAAGGTAGATAACTCTATCAAACCTACTTTCCTCTGTCTACCTCTCCAATCCACCACAATCACAAATATACCCAACTGAAATAATGGGTCTCTTTCACCACCACCACGACAAGCACAACAACGGCCCTCAGGGTGGCCCCGGCGGCCCCGGCGGTCCTCAAGGAGGTGGCCCTGGTGGTCCTGGTGGCCATGAAGGCGGACATGGCGGTCCTGGCGGTCCCGGTGGTCACCAAGGAGGCGGTCCTGGCGGCCCTGGCGGTCATCAAGGAGGTGGCTCCGGCGGTCCTGGTGGTCATCAGGGTGGTGGTCCCGGTGGTCCTGGCGGTCACCAAGGTGGAGGTCCTGGCGGCCCAGGCGGCGTAAGTCAACACCCTGGACTTGAGTTCTCCTAAGCTAATTCCTGGTATCATTCACAGCCCGGCGGCAGGTGGTAAGCGAATTGAAACGACCCGAACTTTGAAGTATATGGAAACTACATGAATGGACTTGGGACTGGAATTTGACATATCTGGCTGTATATAATCCTAACTGGAATCTTGATCAGCCCGCCATGGTCCAACGGCTTGATGACATAATCTATTTCTATCTTATTGGAAACGAAACATGAGAGTGTGTAATGTAGGCCAAGGAGTATCTTCCTGTGGCATAGTAGCTGTGTTCTTTTCAGATAAGCTTGGACCGCGTGGTTGCTTATGGAGTACCAACTGTGGTACCGAAGGTTCCACCATCCAGCCCGATACCGGATAGGATAGCATTGACGACTCCTCCGATACCCTCACCAGCCATGACACCAGCGGCCACGGCATATGCATATTTTTCAAACCCGTCAGGGCGCTTTTTCTTCCATACGGAGGCAATCACGGCTCCGATTAGCATTGCCGTTCCGTACTGCGTCGATGGTAGAGTGAACGCCATCGCGACAATCACCATATTGGGGTAATACAGCTGTATGCTAGTCCATTTACCGGTGCAGAGATTCTTCACTAATACCATCGCGCTGGCCAATACTGCCATGGATATGGAAAACACCCAGCTACTTTGCGGTATTGGCGATTCGGGCCTTGTCACGGCGAGGACGATGGCGCGCCAGGCGGCGACACTGGGTGCTGGGAACTCGCATTTATGGTCCCCACCTTCTCCAGTTTCTTCAGTTGACAGAATACAGGGGTACGCGGAAGCGAAGATAAGAAACATCGTAGGGGCCACAAGGGCAGCGACGAGTGTTCCTATCATTTGTGCAGCATACTGAAGACGTGGGGATGTCCCTAGAAGAAAGCCCACGCGGAAATCACCCATGAGGTCTAGACGGATGTTAGGACTTATTGTTTATTTAATTCATGTTTCTTAGGCGTGTGGTAAAGGACATACCGCATGCCTGATTCGCCCCGATATTGGTGAGAGCCCCGCCAAGTAGGTTTAAGCGCTGCGCACTTTCGATGCTCGCGGATCCTTGCGTAGTCCCTCCAAGGACGACTTGCGTCACTTTAGAAAGAGATGAGAGCGGTACGGTGTCTATTGCACTTGTCAGTCCAGTTCTTATAATTGCACATATTGGAAAGGGCCTTTGACCTGTCGCTCCGGAAGCGTGGATCGCGAGTAGTGAGAGAAGAAACGCTAGTGTGAGCGCAAGTAACGTCTCTGCTACAGACATCTCAAATTGCACGCTCGTAATGAAGCAAGTAACAGCTATTGTCACTACTAGCCCAGGAAGCCACATCCACAATCGGATGTTGTTCTCATTGGCAAGGTTCTTCTCGCCGCCAATGGTCGTATAAGCGTAGTCCTTTTTCCGTCGTGCCTTGAGTGCTTGCCACAAGCCGCGGGTCGCTATCCACAGAACCCGCCATTGGCAGAATAGCTCTACAGAAACAGTAAGCATAGTTCATGGCGGAAGCTCTGACAGTGAAGATGCAGAGGCCCTACCTGTGAACGCCGCCGCTATCATACACACAACTCCTGGCCACAGGAGCCAGTACCGAGGACTGGGATGTTGGGCATCTGCAAACTCAGCTGACAAGGAGAAGTATGAGACGAGCCCGTCAGGTGAGGCCGCCTCCTTTCCGAACGCTAATCCATGAGACACCAGGTAGGGTCCTATGACTCCCCTAGACGAGCGTATATAAGCATTGACCCTCAAGTAGTATGAGTTACCATAGTAGCTATAGTTTATTCTTACCAAGCAAGGATTGATCCAAGAACGAAGGAGGCAGCAACATTCATACCAACCAGCATTCCAGACCCGATAAAGGCCGGGGTCCATTCAATATACCAGCCCCAGCTTTCTATAGCCATGGCAGTGTCTGCCATAAAGCCAGTTGCCGCGACCCATGTGAAAATATGCCAATCCTTCGTGACCAGGAAAGGTCAGTATCTGGCATCAATAATGACCTACAATGGGGTCATTCTTTTAGACTGGCGAAACATACCCATAAGATACCAATGGCATATTGAGATACTATACGCAGCAGCATAGCGAAGAGGAAGCTGTACGCCAGAGTTCGCATTTTCTGCCGAGCTTCGTATGCACCGCTGGCTGCAAGATGCATGCCTCGGATGGTGACAGCTGTTGCCGACGACGAAGGAAAGATAAGCTGAAGCTCTCTTGCCACTTGAAAGATGAAAAACTTGCGCACTGTAGCACCAACTGTACGTCAACCAATTTTCGCTTTTCTAGGTAGTGTAAGGGTGGACAGCTTATCGCGTACAAGGAGCTGCAGAGAGGAGGCCAAAGTATCCTCCAGCCGCTGTGATAGCTACTAAGCGTGCAAAGTCTTTACTGGGCGTCGCGAGTAACCCCAGTTGGTACAATGCGGGTATGGCGGAGACAAAGACATTGGACAATCCCCCAGCAGCGGTAGCCGCAGTTTGGACGATATTATTTTCCTGAGGTCCAAAATGTTGGCTATTGTATCCCAGAGAAGACAAATACGAGGTCAATGGCTGCAGCAATGCAAAGCCAATGATGGACTGGGAAAGAGTTAACAGACCGAACAAACATGCCTGATCATAGTGCAGTGTCGTATCCTACCCCGAAAATATTGGCAGAGACAGTCCAACCAGCCTTGAGCCCAAGGTACAGATTAGAGGCATTCACAAGTGTTCCACAGAAGCAGCCCACAATTAGGGCACGAAAGGTGAGGATGCTCCCCGTTGCTGGCTCGACATCGCCAAAGGGTTCAAAAGGGTCTGTTGGTAATGTATCGTTCTCTCCCTCGTCGTCATCAGTGGTTATCGAGCTTGCTCTTTGGTTTGTCCCATTCTCTCCAGCCCGATGAACTTCTCGCATATCCGTCATTTCAATTGGCTGACTTCCGGTCGGGCGCGCATAGTCTGACATGACGGCGCGCTCAAGCCTATCGCCAAAACAGACCTCAAGAACAGATATTGGCGAGGGACGATTATCAAGAACCTAGCTGCAGAGATTGTGAGCATGATATTCTAGAACTATGAGATCTATGATTTGCTTGTAGTTATCCTGTCGGCCAGAAAAGAAAGACAAGATGACAATGGGGATCTTGCATGCATGACGTGTCCAATTAACCTGGCTCTTTATGACGGGCACCGCCGCTTTTGTGGTTTTACCGCTCCAGGAGCGATCGGCGCACGTCCGTCATACTCTGTGGCACGCACCAGGTTTATATTTCCTTCGAAGCAGCTCGAGACCTTTTGATAAGCGAAGAGATTCAGAGATCTCGGGGGATACAAGATCAGTACGCTGGGCGGGTAGCAAAACTTCGCCAAGTAGACAAAAATAGTTTGCCCTTGAATTTAAATAGACAGATGGAGCCAGATCAAAAGCAAATGCCGCCCTTTCAACTTTGGTCCTAGAAGCTCCACCAACATTTACAAGTAGTTCGTAAAAATCATTTTATGCAATGAATGTGTATCTATTTCTCGCTTCAACATGAATAAGACAACTAAATGAATGCTCTACTTTGTCAATACCAAGTACCAACCAGCATACTGACGCTCATGCAATCTCTTATAAAACACACAGAATGACTCGACAAAACTGAACTTTCCCCGTCCCAATTCAAGTGGCCGTCTGGGATCTGATCTCAAAAAAAGACAGTCAACTCAAGAAAAGGAGCTTATAAGGTGATAACTCCATCATAGTGGCACTTCTTCGATGTCACCGTGCCGGTCTCCGTGTTGCATAGCCACTTGGTACCCGGGGCATGGCCACTTCCATTGTCATTCAGGGTGAACGAAACTGTCTCCGTGCTATTGACCCGCTGCAGCTGCAGGATGAAGACGGAGATATCATTCACACCGCCCGGGAATTGGACGTAGTAGGCGGCGTCGCTCGTACGAGCGCCTGCAATAGGGTTTCCGGGGCGATCCCTGGACACACTTGTTACTTTGGTTATTGATCAAGAAAAGGAGAAATGAACATACCAGATCACATTGGCGCCGGTCACATCGTTGTAGTTAGGATCGTTGAGATTGAAGGTAACATATCCATTTTGATCAGTCTGAGAAGCGAAAAGCCCGCTGATAGTAATGGCTTTCTCGGCCCTCGTGGCAGGCATAGCCAGCGCAGTACCAGCAGCCAGGAAGGAGCAAATAGCAGTGATCTTCATTTTGTTGGATGGCTTAATCTGTCGAATGGATAGAATAGAGTATGTGAATTGAAGAGTGATTGATCGATTGAAGCTTGTGGTTGTGAATCGAGTTGTAGTGCTGATGATCTTGGTAGGTTCCACGAGAGGATTGACTGCCATTTATATCTCAGTGACTTCATATTGCGATTCTCAAGATAATGACTGAAGACAGGTTGTTGGATGGAAATAAGCAACTGTTGTGCTCAGGCCACCTGCTGTCTCGGTGTACAGTATGCTAACTCCGAGCTCGAGAGGCTGTGCTGGATGTCATAGGAGCAGCATCACGATATTTTCTCAGGCCCCCAAAGAATCGCGATTTATAATATAGGACTACGTCCACGAGTGTGTCCGGCGAAACTAGTGCTGACAGCTCAGCTGCTAGTCCCACTGCATCTGAACTGTGTGTCTGCCACAGTAGCAATGTTGTGTTGCAACCCTAGTGCTGACGGAATTAGTCCGAGGCGAAGCTTTGTGGATTCGTCGCCTAGGCGTCCCATAATTCGTTCTAGACTGAAGTCAAGACACAAACAAGCATTCCAAATATAGCAGAGCCGCAAGCTACGATCCGTTGGCTGCCAGCGATCAAATTTTGTAGGGCGATGGTACGCGTGGATTAAGGACAGAATGTTATTTTTAGCGTCAAGTTAGAAGGCAGCTAAATGTGTGATCCAAATGTTAGGGACTCAACATTTGGAGCCATGTAGATGCTGCGGGTGGCCTAAATATAGACAGCAAGACCAGATGGTATCACAACTAGAACTACAATCTTTGCCTCTGGTAGTGCCCTCGCAGAGTTATTCCCTGGGCTGGACAAACCAGAGAAGGGAACTGCGAGGGCCATAGTAAATGGTTCCAAGTCAGTGAGGAACGTTAGAGTACCGCCAAATAGTCAACTGTATTGCAGTAGACACCGATCCCCGCCTTAACTGCACATCGGATGTGTCGTCAGGTAGCTTCTTGATGAGACAAGGCACCAAGCCAATATCGTAGGCAGTTGGAATACTTTGCAGAATAGAACCAGACCAGAAGTAGAGTTCTTTGGAATCAAGTGCCCTCTATTAGTCTCAATTGAGTATTTGGGAGGGTCAAAAATATGGTTAACACTTCTACACATAGTACTGCATGCCAAGTACTAGTAGTTCGCACAAGCTTTCTCTGCGCTCAGCCCACGCACTTTCGCCCTTTCCCACGCTCCCGGATCGATCAGCGAACAAAGCGGCGCTTCAGTCGAACCAACACGGAAACAATAACGACCGCAGCTCTTCTTTGATAACTCCTTTGGGATAGTTCCCTTGTCCATAGCTTTGTCACGTGTGCTAGCAAAAGCCCTATTAGATCAGTCATATTAATTTCAAACAGTATGATTAGGGTCTATCCTGGAGCTGCTGCGAATGCGACCGATGTTGCAGGGGACAAGCAACAGTTCGGAAGGCATCTGCAATTTCCCAGATGAAAAGAAGACCTCAGAACCGAAGACGAGAAAACTGAAGAGCTTACAACAAGCAATCGGCGATCTGACAGTCGCGAGTGGATATCTCTCCGCAGGGTCCGTTCAGCTCGTATCGCACTCGTGCTTTAGCGCGGGAGCTATTGATGCAGGCTGACGAACCGAACCAAGCAAACACAAGGGAGGCATTTTTGCTGACCAGCCCTCCTTTCTTACCCCGCACGAATCTCCCTTGCGTCACTGTTGATGGACTGAAACTCTCGAGCTGGATGTGTTCTTTCCTTTTGCAAGATGGTGGACCGGTACAGAGCATGATTGATGTTCGATGTCACAATGCCCCGAAGCGCAATCAATAGAGTTCTGCTCGTGTGGATCACCGCCATTATTTACTTATTCGGTATCATCCTCGCCAAACCAGTTCAATACTGCAAATTTGGATACAAGGGGAAGGAAGAACATGGCGACGTGGACTTTTGCATGGCCGTCGCCATGCACGAGAATCGATCTTCGAATGCCTACGATATGTACCTGTCCATGACCGTCACACGGGGATCGGATCTTGGTTGGACTGCGGTCGGGACAGGCTCCGTAATGGCCGGCTCGTTGATGACTATAGTCTATGGCGAACCTCTTACTGGAGAGCCTCCGGTTGTCAGCATACGGACCGCAGCTGCACATCACCAGCCTAAACGGATAACCCAAGAGCAAGCGGGTGGTGCAGAGGTTCGGGTTCTCCAGGCAGAATGGCGGGCTATTGATGAAGATCGCACGCTTGCCACGCTATCATCTTCTTCATACGCGTATGTCGCCGAAGTGAGTCTCGTCTGCTATTCTTGTAATCTGTGGCCGACAAAAGGGAGAGGTAGCAGTAAGATTTCTGCAACAGCAACGTCCCTCCCTTGGATTTGGGCATGGAATGAGGATCAGGAGATATCAGCCCTCTCCGACGATGCCCATCTCAACGGACACAGACACCGCCGCGGAAATGGTGGATGGGGCGAATTCTATGTCGACATGGCGCAGTCCCTTAGCACCGCTGAGAACCCTCCACCTGTCCCAGTGATACGATCTGGGGTTGGCACTCTAGGAACGTCCGATACGCCCATAGACAGGAGTAAAAAGTTTTCCCTGTTTAGCAGTGGGACTATACATGGCTTCCTGATGGGAATGGCATTTCTCGTTGTCTTCCCATTAGGAGTGCTAGCCATGCGCTCGCAATCCAGCAAGTCATTCAAATACCACTGGATCATTCAGCTCGTCGCCTCCCTCTGCACTGGCGTAGGAGCCATTATCGGTATCATTATGAGCCGAGGGTCATTTAACTCCCCTCACCAGGTAGCCGGACTGCTGGTATCCGGTGTACTTGGCCTCCAAGCGTTTCTGGGGTGGAGACACCATGTAATTTTCCTACGGGTCAGACACCGAACCTGGATCTCGCATACCCACATCTGGGCCGGAAGATTGATTATGATTGTGGGCTGGGCGAACTTTCTCAGCGGGATGGTTTTTGTAGCAACTGGCCCGTTCTGGGTCATCCTGGTGTCTGCGATTATTCTGGGAGAAATTGTTGGTCTCACCTTCTGGGTTTGGACCTGTAATAGGCGCAAATCGCGCAAGGCCCCTCCTGAGGCGTCAGAACCATGGCAAGGGGAGCGAGACGGGGAATACTTCGCGGTAGGTGAAGATGAGACGGAGATGAACGACATGGGTGATCATGACAAACATGAGAGTAGCCCGTATGACCCTATACTTCCACGACGTTCGCATTAAACTGGAGCTGTGGTAGGTTTGTCTATGTGTCTGATTGGGCGACATGCTATGAAATACAATGTTGCAAAGCAAATATTTCTATACGAGAGACTCAAGAATGATACTCCACCTCTTCTTTCAATAACCATGACAGAAACTGAAATCTAGCAATTCCTTATTTATACCAATAATTATTCACCTTTCCAGTTTCTCCATGCCTCCTCCCATAGAATAAAATGCAGCGGGACCCAACTGTCCAGGACCATCATAGCTATGGACACCGGTTAAGTCACATACCGCAAGCAAGCCACACTATACATTCACAACCCTCAAGTCCATATAACGAAAATGACTCCTCACATTAGGTTCTACATGATCTCAACACGCAGAATATCCTCCAAAGTCACCCACAAGAAACTTAATACAAAATACCACTTACAAACCTCGCTTCAACTCAAACTGCTGATCAACAACATCGCCAACCATATCCTCCAATCCCTTGAAGACAATCCCCAACTCCCTCTCCGCCCTCTCGGCATCAACCCTATAGCTAATACCCTCATCACCCTTCAACCCAAACCCAACCCCAGGATACCTTTCGTCTAAAAACTGCCTCACATCCCCCCAAGACCTCGTCTCGGATGCCAACAAATACGACCTCAACCCGCTCACGCCACCATCCAAAACACGCACATGCGCATCCGCAACATCATCGACATGCACGCCCAGGAACTGCGGGAAGCTGGGCGTCTCGGCGAACAGCGATTGGAAAAGCGTGCCGGAGGACCCGCCGAGCTGTTCGGGGGTTTCTTGGACGAGACTACGGCCGTAGACGAAGACGGGGTGGAGGGTGACTATGTCGAAGTGAGGATGGTTGGCGGAGTGGAAGTCGAGGGTGGCTTTGTGGGCGGCGAGTTTGCTGGCGTGGTATTGGGCCATTGGGGGGAGGCTGGGGATCGTCGAGTCCGGGGGTAGAGTGTAGTTTATCTCGTTGTCCTCTGGTTTTTTTTTCCTTCTCTTAGTGTCTATTGGGTTTTATGGTGGGAAAGGAGCTTACCTCTGACGATCACGCCGTCCTTGAGTTCTCCCAGGGAGACTAGCGATAGTACCGAGCCTGTGACTACTACCTTCTTGACACTGGACACCTTTGCCGCTGATTCTAAGATCGTGATGGTTCCTCGCTTGGCGGGGGTAACCAGATCATCGCTGCCTGGCTTGGGCAATGGAGACGCCAGATGCAGAACATACTCCACGCCTTGCAATGCCTCGTCGAAGCATCCGGGGACGGTGATATCCGGTACAATCACAAATTCCAATTGCTTCTCGTACTCGGCGAAGATACGACGGAGTTTGTCAGCTTGTTCCTCGCGACGAATAGCGAGACGAACACGGTAGCCCGCTTGCAAAGCGCGCAGGGCGACCTGGGAGCCGATGAAGCCTGTCGCGCCGGTGATGAGTGTTAGGGCCATGGTGGTTTGTAAACTTGCTATCTGTCTAAGAGGATTAGAGGTTACTTGTGGAAAATCATTGAATGGTCTATAGTATTTATATTCATTATTATCTTTATTATTTCTATGCTGTTCTTTACGCTGACAAACAGTGGTGATCATTAATCACTAAGTCGTTATCAGGTTGGGGTTGAGGCGAGATTCAACCCAACCATCCATTAATCAGGCCGGCCGAATAATCAACCGGATTCCTGGTTGAATCCCCTAAATTAAAATAGTCTAGAAATATCTATTGACTAGCATTTGTCTATTATTTTATTTTCATATGAATATATATCTAGCCTGTTCTATGCGCTGACAAACTATGTTTTCCTTCTGATCATTAATCAGTCAACAGCCGAATTCGGATCGGTAATTGTTTTTTGGTTTAGTGATAGAGAGCTATGACGTTATGCCAATCTAGATATGTAACTAAATCTATGGAAACTGGGGTATCTGATTCTCCACATAAGCTTAATCATGAAAAATAGTCTTGAATCATTGGGACTGGTCCGATGCGTTAGCCCTAACTACTGTATCGGGATAAGAATATTGCATGTCAGGATTAGTGATCAAGAACCATAGCCTCGGACTGTCTCCGCATTCAGGATTCTATCAGTATGGACAGGATAAGGCAGTTTACTGTAGCTGAGAATCGTTATAAACAAGGTCATGGTGACAATGTCTGCACAGCCATGTCGTCATCTTCTCAACTCTACTACTATACATAAAATATCCATATCTCCACTGGCAGAGCCATCAACAGAATGTCCTCCCTCCGCGCAGCAGTATACATCGCCCCACCGACCCCCTTCAAAACGCCCGGCAAGGGAAGCGGCGGTGGTCTCTGGTCCCCCATTTCCTGCACGCTGGTCTACTCAGCCACCGAGGCCGTCCTGGTAGACACGCCTATCACCATCAAACAGACACAGGACTTGATAGCCTGGATCGAGCGCATCGCGCCGAAGCGGAAGCTGTCATACATCTACATCACACATGGCCATGGCGATCACTTCTTCGGTCTTCCACTGCTGCTTCAGCGCTTCCCTGAGGCCAAGCCCGTAGCTACGGCCGCCACGGTGCAGCATATGAAGCAGCAGGTCGAAGAGAAGAACTATCAGGCTCAATGGGAATCGCGATTCCCCGGAGAGATCACGAGACCGTTCGTCTTGGCGCAACCGTTGCCGGGAAGCAACGAGTTTAAGCTGCAGGACAGATGGCGGTTCCAGGCCATCGAGGTTGGGCACTCGGACACGTACGATTCCACCGCGTTGTGGGTCCCCGACCTGCGACTGGCTGTTTGTGGGGATATAGTGTATGGACAGGTGCACCAGATGCTCTTTGAGGCTAATACCGCCGCCAAGCGCGAGGAGTGGATAAGAGCAGTGGAGAAGATCGAAGCTCTGGATCCGTTGTATGTGGTACCGGGCCATTGCCAGGAGGGGGAGGTTTTGGGTCGCTGGCACCTCGCCAACACAAAACAGTATATCAGAGATTTTGAGAATGTGCTAGAGAAGAATCCCAAGTCTCCGAGAGAGATTGTGGAAGCGATGACCAAGCTGTATCCCGATCGGTATAATACCGGCGCGCTTATAATGGGTGCCATGGGCTATTTTCAGGCATTGAAGGAATCTCGGATTTAAGATTAATGTATGTACATTGGTTCAGGAGGTTAAGTAACCTCAATCAGAGCTAGTTCAACTGAATCTGTAGCTGCTCACTAAGTCACTGTAGACTGAAGACTGCTTCTACGTGACTGTTCTTGCGGTATGCAACAAAGTTCACAGTATATTCTGTCAGCGGCTCAGTGGCAGTCCATCAGCTGCAGGGAACTGTGCCTAAGGCCAAGTGGCCAATAAAGCGTCCTATGCTTTGACAGCCCCATCCTGGGCCAGCAGGACAATTGTTGTGCTCGTATGCGTATCGATGACCTGACGTTGCTGTGACAGGAAGACAGGTGGGTATATCACCTCAACATGAATTCCTGAGGGATTTAGTGATGCGGGCTCTGCACTGTCCACTCAATGCCAGCTGCTGACCCTGCTCCCAGGAGCAATGAAGATCATGGTGGCCACACGCAGGTAGAGGGACTGGGCGATATGTTTACAGCAGACCACACTTAGGAGCTTGGGTATTAAATCGACGATCATAAAGCATAATCTTATGATGGGAGAGTTTGACTGTGATTTCTTCTATGAGCCATCATGTCCATACCGAGGCGTGCAGAGCACTGTCCACATCGGAGCGTTGGAATCCCGGTGTGCGCCCCAAACATATGCCTCTACTAATCAAAGCTGTTGTCAAAGTTAGAGACTCAACTCTACCAACAAAGGAACCAAAGGGCCTTACTTTGTGTGAAGCGGGTAACGTTAATGGGTGTCCGTGACAGCTTTCGGTCCGTTTCTGAGGGGGCAGAGGAGAACAGACGCACTCCTTTCTCGCGGAGATAACCCGCCAGGTCTTGCATATCAAACCAATCTCCCTCCATTTCCTTTCGGATATCAGGCGAAAATCGTGCGAGAGGATCGTGGATCGTAGCCCATTGCTGGTAGCGACATAAAGGTTTTTCACCTTCTTGAGCTTGGCCGGTGGATCGTGCATAGTGGGTGCCAGCACCCCCAAGCTTGAAGAACGGGACCCCTGCATAGCACTCCTCCAATCTTTTCTGACTCAATTTAGCGTGCAACAATGCTTCGAAGGCTGCAGTCAGGTGAGGTCTGTCCATAAGGGTAAACAGGAACCGAAATGGACGTTCGATGCGAGACATAGGAACGGATGGATTCGAAAGCACCAAGTACCCTTGATATACACATGCCAGGTGTAATTGTTCGATGAAGAGAGAAATATCCATAGCAGAAGGCTCTATGGGCTCGGACAAGGGAGGAGAAATCGGCTTTGACGGACCACTCTCTGGAGGGGTGGTCTGTTCGGCGTGAGAACGCGGGCTCGTATTGTGATCTGTTGGCATGCCGTCCGGCCCCGCTGAAGTTGACGACGTGCTTTCCTCACCGTGCGATGAAGTGTCCGGACTCTCGGGTTCGCCATCCTTGCTGGCCTCCTTTGCCAATGCTAAACACGTTTGCACTGTATCACGTAAGTGGCTCGCGATGTCGGGGTGCGAGGAGAGAGCCCCCGACTGCACCAGATTATCGCTGAAGGAGACGACTGCCGAGCTCATTTTCTCTAGTGTTGCTTCCAGTTGAGAGATCCGACCCTTAAGCGATGTGATGTTGGCTTCCTTGCGAGAACGGTAAGCTCGCTGTGCCAGGCGGATCTGCATTCGACGTCGCTATTTGACCCTTTTCGTCAGCCAATACTTCACACGAGGTGGCATCACCATCGTCGACGCACTTCTTCTGGGTCTTCGCCCATTCGAGTATCCATCGTTTTACGTGGGCGACCACGCTTCTTAGCAGTCGGTCCACCAGACGACTCATTCAGTTCCCGTTTCGTTGTCTTCTGGGCGTTCTGAGTCGGTCGTTGCGTGTCAGTCGATGGCGTCCGTCGATCCAAGCTCAACATGCGCTCTCCGGCGTCGGACCCTGGGAGTAGAAAGCCATTGGGTACAGATAACGAAGCGCCATAGCCCTCCGATGGAAACTGTCCGTGCTGATAGAACGGTTCGGGGATGGGATATGAGGAGGCGGAGAGGAGGGAGGTGAGCTGTGAGGTTGCGAGAGAGCTCTCTAGCAGCGACGGTCGAAAGCGTGGAGATAACAAAACTTTCTGGTAAATCTCATCCCAGGGCAGGAGAGGCGCGTCGGGATCCACAAAGCCCTCATACGTCTGGAGCTGCATTCCTCCATCCATGATGCTGTGACGGAAGGCAAAAAGTGAAGATCGATCGGATAAGTCGAGAAGCAGGAAACGGTACGATCGATACAGAGAGATTTAATCATCAGGCCAGTCGGAGGAACTAGTTTTAGAATGGCCGTTAGCGTGCCACAGGTGAGTGTTCGGCGTGTCGGGAGCCATTGCCACGCTGCAGTGATTGGGCAAGACCCAAATAGAGCCAATCCTGGTGCGATTTTAGGTTGCCCAATCCCTCAACTTTAAACATTCATAGTGTTCATTAAAGCCGGTCTTCCCGAACCTGATTCGCGAGCGGGACGTTCGGCTCGGAGTGTTCACTAATCATGAAATTCGCTCCTTTTCGATTATTCAACGATTCCCGACCGCCAAGCCTCTACTTGCCCCCTTTCTAGAAGATTTCCTTTTTGGTATCAATACGAATAGGGTATAGTAAACTGGTCACTAGTCCAGTTCTAGCTAGGTTATGGAGATCCCGATCGTTGGAACATTTCTATCGCGCTCAAAATCAAATGCCATGGTGTTGAAAACTTTTGATGATATAACAGAACCTACTCCGAAAGACTATTACACTACGTCAAAACATGGGGCGAGTCTAATAAGCTACGCTTGTGCGTATTCCTTCAGATACGCAACGAGCTTCTCGGCCCCCGAAACGGGAATGGCGTTGTAGTTGGACGCCCGAATACCTGTCCACGTCAGTACCTTGTCCCAGTGGGGTAGAGCATCAGGGCATGCTTACCTCCGACACTGCGGTGGCCTTTCAGCCCAGTGATACCGCGCTCAACAGCTCCCTTCAAAAAGGCCTTCTCGGCCTCATCGACATTGCCGCCCTGGGACTCGGTGTCAGTGGTCATCTCAACCGACCACAATAGCATAATAGAAAACCTACCTTGATCACACGGAAGCAAATGTTCATTCGGGAGCGCACACTCTTGTCCGGCACAACCTTATAAACTTCGGGATACGCGTCCGCCGCCTCATAAATCATATCGGCCTTCTTCTGGGCCTCCGCTTGCTGTCCGTCCACCTTATCGGGGAAAGTAGCCAACAGCTTCTTAAGAACTTGGCCTGCCAAGTAAACACTAGACAGCATTAGATGTATCCAGAGCTGACGGAGGAGCAACCTACTCGAAGATTGGAAGGGTGTTGTAGAGACTGTTGTTCTTGGCAGTGACGCAGTAGTCAAGGATCGTGGGAGCAATGGGCAGTCCAAGCTTGCGAAGGATCGTTGGGGGGCACGAGACGAGCAGGTCCTTTCGGATGATGATGCCAGTCACTCCGGCACAGCCCAGATTTTTTTGGCTAGTCGGTTCAGCTTTTTTTTAAGGGTTTAAGGGATCAGGGGTGTCTTACGCTCCGAAGAACACAATAGAGTAATTCTGACTCGCGGTTAGCAATTGACCACTGGCCAGCATAAAACCGGGGATTCCATACCTTAATGGGGATACGCCTGGAGAGGATGTTAGAAGAGAAATCTCCGACCACGAATGGATCCTCTTCCGAGCCGGTCGGCTCAAGAACCTTGGGGAAGTTGGGGTATTCAACACCGTCCACCGTTTCGTTGTCACACATGTAGACCATGGTAGGCTTGGGGCTCAGCTTCCATGTCGATTCATCGGCAATCTTGCCAAACTTTCCATCGTTGACTTTTCGGGAGTCACTGGCAATGTTGACGTACTCGGGTCCAAACAGGCGGATCGCCTCCTGGCTAGCCTTGGACGACCATCTGCGCCTCCATTAGTATCTCAGAATGAGCTCAATGGATGCGATTGGAGACTGACGATCCCGTAACCAAGTAGTCCAATCGCAGCTCTGCCTCAACTTTCTTGCGGAGCTCCTTGACCACATCATCTTCGCTGGCTTCGCCGAGCTCCTTCACAATCTTCTGGCGCTGCTTTTCAACCCAGGCCGAAACGATATTGTACGCCGTCGCATCGAATTGGCCCGATCCTCCACCCTGCATCATCAAGATCTCGTAGTTCGAAGGGACATCGAGGAAGCTCGCAAGGTTGGCCTTCATGGTGTTCAAGATGTTGGCCGCAATCTCGCTCCGGTGGCTGTGCTCGGCGATACCCCTGAGAAAGTCAGAATACCTTCTATAGCTTCAATTCCAGCAATGCAGGTCCGGAGCTTACAGGCCAGTCTGCTCATAGTTCTGCAGAGCTTCGGCGGCTTCGGCTAAGACGTCAGTGGGCAGGGCCGCAGGGCCGGCACCCATGTAGGTAATATCTTCTCTCTTCATATTGCAATTGGCGTTTGGCTGGACGAGATCTGGGTACTTTTCCCCAACGACGGATTTAAAGGACCCCTCCACTCGTTCGGAGGAACATCGGCGAGTGAGTCATCTTATCAGTCAGGTGACTGCCCCGCGGTTGATCTTATCAGCACTTTTATCAGCCGGCAAAAGGTTCCCCCGCGCCTATAGTTCCCTTCAAACACAGCTTTCCAAAGTACATAGTGTGAAAACACAATATAAAGATGGTCATTGTCGCAGTAGCCGGCGGTACCGGCGGTGTTGGCCGCACCATTGTCGAGGCACTAGTCCAGCAAGCAAAACATCAAGTCATCTTGCTGACTCGTGGGGTATGAATGTGTACACTAGCTCCGGAATTATATTCAAGAGCTAAGCAATCTCCCAGGTACCCAAGTCAGACCCTTTGCTTGACCAGATTCGACAGGTGCAAGTAGATTACAGCGACACCACGGCGCTGGTACGCATCTTAGACCACCATGAAGTGCACACCATTATCTCTGCAATCGGGATTATCTCCGATGAAACATCTCAGTCTCAGCTCGCGTTGATCAACGCTGCGGCTCAATCCTCAGCCACCAAGAGGTTCATTCCCAGTGAATATTCGTTTATTCAGACTGAAGAGTATACTCCCCTAGATTACCATCCCTTTTTGCGTTTAGCTAACAACTATAGTCTCCTTGCGATCGACCCAAGTATCAAGTACTGGTTGGCTGCCGCTGACTTACTCAAAACTACCAGTCTTCAATTTACCAGAGTTATCCCCGGGTTCTTCATGGATTACTGGGGAATGCCCGTTGTTCGTACTAATCTTCAACCCTTCACATTTGGCATAGACATCGCCAGCTGCCAGGCGGCTATTCCCGGTGATGGCAACGACGTTATATGCATGACATATACGTACGATATGGCTACGTTTATTGTACGGTTGCTGGATGAGGAGGGTTGGCCTGAGTTTAGTGTTATTGTTGGCTCTCAGACTACATATAATGAGCTCCTCCAGCTAGCTGAAGAGCTACGAGGTATCTGCAGAAGAGTTCCCCGACATGCCATTAAACTAACTTCATTTAGGTAAGAAGTTCCAGGTAGTCTACGACAGCGCAGATCAAATCAAGGAAGGAAATGTCACTATTCCTCCAATGCCTACCGACACAGGGTATTCTGCTGAGGAGCTTAAGGAGACTACGGCATTAGTGAGTCGGTTGACTATTGCCGGAGTGTTTGATTTGCCCCGTGAAAATCGGTTGAATGCGAGGTTTCCAGATATCGAAACAACTAAGCTCAAAGATTTCCTATCGCAAGCGTGGGAAGGCTATCAATAACTGCTTTTATATAAATATTTGACCGGAATTTTGTCACTTTCCAACAAAAATATTTAAGTGCACTCGCCTTCATTCTTATGATAAGCCTTAATGCAGAAAACACAAACCACACCAAGGAAATTCAATTTGAAATAATGAAATAACCAAGCTTTCTTCGAACACAGCATAAGTCCTATCCTCACCTGTTTCAAAAGTGTGGTCTCCTCATCTCGAACGCAAGACACTCCTCCTCAACCCTCTTCCCGAACTAATCCTCATCATTCTGATTGAAGTAATCATCATAATACCCAACATCTGCAGAGCCCACCGTCAGCCACGTAAGCCATCATCCGGACGCCACCAACAGCGGGAGACACCCTACATCCTCCATTATGCAGTCCAGAACCACTATAATGATGTTCTGCATTAGATCGTGGCCGTGGTTCTTCGTCAAACTCCCAGATTCCTGACGTATAGCTCCGGAAAGCAGCTTCTTTCTCGCACTGGCGACCTTCTTTCCACTCCCGATGGTGAGACATCCACATGGACATCGGGCTATTCGATCTGTAGAAATATTCTTCTAGTTGGGGCATTTTCCTGATTGTGTTGTGAAGAAAATGAACCAGTATCGTTTGCGTTGTGGAAAGGCATTAGACGTGAACAAGTTCCGAGTCTAACATATACCTTTAGTATTTACGCACAGGAAAATTAAGTATCGCCATGTCTTAATAGTGTAATTAGTCAAGCCACTAATAGCCGTACAGGATACTTCAATCATGACTAAAGCAAGTCAACCAGTGGCCCTTCCATGGAAAAGGCAAACTACATCTACTAGGTACCGATCAACCATTACCCAATACAGCAACACTCAGTTAACCGTCTACTGACATGCCGTTTCACATACTATTTCACAACTACAATATAGTCATCAAAAGCGTCTAACACCTCAGCACCGCATGTCAGCATATCATTTAAGATACACGAATCAAACTAGAACAATCCGCCCAAGCTGAGCACCTCACTAGCCGTCGTTCAAATCTCCAAGATAGTCGAGATGCTCATCGTTGATGTCGTCTAGTATGTCCATTAGCTGCTTTATGAATATAGTATTCTGTAGGGACGAATACAGAAATCGTACCTCTGTCTTCCATGTCTTGCTCTGGTGTGAGGTAGATGGGGTCATTGCCTTGGTGCAATGATGTAGACACATTTTCGAATGCTTTGTCTTCGATGTATTCTTCTTCTTCATTGGTTGGGTCTTTGGGCATGGACATTATGATTTGGTATGAGGTTTAGATGAAAAAGTGTGAGGATCAGATGGAGGAAATCAATGTTAGACTTATGATCTCGGCATTATCTTATATAGAATCTGAGTCTTACTACCTATGAACAATGATGAATAAGAGAGGGCCTACCAGGAAGTGCCCAGACTATCTAGCATAAAAGAAAGCATATGATTTGTTAATACTCAGTGGTGATATTAATGTGGCATAGTTCCAGGGCAGCACCAACCTTAAAGCAAGATTGGTATGGCTTCGGAATACTACTCACTGAATCTTACCATGGGAATACATACACGCAAGTTCTGGTAACATTTACCTCATCCCTGCGGATGATGATGATGAATACTTGTGCCCAACAAGGAACCATCAAGTGAGAGCACGTATGGACATAGAGTTAAATTTTCGAGATCATATGAGGCTATCTACTTACTCTCACTAAGGGGGCTAAGACACTGTAGATGATCTAATTGACTAGTTATCTATATCGCCCTTTTCGCTTCCCTAGAGGGACCCATATACGTGTTTGGCGAAGTATATGGCATCTCAGATGGACTTACTAGCCTTTGTTGGGCAGGTATACTAGTCTGGTGTCTTGTCGCCTGCGTGATGCCGGTGCTCTACTCCTGGACTCTGGGCAAGTACCAAGAGACTTTTTGAGATTAGAATAGCTCCGGAGCTATGTACCTCTGCCAAGTCTTTCTCCTGGGATACCGTGACAACGGAAGCTTCATTTGTCTTCTCGAGACTCCTGGCGCCCGGCTTGTGCTCGGCTGAATAATAACAGGTCATTTACTAACTAATCAATATAGTATAGAGTGACATACTGTGGGGCTTTACGTACCCGAGTTCACCTTACCCTCCTGAAAGGCTCAAGTACCCCTCATTTCTTTGTGTCATAAGTTAGTTAAAGATGGACCGGCTTTAACCAGCTTGTGTGAGGTCAGGGAAACCGGTGCTTATAGTCGACAGAAGTGGGTGTATACTGGGTTGTTATATTTGGCTGACAACAGATGCCCAGCTTTCCTGTACCAAATAAACATGCAACAGCAATAAGTATTCATGACTATCACCGTAGGTATCCTAACTATGCAGAGGCAGCTTCTAATGGCCTTCAGGGCTGTCCTCACTGAGCAGGTTATGTTGTTCACCTCACAAATGCCACTCCCTGAGTACGGGCTGGGCTCCTTGGTACTGGGAACTCTGATGCAAGGTCAGGATTGCCCTCCGAGCCGAAATAACTACGCCACAAGTAATTATGCCTAATATCTGCCTCCTCCCAGGCTTCCTGGGTTTTCTCCGCAATGAACTCGCTGAAAGGGTTCCACAGCGCCTTGTATTCCTCCATGGCTGCCTTCTTTGTCTCTTCATTCTCTTCTGCCTCTTCCTGGGCCTTAATCTTTCCGAGCCACCCACTGCAAAATTCTTGAAGGTACGGCCTTTCCTGGTCTCCAATTTCGAATTTATCAATACCCTCTTTGAGTTCATAAAACTTGTGACGGCAAATAAACTCCCAGTCGATCATTGTGTCGATTAACTTTGCTATTGTCGCATTGGGTGTTTGGCAGAGATAAGCTGCCAGTTCAGACTTGCTCACTCTCCGAGGCGGACCTGCCAACAGGTCGAACACAACTTTTATGTTATCAAAACTTTCCTCCTTGGAAAAGATATGCTGGAAGTCTGCCAGTCGCTCCATTTTCCGGCGGGTCATAGGGTCGTGGGCTTGGCCGAATTCGAGGCACTAATTTCGAACCTCTAGCATCCGAGATTTAACTTCGCGCGCATCAAAACGATCAGCCCAAAGAAAGGTATATTCTGCTTTGTCGGCACAGCCCTGCCAGCCCAGGCGTTCCCTATGGTAAATAACGTTTTGTTAGGCATACTCTTGATACATAAACCAGCGGTATTTATAAAGAGAAAGGGGAAGAATAATATACCTCTCTTCCTTGATTGCCCGAAAGAAGACCCTCATCCAGATGAAATTTTCATTCATCCATTCAGCTAATTTAGGTTTATCAGCTTCTGTAGCGAACGCAGCTAGTGTATTCTACCAGATATCTCATGTTAGAACCACTATCTCAAGGTGATCTGAAGTCAAATTGAATTGAATAAGGGTATCAACTCACGGCCAAGGATGGGTGTTCCTGGCCGTCGTCGGACATCTTTATAAATTAACCCTTTCAATGTATTTGCTGAAAAATGAGAAATAGTATGGTAGTGAGTTAGCAACTGATGGAGGGGAAGGGCATTACTTATAGGTACAGAATGGGTTTGAGCATTCTCAGCTGGAAGATGCGAGACCAAAAAAGGCCAAGTCAACCCCACCACAACAACATACGGTGTATTGATGACTGAGATAGGGTTGCAAAAAGATTGTGTTGATCTCTCGCTCATAGGTCGTGAGGGGAGCCATCGGGAATCACTGCGCAAAAGTTGGCCCAATTCCAATTATACTTCGTACACAGCGGCGACAAGATTCGTCAAAAGGAAATGATATACAACCATCCCCACAGGAATCATCACGATCTGTTCACACCCTACCATGGTAAGTACCCCTTGGCTATCCTACCATAACCCATCGCGTTATACACCCCACTCCGTCAATGAAATCTGCCCCTCTAGCGGGGCAGTCAGAGCCAGGCGCTGGATACTACTGGCTTACTAGATATTCAGCTGAATCTCAGCCGCAACCCAACATGTGGGACTTGGCATAGTGCCCAGGCATTGCATTAACCCCCAATTAATGGGTTATAAACTGTTTCCATCTGCCTGCTACGACTGGATAAGCGTGAACTATTATCATCAACAGACCGGGAGATTGATTAGGGAAGGGTGTAGAGGTAGAGACAGTCGGTTGTAGGATTAAGTAGATGTTGTACCAAGACTATAGCTGGCTAGTGAGACTTGTAAAGGAATCATAGGGCTATCTTTTACGAATCAATGATGTAACGTAGATACTGATCAGAATTGGATTTGTTTCAATATAGAATTCACAATATTCTTCTCCATCATTTTCGGAATCATTCTACTGTGGGTTCTTATTGGATGAATGTGTAAACATGTATCATGTCCTCAGATTCCTCCCAATCTTCAGGATTCTTAACTTCACACAACCTTATCTGGATCCTCATCTACCTCGTCGATCAAGTGCTCCGGAGACCGAAACTCCAACCCAGCAAAGAACTTCCGCCGATGTGCCTCAACCTTCTCAGGATCAAGAGACACAGCACCTAAAGACACAAACAGCTGCAAATGCGCACGCAACAGCTCCTCCGGATCAGTCGAGTTTTGAATCGTCCCCAGGATCTCACCCAAACCAACACGCTTGACATCACGCAGCGCCGGATACCGCTTCTGAAAAACCAGCTGTGCCAGGTCATTCCAGCACGTCTTCGTCCCAGATACATACACATACGGCTCCCAGACAGGAGCATCAGCTAAGAGTGCCAACGCAGTCGCAAGATCCCTTGCGGCGGTGACATCGACCGCATCGGTTCCCGTCCCGGGGATAACAATCTGGTTTCCTGTGATGTCTATCGGGAATGCTTCACCGATGTCCATGAGGTACAAATTCCTCCTCGGCACGATGTAATCCCCTAGCCAGCAGTTGACGACCAGTGTCCACTCTATCTCTGTTTGCTCGCGTAGGACCTTCTGGATAGGTTCTCGTGACTCCCAGTAGAACGTTGGCAGGTCGGGGTAGTTTTCTATGTCGCCGAAGAACTCGGATGGAATGAAGCGCTTGCATTTCGGACTAAGTTGGCATGCACTGATCAGGTTCAGGTGGATGTCGATGAACTCCGCCTTGTACGCTAGTATCACAGATATGAGCATCTCACAGTCCCTAAGTGCGGTCACTATGGAGGGGACGGAGAAGTCGGTGATTATTTGGGTGATGTATGGGCGGTTGCGGAAGCATTCTTTCTCTCTGCGAGTTAGAATGACCACCGAGTGGCCGTACTTGGGAAATTCATCGCTGATGTATCTGGCTAGCCCTCCAGCTCCAGCAATAGCAACACGCATGATGGATGAAGTTGTCTTGCACGTTGTTCTCTGAATGTAATGCAAGTTGATGAAGTTTACGTGTGGAATAACAGACTAGGAGCTGGTTGTTGCCTGGCGTATATACCAGGGCTCACGGGGTTTAAGCCGTAGCAGATACACGGAATAATCATCATGGACGACCAATTCTTCAGCTATTCTTATACTTTACATTATAAGCCATCGAGGGTAATTTGTAGTGGATTGAAGCTACTTCCTATTTCAGCTACTTCCTGTTATAGTTCCCAAGTCCAGAGTCGTCCTGTCTATAGATTTTATATTAAGAAGTTGATCTAAATTAACAATTTTAGGGTTAAGAATCTGAAATCGTTAAATCTGAACTAATTATACAATTTGCATTGAAATAACGAATGTTTTCAAGTAATAGGGTTCCCATATATGGCATATATGGTTTATTACAAGCATTTGCTAATGCTTTAAAAATTATTATTAAAAGAGTA